AGAAATTGATCTCGCACGCGCAGGGAAAAAAGGCAATTATGCCACACATGACTTGCATCGCTCTCATGCCAAGTTTTGAGGATAAATTCGCATTTAGATGCTGCTTGAAATAAAATAAAACTATCAAAAAGCACATTAAAAACTTTAATAAAAAAATTAAAACATTCATAAAGGAGTATCTTATGGAAAAACACTATGGGCCCTGCTTTCGGTTTTAAAAGAATCAAGCAGCTTTAAAAAATATCTAATTTGCTGAAGAGAAATGACACGAAAAAAAAAAAATAAAATAAAAAGATTAAACATATCGGGACTGTTAAAAGAAAATTCCTCTTTGATATATTCTTTCGACTCCGATACATCAGCTAAGATTATGAATGACGGAGTGTCTCTCCTGCTTCAGCAGCGTGTCCCGCTGGTTAAACGATGAGGCGGAGAGAATGCGCTGCTTAGTGAACCTAACGCGCCATTATTTTAATTCTATATTCGTGAAGAATGAGCCAACCGCATATGCTTAGTCCTGTTGGTCGGGACTCTGCTTTATAACTTAGTTTATTACAATAATCACACTTAGCTTTGCCATCGTTCTTCACATGTTGCCACTCGGCACATCTTGCGCTCCATCTTTAAACAAATGTTTACATTATTGAGGTGCTCTCCGGCGGCGAAGTTTCTGGCAGAGTAGCGAGTGAAAAAATGTGCTTGCAGAAATTGGAATCAAAATTTAAATTATATATAACAAGCATCGTATTCTTTCTAATCCTCGCCCAGTTTTAATACAAGTTGTTTTTATATTTGTGGCTGTGAAGTTTATTAAGAATATATATATATAGCCTACTTTATTTTTTTATACTTTAAGTGATCTGCTTGAGGTAGGTCACGTTTATCAATGGTAAGTTTTAGCCTAAGTTTACATCAATAACATAATGTGTATTGTCCTTTACCATACAAAAAAAAAACAAGAAAAAAAAAACATTATTATACATAGTTGCCTGTAGCCTAAAGGCCGCAAATGCATTAAAAGGCAAGCGCATATCTTAGCCTTGAGTTTGTTCACACTCTGCCTGTATTAACATAAATGTTGTATTTTAATATAGCTTATTTTGATGAATTAGCTCTAACCTTCGACAGTTTTTTCTTCTTTTTCCGCGGTTATGCGGCATTATATTTCACACACATTTGCAAGGTGACTGAATATGAAGTTAAAATACAAAACATACTGAGCCATAAGTAAAAAAAAAAACAAAAAAAAACAACAACAGTTATAGCTACTTTAAAGGAGAACATTGACGTTTTGAAAAAAAAATGAACAGAACTGAAACTAAATTATTAAAAATAAACCTGCAAGACTTAATTTATGTCCTGCGGCAAAAATAATTTTATTATACTTTTAGTGATCTGCTTAAGGTAGGTCAATTTATTTTTCTCAGTGTTTCACGTACTGTACGGCAATGTCTTTAAATAAATAATTTATTTAGGCCTATTTTCATTATTCATTTATTTTCATTATTCGTTTATTATTCGTTTATGTACAATTGTTGAGACATAAATAAGATAGTAAAATATAATCAACAACGAAAATGGAAATAAAAACAGAAATAAAACATAAATGAAAATGTCTTAGTCCTATCAAAATAGCAAACACTGAACATCTTTCTATATTTAGGCTGCTTTATTTATTTATTTATTTATTTATTTATTTATTTATTTATTTATTTAAGACTACTTATTTGTACTAAATGTTTGTGCTTTCATTTTAGTTGTCTTTTACTTCTTCAATTCTATTTTCCAAAATGAATCCTCTTTGCACTTAAAAAGTTTACAATAAAGCGTGTTAACAAATTTTAAATGATTAATGAAGGAATTATAATGCTTTGACTTATTGTTTAATATCATTTACAAGCACAGTAGCTGTATGATCTATTTCTGTCCGTTCGCATCCCGTCCCTTTGCGCCCCCTGGCGGCTCATTCACAAACTGCGGTCATACACTAAAAACAGAGCGGCACCTATTTCAAACGGCGGCGGTACCAGCCGCGGCGTTAATAGCCACTTTGAACTCTCACCTACTGTATCTGCTTACACAAGAAAACAGCTTGTTGCGTTTGTTGCAATGGACATTTTCGCTGTCCACTTGGGAAATACAACTCGTTTGGTTCACTCCACAGTCTTAAGGCCCGTGCACACCGAGACGTTTTTTGCTTGCGTTTTCCGTCGATGTTTAACGCCTCGTGACAAAATAAACGGCGCCACTGTGATCGTGCACACCAACGTGCAAAACGGCAAGCACAAAAGCGTCATTTAAAAAAAAAAAACGCCTCATGCTCGTTTTTTTGTGTTGACGCGCCTCATCAAAACCTTCTCCACCAATCAGATCATCACTTTTGTTCACGTGCACGGAGCTGTTGAAGTTACAGTTAACAGCACTTGGAGGCGCTTAAGCGCAAAACTGCCAATGCGAGCGCACATTGAAGAAGATGCCCCGAGGTGATATGAACGTGGAGCTGCTTATTGCACTGGTGAACACTAATCACTTCTTCATCGCTATTGTAGAGGCTAAGCCTATTGCTTAAAGTCCCTGAGACAGGCACCCAGATGACGCACACTGTCCTTTGTCTGATGAAGTGTAAACGCAATTAACAATCTTACTCGTTTCCATGGACATTTAGGTTTTGCAGATGCAAACTCCAGTAGTTCACAAGTTTCCTTCCAGGTAAGTTTCCGTTCATACATTTCAAACACCGCCACATATCATGACTTAAAAACTAACAAAACAAAATGTCACGCTAAAGCGTGAATGAATGTGTGTGCGTATGTATATGTGTGTGCGTAGCTCTTTGTGTGCGTTTGTTTGTGTGTGTGGTCAAAACTGCATGTGCCCCCTTCCGTCTAGCAACACCTGAATATTCGTTCCCACTTATTAAGCCTGTTTAAAGAGCGCCACCTAGTGGAACAATGAACAGTTGCCAAATGGCTCTAACCGTACGTTCACACCGAAGACGGCGAGAGCGTCCAAGGTCGCTCTGGCCGCCCTGGCGACAACGCTCTCTGCCTTCAGCTCCTGCGGCGAGAGCGTCAAAACTCGCTACATTGATCTCGTATTTAAAGGAGCCGTTGCAGCATATCAGTTACATTCCTGCATAAAACATGTTTCTAGCGTGAAAATGTTGCGCACTTCTTATCAAATTCATACAACAATGGAAGATCAAGTTGCGTGTGGCTTTGCTCTATTTATCCAATATGTGTCCATATGTCTGAAATATCCTGTAGCAGCAGTACTGTTTTGTACTGTCACATCGCGTGAGATTCCCGCTTTTTTAAGATAAATATATAACATTAATGAACATCAGTAACTAGCCAGTAACTTATTTAATGCATGTTCCTGTAGGAAAAAAACTGTGAATAATTGGAAATCTGGCGACCGCAATAATCAAACCCTTGGGAACAACTGTGGTCGGAACCAAAGTTCACTGGTCTGTGTTCTCTGAACTGCTATCAAGCGGTGGACGTCTTCATTCTGATTGCTTGCCGCCGAACCGCGTCATAGCTCATTACCATAAAGTTGACTTCATTTCAACTCTCCTCGACGCTCACGCCGGCGAAGACGTGCCGCACTGCTCCTCGCCACTTATCGCCGCCGGCTCTCATTGAAAATTAATGACTTCCGGCTACTTTGACGCTCTCGCCGCTTTCGGTGTGAACGTACGGTAACAGCTAGAGCTGGAGCTGCTGCTTGAACCATCCATAACAACAAGCATGTCAACTTTGTCTTCTTCTGTGTTACAAGCGGGTGTCAAAAGCTTAAAGTTGTATAGCGCCATCTAACGTCAAAGAGTGATTTTGCATACTCTTCTGCTCGATGCCAGTGAAAATCGCTTGGGTTTGAATACGTAAAAACGTCTTGAAAAACGCTGACGATAAATGCAAACGAAAAGCGCCCCGGTGTGTACGAGCCTTTACAAGCCGTGTGTGCGCGCAAGTCTGTGTCGCGAGCTATGTGTGTGCGCTTAGCACGAGTCTGTGTCGCGAGCTACGTGTGTGCACCTAGCGCAGTGGTTCTCAAAGTGGGGGTCGGGACCCCCCGAGGGGTCGCGGAGCAATGAAGGGGGGTCGCCTGGTGATTTCCAAAAATCTATTTTTATTAAACCATAAGAATTAACATATTTTATATATAACTATACTGAAAATAAAAATAGTCGTTTATAGTTACTATATACTATATAGTTAAAGCTTATAGTTACTAGTTCTATTGGATTGCGACCCCTGGGGTAATTACATTATATTAAAGGCAGCAATAGCGTCAGATGCATTTTGATTTTATAACATCAGGTTATACTTTCTGGCACATTTAAAGCACTGACACAAATTTAATTGGTGTGTCTGCGTCATTGCATGCAAGGTTTCTGTATTAATAACCACCTCAGAGGATATTGGGGGTCGCGAGTCACTGGCATTGTTATTTTGGGGGTCGCGGGCTGAAAAGTTTGGGAACCCCTGACCTAGCGCGAGCCTCCTCTGACCGCGTGCACACAGCCGAGAACTGTGAAGGCTTTTATATTTGACGCGTTTCCGGAAACACAAGCATTTCTCATGTGAGATTGCCAACTTTGCAGACGAAGTTGATCAGATAAATCATGCTACTGTAAGTAATGTTTACTTAGCAATAATTGCCCAGTACTGACAGCAGAACTGTTAACATCAGAGCTAACCGATACTTTGGTCTTTCATACTTTAGCACTGATACCGATAAAAGAACCGAATTTCGGTACCCATCTCTACTTGTACATTAATAAAGCATTCAGAAAAGACAAAACACACGTGAAGAAACTCGTCACAGAGGAACATAAAAACCTACTGCCAGCTAGCATTACTGAAGTGGTATTGCAGAGCAACACAAACAGCACGCAGAAGAATATATGCATGGCTTCATGCAAGGCGGGCGCCGTGGGTCACCCTGATCATTTCATCAGAAGTATAAATCAGTTTTAAGTGTGCCATCGGTACCTGTGTGAGAGGCATATGGAGACAGAGCAGACTTGAGAATCTTCCCCCGCTTCCCTCCATCTTCACTATCATCATCATCCTCATCCTCGGAGGAAGAGCTGTACGTGTCTGTGGTCAGTCTCTGAGCAGCCGCCCGGTCTGACTTCTGGATCTCATCAAACCTAGACTGAGACGACGCTGGAGAAGACAAAGACAGAGCATAAGGGATGCATCAGATTTCTGGACAATAATTTGCAGATAAAAATTGACATTCCAGTTTTAATCTGAAAAGCAAAAGCCTTAAAGTTTATTACAGATTTAGGGAGAATTTCTGTGGACAATTTCCATCTTGGTGCATTGCTAGAGAGAATGAATGGTGGACAAACAAAGAAACATTAATGTGAATCTCATCGGGTTACCTTTGACCTGTGACCCCACAGCTCCCCGTGCACGTCCTGATGAGGGGTTACCGGTCACCTGACCTCTCCCCTGACCCTGACCCCGACCTCGTCCCTGCTGCCTCCAGACTGGATCCATAATGGCGATCTTGAAAACCATAGAAAAGAAAATCAACACCCCAAACTCCTGGAGAAACAAGCCGACTAGGCATGGGACGATAACAGCATTCAAGGTATACCGAGGTTTGGAAAAGTCAAGGTTTAAAAACCGCCAACATTTTCTGTAATACCGTTCCTAAGGTATGTGTCAGGTAGGGTTGTAACGGTATGAATTTTTCACGGTATGATAATCGTCTAAAACAATACCACGGTTTGACGGTTTCGCGGTATACGGTATGTTACAAATGTTACAAAATAATAGAACAGTGAAGCAAATTTGACTTTTTCCAAATAATATATTTTCAGTTACTATAAACAACACCACTTACAATGAACAAATAAAAAAATAAGAAAATAATAAATAATGTGTCAAAGTCCAAATAAAGTCCAAATAAACATGGTGCAAATCCTCAGTAAAAAATAGATATAAATATTTACTATACTATAAATAGTTACATAACGAAACTAGATTCAATATGGAACATCCTTAGGTTTTATGTGCCAGCATGGATATGGTTGTCTGTGGATATGGATTTGGATATGGTTGTCTGCAATGCAGATAAACAGCTGCACCTTCATTTGCGTCTTTTGAAAACAGCAAGAGCAGCAGTTCGTCTTTGCTGTGTCACTGTTTTGTCATGTTTCTGTGCTGCTGTGCATGCAAAAGTACTTAGTATGAGAATTATTTCATGCAAAACTTTTTTTTTTTTTGCGTTTTATTTAGCCGCGCATAAATGTATGCCTATCTCTCATTCCGTGTTGTTCAAAAAGCTCGTTGTTGGTCCACAAACAAAAGCGAAACCTATGCTTATTGGTTGTGATATAGCGAGCTTGAACCAATCTGGGCATGGAGGAGGGACAATGCATCAATGTATCATGTCTGGTTTGTCTGGAGACACAGTGACGAGCGTTTCTTTGTCAAATCAGCGTTGTCAAATTTTGATGACGTAACCGCACTGATTCCGGAGCCTCTGAAAGTCCGCGAATGTTATGTGATACAGCATGAAAGCTGAGATTCTCTTCTTTATGCCAATCTTTGAATTGTATGAATCGGATCAGCGGATCAAAAGTTATTAAACATTTAAGAGCAATACTTATTTTTAGCCGCGGGCGGCTGTCTCGGTCTTTAAGGGTTAAAACCGTTGATATGCAATTGTTCATGGTATGACAATCGTGCACGTTCAAATCGTGGTAAACCGTCATACCGGTATATTGTTACAACCCTAGTGTCAGATTTATTACTCACTTTTTTTTGTTTTGCTTTTAGGACAGCAGTATCTTCAGCAGAAAAGATGCCACTTTAAATTGTACAGAAATCTGTGTTTTTGAAACTAATGAAGACAGCAGAAGTCAATGATTCATTTGAATTATTTAGACGGACATTTAAACATTTAAAATGTTTGTTGCAGATGAAATATAACACAGATAATGTGATTTAAATATGTTCCAGTGGGCTAGATATTGACTAACAGTCATTCAAACATCTTTACCGAAGCCTCTCTGCTTGACGGTTGGTCTTGCGCGTCCATCATGTTTGTAGTTTATTTACACTTTTCACATGCGTTTGTAGTTCTAATCGAATTCGTGTCCAATGCGCAATGTATAGTGGGCAATATCAGCGGTAAAAGTATGGACGCTTCTACACTTACATTTTTAACGGAAATAGCAAAACCATCTGGCATACTCTTTTCAACATACTATTGTAATTCTATTATCAAATACTATTTAGGATGGATAGTATGCGGATTGGGACGCAGCAGTGTACTAGAGTTTACATCCAGGGGCTTGTTTCAGTAAGGAGGTTCAAACAACTCAGAGTTTAAACTTGAACTCTGAGTTGATTCACCGAGAGATTAAAAACTCTGAGTTTTCGGTTTCAGAACAGCTGATCTGAGTTGGGTCAATCAACTTCGAGTAGACCAACTCAGAGTTAAGCGCGCACATCGTGACTTTAAAAAGGCATTATCAATGGAGTGCAGACATTACGAGTGACTATGGCAATATCTTATAAAAGAGATCACCATTTCTTTCTCCAGCTGAACTTGATGTTCTCATGCAAAGTTATGGCAAATATGAGTGTATATATTTAAAATGAAGCAACCATCAGTGAAGAAGAGACAGTTAGTTATATTTTTCTAAACTTTTTTATACATTTATTAGTTTTAAATGATTTAACAGTGCACTTGTGTGTCTGCCTTTTTTATTGATCAAGGGATAGAGGTTAATATAACATTTAGAAGGTAAGCAGTACTAAAAATAATTTTTAGAAAGAATAATAATCCCATTAATCTAGTTACATGCATGTCCAAGGTGAATTTAATTTAATTATTTATTAAAAAAGGATAAGCCATTCTCGTACAGTTCTTCTGTGTGTGACTAAAATGTAGGCAATAACTATGTTTCCATCCAAATATATTACATAAATTTATGTGCAAAACTAGAATATTGCATAAAAGATGCGAATAAAACTCCATCCAACGAGTCAAAGAGAAAAAAATCGTCACTTCCTGATTAAACTGGCACCAAATATCAACAGTAAAAACAGAATTTACTGTGGTAGAAGAAGCTGCGTCAATTAATTCTTTATTTAGCCTAATTAATGTACTTGCGCCTCGATGTCAGAAGACAATGCTGAAACACAATGAACACGTGGGGGCGTCTGATGCCATGAGCCGCGGAGACTCTTGACACGCACCAGACGTTCGGAGGTAATTAATAATATACAATAATACTGAAACAGTTAAGGCATTTTAGAATGACTAAAACAATATTTTTTTTCACATGTTACAGTGTGCTCAGCCTGCTGGTTTGTTCATTTACACACATTTTCATTATCATATGATCATGATCTTTTTTTAATGTACATACTGTAATTTGTTCAGTAAAAGTGTTTCCATCGTAGTTTATGCGCACATTTTCTATCGAATAAAAGTTTATCCTACTCAGTTATGCGCGTTTTTTATGCATATTTTAAAAAGTTATGTGCATCATGACGTTTCTATCAATCGTTTTATTGCACGTATCCAAAATGAGCATAAAAATAGGTGAGTGGAAACGTAAGGCTAAGGCGAGAAATACGCTTCATCTTTAAAAAAGGGGAGGAGACAGACAGAAACTCTGAGTTTAGAGAATAAAACCTGCTTCTGACCAGGTTAGATTCACAGAGTAAGTTACCACAGTAACTGACTCTGAGTTAAAGTTACCTTTCTTTCAGAAACAGGCTTGACTTACCCTGCTTTCTCGAGTTTAACAAACCTGCCATTCTGAAACGGAAAACCCAGAGATTCTCTCATTTCAGGGTTAAAATACTCTGAGTTTTCACTTAAACTCCTTTCTGAAACAGGCCCCAGGAGTGGTTGCTTGATCCTTTAAAGTTGTTGTCATTGCAGCTTATTTCACAAATATCAAATTAAATATAGTCAAATATGATTAGATTGTATTATCTTAAGTCTCTTTTTGAAAGGGGCACCTATTATGGCGTGCTTTAAGATTTATAACAAGTCTTTGATGTCCCTAGAGCCTGTAAGGGAAATTTCTGCTCAAAATACCGCACACATAATATTATCTGTGTACGATTTTTTTACTTACATTTTTTGTTTTGTTTTTTAGGACAACAGTATCTGCAGTGGAAATGATGCCACTTTAAATTGTACAGAAATCTGTGTTTTTGAAACTATCGAAGACAGTAGAAGTCAATGATTCATTTGAATTATTTAGCCTGACATGTTTACTGCCCCAAAATATTAAAAATGTTTCTCAAAATAAAACATACTGTGTTCAAAGGGGGAAAAAGTTTTTGTTTTTTAAGCACAATACCATGAAATCGTGATATTTTTATCCAAGGTTATCATACCGTCAAAAAAACTTTACACCGGCCCACACCTAATGCCGACATTACAGAGAAAACACTAATGAGGAGTCAACCCACATGATATAATACTATAACTATTTAGCGTAAATATGTACTGAACTTGAATTAATCTTATTATTAATAAGTATTTGTGATAGAAATACAAAAACTAAAGTAAAATAAACAAAATACCAATTGCTGCACTGTTTTCTACAACTGTAAGGTACAATATACTACAATACACCGCAATTTAAAGTGGTAAAACAAATGTAAACTACAGCATTTATTGCAGTTTATCCTCTCACTATAGCCTAGCTAATATTAGTGTGCTGTAGCATTCATTATTAGTGTTGTAAATACAATAATATATGCAGTATATACTATAGTGTAGCTCACAAACACTATAGTACACACCAGAAATTACTATAGTATTTATTTAATGTGGGAAACCTCTGAGGAAACACCATAGAGAAGAAGACAAATCTTAACACAGCAAATAAAGATAAAAATGACAGACAAACTGCAGAAAATCAATAACGAAGTGTCAAATCACTGAGAAATCAGCGTAAAGACGGACTAGAATGGCCAAAACAGGGTAAAATCACAGACAAACCGCTGTATAGTGTCAGGAAACACGGTTAAACAGATCGAAATAACTCGGATCTGAGAATAATGACAGATATCAAAACAAAGCAACTATTTACTATGCTGATAATTTCATATATTAATGCATATTGATTTAATAAAGCATTCGCTAAATGCAGTTATATTCAGAAAACACTCTTACCGACCTGAGTTACTCTACAAGCGGCTGTCAGCGCGCACGCGCAAGGCGCCGGCGCTGCAGGGCACGATGGGATATGTAGTTCCTAACGGTTAATGGAAGACGTGGAGACATCTCCTAAAAAACAACAACTCCCATGAGCGATGCGATAGAGTCAAAGACACGTGTGCTTTTCACTCAGGGGTCACAAACTCATGGGCACCCTGTTCTCCATACGTGGACTAGAGATGACATGATCCCGGACTGTTTGTTTGATCCCTTGAAGTTGTTGTCATTGCAGCTTATTTCACATAAATAGATTGTATTATGCAAAGTGAAAGTGTTACTGAATGTCTGGTTTTTAAAGAGGCACCTATTAGCCTATGCCATGCTTTACAGGATTTATAATACGTCTCTGATGTCCTTAGAGACTGTAAGTGAAGTTTCAGCTCAAAATACCGCACACATAATATATGACACTTTGAAACTGACCCTTTCAGGCGTTGATCCATATAAGGCGAAGGACTTTTAATTTGCCCGTAACCTGGGTTAAGCGCTTCCGGTCAACTGTATGCCAATGCAAAAATTGTCGGGTTTAAGGTCTGTTTTCTTCAAAAATCAGCAATCTGAACTCGCTGAGTGATATTCAAAATAAAGTGGGTCTCAGATTGTACAAGAAGCACTGCATTAAATTAAAATTTTCCCCTCCATGTCTTTTTAATAAGAGCATTTATATACCCCAGTATATTCAATGGAGCTTCTGCGCTAGCCTGCCGAATCTGAGGGGCGCGTGCGAGCAAACGGCTTTCTGTCTCGTTTTACGCTTGAGCAACTAAATGAATGCCAAAGTTTATTTAACTGAATGGATTTTAATCACATTACAACATCGATACTGTAAAAGGAACCATATAAATTTAAAAAAAGTTCACAATAACAGGTCACCAGAAGTTTATCAGCATGGGAAAAACACTAGCTCTATAGCAGGGGTTCTCAACTGGTTTAGCCATGGGACATTTTTACATGGTTGTCAAGCTGCGACCCTAATTTTTAGAAACTATAATAACATTTTAGGAATTATAATTAATTTGTATTTATTTGTTAACGTAAACAAGTAGTGACAGATACATCATAAGAAGAAATTCACCAAGACTTACAAATAAACAATATTTTATTGCTGTCTTTTAACAAAATGGATCAAATTATAGAAATATTACAAAGTAAAAACGACAAATACTGTTAATAATAAACTGTTAATAAAACATGTTTTCTAGTTTCTAAATGTTGTTTTAATTTAGAAGGTTTCATGCTCTCTTATGAGAGCACCTCACTACACATGACAGTAGCTATGTTTCCATCCAAAACTGCGAATAAACTTTATGCGCAAACTGGATTATCGCATAAAAGTTGTGCGAATGAAGCAGCGTTTCCATCCAACGAGTCAAAGCGAACAAAATCGTCACTTCCTGATTAACTGGCGCCAAATATCAACAGTAAAAACTGCATTTGCTGCAGTAGGAGAAGCCGCATCAAGCTTTTCTAAATGAATGCGCCTCAGAAGACAATCCTGATATGCAGTGAGCCCGCAGTGGCGTTTGAAGGTGTCAGACGCGGAGCACAGCCGCTCTTGATTCTGGAGGTCATTAATAATATAATAACAGTAATACTGAAATGGTAAGGCGTTTTATAATGACCAAAACAACATTTCAGATGTTTTATAATGTGCTCAGTCTGACGTTTTGTCCATTCACACATATTTTAAGCATCACATGATCTCTTTTAACAAAATCGCATGACCTTTTTTAATGCGCATGCTGGAGTTTGTGCGGTAAAAGTGTTTCCATCGCAGTTTATGCGCATCTTTTCTTATCGAATAAAAAGTTTATCCTACCCAGTTAGGCGCATACGTTTTTTATGCGGATTTTCAAAATGTATGCGCATCATGGCGTTTCCATCAACTAGTTTTTTTATGCGCATTTACAAAATGCGCATAAAATAGGTGGATGGAAACATAGCTACTGAGGCTTTACGTCTTTTTTGTCATCAATATATGTATATATCCATACTTTACATATTCAGGGTCGTACATGCGATTCGACAAATTTGTTGCAGCAATTACATGAAATTTCACATGTCAAACGGTAGGGTTGTCGCGCATGCATTTCAAAATAAAAGTCCGGTATAAGCAAAATAAGTACAAATCTTTACTTTTGTTGTTTTTTTTGACCTCACATTCCGCGACCCACTGAAAATGTTCGTGGGTCACGACCCACCAGTTAAGAAACACTAGTGGTGTTTCGCTGCAACAGATTTTAATGCGACAGTTCACCCAAACATTTAATGTTCCTCTCTATTTTGACACAATATTTGAATCAGCACCAAGTCCAAGGCCATGGTTATCCACCTGAAAAAGGTGGTTTCCCTACCCCAGGTGGAGGAGTTCAAGTATCTTGGGGATTTAGTGAGGGAAGGATGGAGCGTGAGATTGACAGGCGGATTGGTGCAGCGGCAGCAGTAATGCGGTCGATGTATTGGTCCGTTGTGGTAAAGAAGGAGCTGAGCCGAAAGGCAAAGCTCTCGATTTACCAGCCAATCTACGCTCATACTCTCACCTATAGTCATGAGCTTTGGGTCATGACCGAAAGGACAAGATCTTGCATACAAGCAACCAAAAGCGGTCTAGGGTTCTCTCCTAAGACTGCTGCCCCTGCATCCCAGCCCCAGAAAAGCAGATGAAAATGAATGAATGAATGAATTTTGACCCACTATTGAACATGAAGACAAGATATTCGGAAGAATATTGTAAAAAGCAACCATTGACATCCATAGTATAGGGACAAAAAATACTATGGAAGTCGATGGCTGTTTTTTCCAGCATTCTTCTGAATATCTTGTCTTCATGTTCAACAGAAGAAATAAAGGAAGGTTTGGAACAAGTAGAGGATTAAACAAAATGAAACACACTAGTCAGGATTTTTATTTATTTATTTATTTATTGAAGAATGGTTTTGGTATTTTACAGTCCATTTAGTTCTCAGATTAAACTGTTTACAGTTCTTGCTAGAGCAGCATCAGCATTCGAGCTTCTCTCTAAATAAAAAGAGTTTTGAGTGAGACTATCAGTCAGGATTATTTATATTCTCTCAAGAAAGACAAGACCAAACTTTGTAATGTCATACTTAATCATGATAATATACAGTCGTGTGAAAATGTTTATATGAAACAATCTGAATTTAATAGGGTGCCAAAACTTTTTTACATGCCTGTAAGTTTCATGATACATAATCAGTACTACTAACCACAGAAAATGCTTTGAAAACATCATCTGAACAGTCTCTTTCATTCACGTGCTTGATGTAGGCAGATGAAACCAAACAACCAAACAGGAGTTTAGGAGTCTAAACCCACAATAAAAAATAGTATAGTAATTTACAGTAAATACTAGTGCTTTTGAACCATACTATAGTGAAGTACTTAAGTTAATCTGTTATGGTGATTCTATAGTTGCTATGGTAACAAAGCAACTACAGTAATAAAAACAAGCTAATCTGTTGCGATAATTATATAGTTGCTATGGTAAAACAACAACTGTAGTAATATAAACAACTTAGTCTGTTACGGTGATTATAAAGTTGCTATGTTCACAAAACATCTATAATATTAAAAACTAAATCTGTTGCAGTGATTCTATAGTTGCTATGTTAACACAACAAATATAATAATAAGAACAAATTAATGTGTTGCGATAATTCTATAGTTGCTATGGTAACACAATAACTATAATAATGTAGACAGCTTAATCTGTTGTGGTGATTTTATAGTTGCTATGGTAACACAGCTGCTACAGTAATAAATACAAATGAATCAACTGCTGGCGACGTAGTGGCGCAGTAGGTAGTGTTGTCGCCTCACTTGCTGGGTCGCTGGTTCGAACCTCGGCTTAGATGGCATTTCTGTGAGGAGTTTGCATGTTCTTCCTGCGTTCGCGTGGGTTTCCTCCGGGTGCTCCGGTTTCCCCCACAGTCCAAAGACATGTGGTACAGGTGAATTGGGTAGGCTAAATTGTCCATAGTGTATGAGTGTGTGTGTGGATGTTTTCCAGAGATGGGTTGCGGCTGGAAGGGCATCTGCTGCGTAAAAACCTGCTGGATAAGTTGGCGGTTCATTCCCCTGTGGCGACCCCGGATTAATAAAGGGACTAAGCCGACAAGAAAATGAATGAATTAATCAACTGCTGAGATTCTACAGTTGGTATGGTAACGCAACAACTAGTAATATAAACAACTTAAACTGTTGCTGTGATTTTATAGTTGCTGTGGTAACAAAACAACTATAGTAATGAATACAAATTAATCAGTGGCAGTGATTCTATAGTTGCTATGGTAACACAACAACTATAGTAATATAAACAAATTAATCTGTTGTGATTATATGGTTGCTATGGTAACACAACAACTATAGTAATATAAACAAGTTAATCTGTTGTGGTGATTCTATAGTTGCTATGGTAACACATCAATTATAGTATTTAAAACAAATCTATTGAGGCTATTCTATAGTTGCTATGGTAACAAAACAACTATAGTAATAAAAAATTAATCTGTTGTAGTGATTTTACAGTTGCTATGGTAACACAACTATATTAATAAAATTAATCTGGTGCAGTGATTTTATAGTTGCTCTGGTAACGCAACAACTATAGTAATATAAACAAATGACCCAGTGCTGTACTTTTCTACAACTATAGTGTATAATATACAATACACCACAGTTTACTGTAGTAAAACCTGAAGTATAGTACTGTGTTTTTTTACAGTTTATCCGCTGCAGCATTCCTGAACATTAACGAGTTGTAGATCCTGTGATATATACAGTATAATCCACTCTACTATAGTATGATTAAAAAACACTATAGTATTTACTGTAAATGACTGTAGTATTATTGTAGTGTGGGAAAACTAATGGGTTTCATGGGCTCAGTCTAGTCAGTCTTGTCTGCAGTTTCCGGCGGTGGCTCCATCAGAGTTTCGCTGGTCATCTTCTTCTCCAGCTTAGTGACGCGCTTCTTCAGTTTTCCCTGAGCAGCTTCTTGTTCAGCTAAAAGACGGGCGAAGCGTGTCTGCAGGTCCTCCAGCACACCGCCGATCTTCTGCACCTTCTCCTCCATGTCTTTGGGATCGGGACCCTGCTTGGCCAACTCCAAATCCAGGAGATTATCCTGTGGAGGAAAATAATAAAACTCACAGTTACATCAAGCTACCCAGAAAGTCTGTTGCTCTTTAATAACTAACTATCATTAAAGGGACGGTTCGGGTTCACCCAAAAATGTAAATTTACTCACACTCAAATTGACTCTTGTTGTCTATGGTGGATGAGAGAACTCTCAGATTTAATCTAAATTTTTTTAGGGGTTGTCAGAGGTTTGGAACAATATTAAGTGATTAATAACAGAATGTTTGGGGTAAACTAACCCTAAAATAGTGATAGTTCACCCAAGAATAAAAATTCTGTCACCATTTACTCACAATTTATTTGTTTTAAAGTCCCTTTTGGGCAAATATTCACCAGCCATTTTTGAAAATGAAGTTTCCTTTGTTACGCCCCCATTCACACAAGGTGTCAGCTTCAACGCTTCCCATTTACTTTGAATGGGTGACGTAGCTTCAGAGGCATTGCTCGCTGCATAAGTCGGGACTTGCTCAACTTTTCAAGCAGCGACGGAAGCATCAGCCAATCAGATCGCTGTATGCAGCTAGACCAGCTAGACAAGGGCCTATGGCCGACTGAATTTCATTGGCTGATGCTGCTATGATGATTGTGTCAGCACCAACTTCAGACACGCCTTCAGCCAAGCGTTGACGCTGAAGTGAGAATGGGGCGTTAGAGCGTCGTTATTGACATTTACATCTTCAAAATTATATTGTTTGCTTTACTGTTTGACTTGTTCCAAACCTGGTTGTGTATATTGCAGGAATAAGATTAAAATTAAGAGTTTTTTTTCCTGAAAACAAGCTAAACTATCTGCCAATGGAGTAAAATAAACTTATTTCAAACACCAAACAAGATTATTTTGCTTAACCCATTGGCAGATTATTTTGTTATGACTTATTATATCTGAAAAAACAACATGTTTTTCTTTAAAAATGTTTATATTTAGACTAGAAACAAAACTAAAACTCTTTTTTTTCAGTGCACAGCATTTAATTTTCCTCCTACAATAGAATCAATGGCTACCAGTTAACAACATTCCTCTAAACATCAAATTTTGCACTCAACAGATTTAAAACCGCTTAATGGACGTTTAAAATTTTTGAGTGAACTAACCCTTTAAAACAAGACCTTTCTACTGACGTTTAACCTAAGACTTGCTTCAAAAATATGCAACAACTATTGGGAAACTGAACTGAGTAAGTCACTGTAAACAATATGTGATAATGCGCTTCAAATGTATTGTGAGATGATTTTGTAACCCCTATGACAACCGCTTTCAGAATTATTTAACCTAGGGTCATTCTTATACGTACCCCTGTATACATTTCTGGAGAGCGCAAAATACATCCCAGGAGCTACGTTTTTTTGTATTCGCGAATCCACCAGAAGATGCTATTTATGCCTTTTGAGATCTCAAATTTCTTTCGCAAGTGCTATTCGTGCCTGCTTTTTTCACATAAATTGCTGGCGACTGACTGGCCGACCAATCACCCGCCCACCCCCTTCCCTAAACCCAACCGACAGTATTTTCAAAAGCAATCCAGAAAGTTACCGGCTATCTGGAATTAATCTTCGACGGACTCAAACCCTGTTGACGCGGTCAACTCTGCTCTATGTCTCAGGTCTGCTGCCATAAGCACCGAGCCACTGGGCAAACTGGTAACAGTGGAAAAACCGTCCACATGAAGGTATGCAGTCAGTTGGTAGCGCATAAAGAAATAGAAGCCGTCTGCACCGTCATACCGCCCCGTAGCGTTCATTTTAAAGACGAAATGCAGCCACACAGGGTATCTACCTCTGGCTATATAATTCGTGCTCTCCAGAAAAGTATACAGGGCTACGTATTCAAAATGAGCCTGTGTTGTAATTATTTTTGCTGTTTGTTCAAACTACTTATTTAAAACACGCTGAATCAACACCTGAGAACTTAATTGTTTTATGTTCAATCCACTCAAATTTGTCAAAATTATCAAGTTAAATTAATTGATTTGTGTCGGGACAACATGAAGGAATTGTGTAAAAGATTTTACAGTTAGTTTTGTTTGCTAAAAAAAGAAAGTAAAAAACAAAACAAAACCTTTATTATTGGTATCGTCATCTCAAACACATTCAGCGCCACACAGTACCTTCATAAGGATCTGTCGCCCCTTCTCCTCCAGCATGGCCTTGGCATCCGGATATTCAGTCAGCGCCTCCATTAGGTCGTCTTTGGAAAGACAGAACAGATCCGAATATCCAATACTGCGTATGTTGGCGGTTCTGCGATTCCCCGCCCTGCTGCCCTTAATATTGAGAATGCTGATCTCTCCGAAATAACTCCCATCACTGAGCACCACGAACTGCGTAATCCCGTCATCCGCCACCACAGCCAGTTTACCCTCTTTAATGATGTACATCTCGCGCCCGATGTCGCCCTTTTTGCATATATAGTCTCCAGGGCTGTAAACCTGCGGCTGCAGCTTTAACACCAGCTCCACCAAAAGCCCGGCTTCACAGTCCGCAAAGATACGCACTTTTTTTAGCGTATCCAGATGGACGTTTATGGCTATCTCCGCCCTCAGCTTGTCGGGAAGATACTTCAGTACTTCTCTCTCATCGACCGCCTTTTTATTGGTCCACAAATAATCAAACCATTTAATAACCCGTTTCTCCAAATCCTTGGTGACTTTCCGAAAGCTCATGTATTGTTTAATAGCATCGATGCGAGCTTGGAAATCGGCTCGTGCTGCGTTGGCATTTGTGATCATTGAGCCGACGTTACCGACGATTGTTGCGAAAATCAACACGCCGACTAGAAAGTCGGTGACTACGAAGAAGTACTCAGAGTTTTCGACGGGCGGCGGTGTTTCGCCGATGGTAGTGAGCGTCAGGGTGGACCAGTACATGCTGTAGGCATATTTACGTACCAATCGGCCAAACTCAGGATCTGAAGGGTCCGGGTACACGAAAGCGTCTGATCCAAAACCGATGGCTTTGGAGAAAGAGTAATACATGCAGGCGTTCCAGTGGATGATGATCACGATGTACATGACGAGGTTGGAGATTCGGAAGACGTTGGGAAAGTTAGTCCGCGTTTCGGTGCGCTGGAAAAACTCAAACAGTCGATTGATCCTCAGGAGCTTGTTCATGCGAATCTCTGGGTAGTTCATGCCGAAGTACAGGTAGAAAATATCTGTGGGAACCATTGAGGCTAGATCCAGTCTAAACTGCAAGCTGTCTGTGTAGCGATCGCGAAGCTTTTTCTGATCTTTCACTAGAAGACCCTGCTCCAGATATCCTGAGGATAAATAACAAACAAACAAGGGTTCAAGACAAGTGAGTATATAACGACGGAATTTTCATTTTTGGGTGAACTATCCCTTTAAAAACAACATACATTTGAAGTTAGAACTGTTAGCCCTGCTGTATATTTTCCGCAGGTTTCTATTTAACATGAAGAAGATTTTTCCAACACATTTCTAAACTCAATAGTTTTAATAACTGATTTCTAATAACTTTTATAACTTTTTTCTTTTATATTTGCTATGATGACAGCACATAATATTAGACTAGATATTCTTCAAAACACTAATATACAGCTTAAAGTGACATTTAAAGGCTTAACTAGGATAATTAGGGTAAATTAGGGTAATTAGGCAAGTCATTGTATAACAGTGGTTTGTTCTGAAGACAATCCAAAACTAATATAGCTTAAGGTTTCTAATAATAATGAGCTTAAAATGGCTTTAAAATATTAAAAACTGCTTTTATTCTAGCCGAACTAAAACAAATAAGAAATAAAAATATTATAGGAAATACTAACGCAATCTCACTGCAATTCGTATGAATTTGTACGATCTAATTCGTACAATTCAGTACGATATGCTCATTACCCAATGACGGTGGGGGTTAGGGGTGGGGTTGGGTGCCACGCCTCCTTTTTAAAATCGTACGTTTTCGTACTCATATGAATTCGTACGAATTAGCCACTAAACTTACAAAACGTAAAATACTTACGTTTCCTCGTGAGATCAGGCTGGAAAGTGTTTTAGGATTTTTTTTATGTCAGCTGATGGAGCTGTAACTCACCTGTCCTGGTCCTGAACACCATGTCCAGCAGGTACACCGCATCCGATAAGTAATCCAGGAAGAACCAGAGGATCAAATAATCCCCCTGCAGCTCCTCGAAGCAAGCTCTGAGGGACATGGACAGAGAGTTACGCTGAAGTCTTTTTGGGAAAGATTAAACTACTTAACAAAAGAGACGCAGATGCACTCTCTCAGAGATAAAGATGCAAAAAGCTGTGACTGGTGTAGTTCCTTTTTAAAAGGTGTGTACCTAAAGTGTCAGTGGCGTAGCGGACGGGCCCGCAGGGCACGCACCGCGGGGGGGCCCCGCGTGATTATGTGGCCCCGCGTCGTCGCGATATTCAAAAATTTAAAATCCGGCAACCGCAATAATTAAACTCTTGGGAAGAACTGTGGTTGGAACCAAAGTTCACAGGTCTGTGTTCTCTGACCACCTCTCAAGCGGTGGTCTACTTCATTTTGATTACTTGCCGCCAATGTTGCCAACTTAGCGACTTTGTCACTAGATTTAGCGACTTTTCAGACCCCCCAGCGACAAATCTAGCGACTTTTTTGTGTGTTATTGGAGATTTTTTTTAGACTGTCATTTGTCCATACTGTACCGTCCCTACTCTTCTCAACGAGCTGCGTGTGATGCCGCCGGCCCCTCCCCCGCCTCACAGCACTGACAGGCGGCCCAGTCAGTCCTCGTACAGCAGCCTCTACCACCTGCAGCCCGAGAGCAAATCACCCCTCTGCGTACCGACGACAAATGATTTAGCACAGGCAGTGTGAAGGTATTTCCCTTGTACAGTCTAACCGATCTACTTCTTTATTTTAACAATTTAATTAGACCGTTTATTCTTTTCTTGTTTACAATCACAGATATTTTAGTGACAGTTTCTGAACTTGTCTGAGTTTATTACATATGAGAGATTACTGCACATTCACTACACATCTATAATGACATACTGTATTCAAACAGCAATACAATTAGTTAAATAAACATGCTTATATAAAGTGTAGTGCAATTATAAATACCCCTTTATTAACCATAAGCTGTTAAACAAACAGAAACGGTAGAACGTGATGACGTCAGTGATATGCAAATTGACGTATGACGTATCCCCCCCCCACTTCGTCAAGGGGCCCCGTCAGCGATCCCTGCAGGGTGGGCCTTCGCATTCCGCGCTACGCCACTGTAAAGTGTACATATTACACAGTAAAAAATAATGAGTTGACTTTACTTTTAAAACTTTTTTATTAAAACAGTTGCTTTAAAGCGGTTACTTTACTTTACTTTAAGAACCCCTATTATACATTTAAAAGGTCATATTTTGGTTTTAACAACAGGCTGATCTGCATGCAAGTTCAAAAAACACATTCATTGTCTTATGATATGCATTTATTGTACCTAAATATCCCAGCAACTCCCATATGATTCCTTCAGCGATTTATTTGTTCCCAAACCCCTCCTTAGCGTGAAGCTAATCTGCAGTGATTGGTCCGATGACAGTCTGCTGTGATTGAAGTAGTCAGAGTGCAGAGTGTGTGTGTGTGAGCATACCTGCCAACACTCCTGTTTTTCCCGGGAGTCTCCCATATTTTAGACCCATCTCCCGCCACCCTCCCATTTTGTTATTTATCCAGAAAAACTCAAAAATAAATAAACCTCAACCACTGACTCTTCAGTTTCATCTTTGGGTAGAGAAAATAACACTAACTCTTCCCTCACACTTCCAGTAATATACAACCGAGCACAGCGTCTTCATGACTTGATTCACCCGGCGTCTGCTATAGTGCTTGTGGGTGGGGCCGCAGGTTTAAATTTTCCTGGGCTTTCTGGGCTTAAGTTTTGTATCAACATCACGCCGAAATGGCTGAAGACTCGTTATCAAGACGATTCATTTGAAGCTCTATGAGTCGACTTTTTTATAGATGAATCAACAGTTTTAAACACTGTCCACTGTTACACACTACATGGAAGGTCATTTTCAAAAACCCATAATAGGGGCTCTTGACACTGAAACGAGACATCACCAAATATGTAGTTCCAGATCCGGTAAAACGTGAACGCACTCTCACTAGCGGAGCGCAGGGGATCATGAGACTGATCATGCTCAGTTTATCATGCTCAGTGATCATGCTTAGCTCCTGTTTATCTAACCAACCTTCTGTCTCTCTACAAACCAACTCGCTCTTTAAGATCTCAAAACTCAGGGCTTCTTGTAGTTCCTAGAATAACAAAATCAAGTAAAGGAGGTCGAGCCTTCTCTTTCATGGCTCCTACACTCTGGAATAGCCTTCCTGATAACGTCGGAGGCTCAGACACACTCTCCCAGTTCAAAACTAGATTAAAGACCTATCTGTTTAGTAAAGCATACACTCAATGCATCACCTAGCGGGTTCCACACTGGCTTCTGCATCTTGCTTATATACACTATGAACAGCAGCTACGCTAATTATTTTCTTTATTCTCTATTTTCACCTGGGGATACTCATCCCGAGGTCCTCAGATTATGCGGAGTCACTGATTGGATCCAAGACCAGCGACGAGATGATCCCAAGGATTCCATATCCGGGACCAGGCCATATCCTGAGCTGCTGCTGCGCTGATGGTCGTGGGGAGTGGAGAACATGAGTCTGATTCCAGCGACGCTCCAGGGACAGACGAGTCTTCGCTGCGGCTATCTTCCAGCCTCAACCACGGCGAATGAAGCTCTGCACAAGACTTTTGGCCAGCGGAGAAATTAAAATGGTCGTGCCCAACTGAGTCTGGTTCCCTCAAGGTTTTTTTTCTTCACTCCCATCAGGTGAAGTTTTTTTTCCCTCTCCGCTGTCGCCACTGCCTCGCATGGTTCAGGATTGGTAGAGCTACACATCGATGAATTTGCTCTTCAGTGTTTGAACTCTCAGTAATGATTAAATCACACTGAACTAAGCTAAACTGAACTGAACTGAACTTAAACACTAAAACCTGAACCACACTGTTCCAGTTACTGAACCACACTGTTCCAGTTACTATGAACATTTATGTGAAGCTGCTTTGACACAATCTACATTGTAAAAGCGCTATACAAATAAAGCTGAATTGAATCATGACTGAAGATGGCGATCACTGACAGATGGAGATTCGGCTGCTGGGATTAAAGGGTTAAAGTTCATTTTCAAAACACCACCACAGTATAGCCAACCTAGAGATGTGTTTCTTCCTGTATTTTTTCTGAATTTTGATGCAATAACCAATGCTGCAACTCCAGTTTCTTCTTCCTCCGCATCATAACATGCAAGTGTCATTAAAATTGTTGCCTCTTTTTGAAGTAGTTTGCAAAATATGTGTTTAATTGTGTGTTGTCACTTGTAATAGCTTCACGCGGCTTATAATCTCGTATCTGTTATTCAATTCAATTACATTCAGCTTTATTTCCGTAGCGCTTTTACAATGTGGATTGTGTCAAAGCAGCTGAACACAAAGGTTCTAGTAAATGTAAACAGTGTCAGTCCAGTTTTCAGAGCTGAAGTTCAGTTTAGTTCAGTTCAGTGTGGTTTAATTTTCTCTGCTGAAAATCCAAACACTGAAAAGCAAATTCATCCACGCTCAGATACACAAGTCTCAATTGTCAAAATAGTTCAGCTTTTGCCACCGTGTGGATTAATACTGAATGTGTGCTGTTATTATATGCGTTTAGGTTTAAGAGTGGAGTATATGCTGGTGTTTAACTGCATTGCTTTACTGCATTTCTGCATTGGGCTCTCACATACTCTCTGCTACTTCATGCTGTAGTCGTGGTGGGCGTTCCTCTCTGTCTCGCACTGAACCCAGTCGACCAATCACAACAGACTGGGTCATCGGACCAATCAGCGCAGATTCATATGTGAGTATTATATGGGAAAATTAGGTAAAAATAAATGCATATTATATGACAATGAAAGTGTTTTTTTGACCTTGCACACAGATTAGCCTGTTGTTGGATACCCCCAAAACCAAAATATGACTTTTTATAATGCGAAATGTGAGTTAGAGATCTGCGCGGGACAAAATTTTGAATCCCGCTCCCGCCAGGTTTTAGCCCGAACCCGACCGCTCCCGCTTATATTAAGAATTTGTTGTCCCGCTGCCCGACCCGCCACGTTTTCTGCCCACCGCACCCGATCCCACTAAAGAGAGGGGGGAGAACAACACCGAAAATCACCCAGCTATACAGTCCAGACAGCCAAGCTGTCTGTATAAACACACACACACACACACACACACACAGCACCAAGCACACACACAGACAAAGCTGTCTCTCTCATACGCACGCGCGCGCACTAACACACACACAAGCACCAAGCAGACACACAGGCATTTGCTGTTATATCAACTCAAATGGTTGTAATACCATGTATCAAGTACCAATGTAATACCAAAAGGTTTTATATAAAGGAATATAAATACTGAGTCGCGCCAGCTCCGGGCCGCAGCGCACATTACTCTCGGGCTGATTGATTCGGGCCGGAATCGGGCAGTGAGTCCACCGACGGAGCCGGGCCAAGTGGTAAGTCTCCGGCAGGCGAGAATCTAGCCAGAACTGGCCTGAGTGTATTTTGCTATCTGGCAAAGCTCTCTCTCTCTCTTTCTCTCTCTCTCATTCGCGCGCGCACACTAACATACACACACACAAGCACCAAGCATACACACAGGCAAAGCTCTCTCTCACTCTCTCAGTCGCATAGCGATATCCGCGATATTGCTAAACAGCCCGCTCCCGTCCCAAATTAAACCCGTTACCGACCGCTCCTGCGATTTATTCGGAAATTTTTTCCCGCGCCACAGAAATCTGGTCCGGTCCCGCGGGCGCCGGGAATGCAGACCTCTAATGTGAGTTAACTCATGATAGACGTCACAATCAGGCACCTTGCTATGATGAATATCCAGTTGTACATCACAGGACACGTGATCACGAACAGCCAGTTGTAGTACATGTTTCCAGCCGGATCCACCACCTCGATCTCCTTCAGCCTGTAAGGCAATCAGACAGTGAACCAGCGCCACCAAACACACGTCTGTCACTGTTGAAACGAGCAAGTTTCCCCATCAGCCTCAAATGGGGAAATATACTCAATAATAGGGAATATACAGCAGTTATATGGAACTGTCAATGACTACGTGCACAAAATCCATCCCTGTGTTGGTCATTTTTTATGCTTAGTTATGTACTTTAACCTTAAATAGCTGTCAAGTTTGAGGACAATACCTATGAATATAAGGATAACTGTATTTGTGTCCACACCAGCACAATAACAATGTCTTTAGTTTTAGTTTATGCTTTTTCTGTCAGGATACAGCTCCATATAATGTCATATTTCAGCAGCTTAGAAATAAACAGCGACTCCTACTGTAAGTGGCACATCGAAGTAGTTCTGGCACAACCCTGTTGTCCATGTGGAATTGCAATAAATGCTCTTAAAGGGACAGTTCCTCCAAAAATGAAAAATACCTCATCATTTATTATCCATCATGTGCTTTTAAACCTTTATGAATTTCTTCTGTTGCTGGCACTCATTGACTTCCATAGGAAGGCAAAATACCATGGATGCCATTGATGGCAGCTGCCAGCATTCTTCAAAATATCTTCTTTTGTATTCAGCAGAAGAAAGAAACTAAAATATGTTGGGAATAAATAAAGTATAATTAAATTATGCAAAAATTTTATTTATTTTATTTTTGGGTGAACTGCCCCTTTAAGAGAAACCCAGCCATGGTCTGAATAAAGATGAACGTACGGTTCTTTCTTCTCTTTCTCTTTTTCCTTCTCCTTTTCTTTCTCCTTCTCTTTTTCTTTCTCCTTCTCTTTCTCTTCTTGTTCTTTCTTCTTTTCCTTCTTCTCCTTCTTTTCTTTCTTCTCCTTTTTCCTGGAGTAACAAAAACACTCTGAGCAGATCATCACATGGAGCTAAGTGTTAAATAAATTTACAAAAAGTACATCTCTTCTTACTCCTTTTTCTCCTTTTTTTCTTTCTTTTTCTTCTTTTTGTCCTCCCTGTGGATATAAAGAAAGATAAAAGATAATAAAAAATAAAAAAAAACCTTGTAATGCATTTAAAATCTGTAGATTTCCAATAGGGTCAAAAAAATGGGAAAAAATTAAAGTAAGACATTTATAAGAAATGGTTTCATTTGAACTCATAGTTTATATTATCAGCAACTTATCATTGATAAATAAAAAGGGGAAAATGTTATGTTAAAATAAATAAATAATAAATAAATAAATAAATATATATATATATATATATATATATATATATATATATATATATATATATATATATATATAAAACTTCTTAACAATACTGCAAATATATAAATGCATCACTTATTTTTTTGTTGGTTCATGTGTAATTTTACATTTATGATTTAATCCTTAAAAATAATTAAATGCATAAAAACCATTTAAACTTTTTTAAAAATTGCATTTTCCTTATTTTTATTTATTAATTCATTAAAATTTTTTATTTTGGATTTCTCCAAATCATAAAGGCCTAAAAGTGTCAGAGATATGTGCAAAAGAACAAATATATATGACAAAAGTTTGACCACACAGATTAAATCAACAAAAAATTATTGACGTAAAACATTTTTTATCTGATTTTTAGAAATGTCATGTACCCTTATGTTTTAGACACCCTTGTGTTGTGAGAAATAATGAGCCTGGATGTTTTATAGAGGTTAAAGGGGTTAAATAGTACCTTTTGTTATAATGTGTGTGTGTACTTTGTATTCCTTACATTGTGGAGACCAAATGTCCCCACAAGCATAACATTACCAGTAAAACCAGTACCACCAACATACACTCCCGGCCACTTTATTAGGTACACTTTACTAGATTTGTTGCCTCATTTTCCTGTTCTTAGCTGACAGGAGCAGCACTTCAGCGGTCTTCTGCTGCTGTAGCTCATCCGCCTCAAGGTTGGACGTGTTGTGTGTTCAGAGATGCTCTTCTGCAGAGCTCGGTTGTAACAAGTGCTTAATTGACTTACTGTTGCCTTTCTATCAGCTGGAACCAGTCTGGCCATTCTCCTTTGACATCAACAAGGCATTTGCGCCCACAGAACTGATGCTCACTGGAAAATCCCAGTAGATCAGCAGTTTCTGAAATACTGAGAGCAGCCCTACTGGCAGCAACAACCATGCCACATTCAAAGTCACTTAAATCCCCTTTCTTCCCCATTCTGATGCTCGCTTTGAACTGCAGCAGATCCTCTTGACCACGTCTACATGTCTAATTGCATTGAGCTGCTGCCATGTGATTGGCTAATTAGAATTTTCCATTAACGAGCAGTTGGATAGGTGTACCTAATAAAGTGGCCGGTAATTGTACAGTCAAAATCATAAAACACAATAAAACCATTATGTCTATAGGAAGTCCCCATGAAGACAGCTGCACAAGTGTGTGTATGTGTGTGTGACTCACTCTTCATTGTTATTGCTGTTGTTGGTGTTGTTGAAGAGAGCTCCAGCATCAGGACGCTTATTTTCTCTTCAGGAAGAAAAATAAATTCATTATTAAAAGAGTCATTGTTAACTTTGCAGTCGCTCATGTCCATCTGAGATAATCCATTTATCCGTCAACCGTAATGTATCACTCACATAACGTCCTCCATGGTAACCTGCTCCATCCCCTCCACCAGAAATCTGGGCGGGTCCAAAGGCCTCACTCGTGCAGACATGCAGCTGATTGGTCAGGACACCCGCCCGTTGCAGAGCACTGCAGCCAATAAGCAGAGAACGGAGAATGAAGTCACATGCATTGCTCAGGTGTGAGCTTCTCGTAGGCTTCAACAGAGTGTGTAAATCTTGAAGCTTCTGTTGGTCTCGTCAATCAAATCTGATCTTTACTTTGTATTCTCTGTTAGATTCAGGTTAGGTGATTGGCTGGGCCATTCTACAGCTTGATTTTCTTTCTCTGAAAGCATCTGAGAGTCTCCTTGGCTGTGCTTTGGATCATTGTCTTGCTGAAATGTCCACTCTGGTGTCATCTTCATCCTCCTGCTAATGTAGATGTTGGACTGAAGCAGCTAATATTGATTTACACTGAGGAAGGGCAGAGGCTTGCTGAAGAACTACTGAGAGATTTCAGCTGCTGTCTGGGCTTTCACTGCTGAAATACACCTTCCTTTCTTCATGTGTTCAATCCTTTCTCCCTGTGTCATTTTCATTCCACACCGAAATACCAACTGATCCAGCCGGGACTTGAACTAGTGACCAGGGATGTTTTATATACACATACATATACACATAACCATTAATAACCATTTATATCATTCAAAATAAAAGCTCATATTTATGAAACATATTTGTGTACTGTGCATATTTTTGCATGTGTGTGTGTCTATCTCTGTTTATATACATATGTATGCAGGGCCTGAGCAAGCTGAACTGCCGCTCTAGGCAGAGGACGATCACGCCACCCTCAACCCCAATGTGAAAACGAAAGTGACCGGTTATGAAAATGAAGTGAGGTGTCGCGGACCTCTTTTCCGGCGCTCTATGCGTGGATATAACTGAGGACGTGCGGGTGCTGAGGGAGGGAAGGAGGTGTCGTGGACTGGCGGACACCGCCCTCTCTATTCTGCCGCCCTATGCGTGGATATAACTGAGGACGTGCAAGTGCTGAGGGCAGGGCCGGAGCAAGCTGAACTGCCGCTCTAGGCAAAGGACGGTCACGCCGCCCTCAAACCTAAAGGGGGGGGGGGGTGTATTTTTTCTATTCTGCCGCGCTAGACGCAGATATAACTGAGGCGCGGGTGGCGAGGGTAGTTTAGGGGACACCACCCTCTCTATTCTGCCACGTTAGACGCGGATATAACTGAGGCGTTGGTGGCGAGGGTAGTTTCGGGGACGCCGCTCTATCTATTCTGCCACCCTAGACGCGGATGAGGGCGGGGGTGGCGAGGGTAGTTTCGGGTACGCCGCCCACTGTATTCTGCCGCCCTAGGCGGCCGCCTAGGTCGCCTCTATGGAAGCGCCGGCCCTGGCTGAGGGAGGGAGGTGTCGCGAACGCTGCGCTCTTTATTCTGCAGCCCTATGCGCGGATATAACTGAGGACACGGGTGCTGATGGAGGTGACGCTGACGCCGCCCTCTCTATTCTATCGTCTATGCGCGAATATATCTGAGGACGTGGGTGGTGAGGGAGGTGTCGCGGACATAACTGAGGACGCGGGTGGTAAGGGAGGTGTCGCAGACGCCGCCCTCTCTATACTGCCGCCCTAGGCAGCCGCCTAGGTCGCCTCTATGGACGCGCCGGCCCTGTATGTATGTGTGTTAAACAGTGGGGGGAATAAGTATTAAACATGTCATCATTTTACTCTGAAAATCCAATACAATCTAACGGCAATTCGTAACTTTTTAATTTAGTGGCTAATTTGTATGAATTTGAACGATCCAATTCGTACAATTTAGTACGATTTGCTCATCCCCCAATGACGATTGGGGTTAGGGGTGGGGTTAGGTGCCACGCCTCCTTTTTAAAATCGTACAATTTCGTACGACTGAACTCGTACAGGGGCGAGGCAATGGCGGAGTAGGTAGTGTTGTCGCCTCACAGCAAGAAGGCCGCTGGGTCGCTGGTTCGAACCTTGGCTCAGTTGGCGTTTCTGTGTAGAGTTTGCATGTTCTCCCTGCCTTCGCGTGGGTTTCCTCGGGTCCAAAGACATGCGGTACAGGTTAATTGGGTCGGCTAAATTGTCCGTAGTGTATGAGTGTGTGTGTGAATGTGTGTGTGGATGTTTCCCAGAGATGGGTTGCGGCTGGAAGGGCATCCGCTGCGTGAAAACTTGCTGGATAAGTTGGCGGTTCATTCCGCTGTGGCGACCCCGGATTAATAAAGGGACTAAGCCGACAAGAAAATGAATGAATGAATGAACTCGTACAAATTCGTACGAATTAGCCACTAAACTGGCAAAACGAAATCAGGCTGGAAAATTTGATATTTCTAAATGTGCCATTGAGTTTCCCCCAGATGTTGGTAACAACAAAATAAACACATATATGCAAAGAAAATAAACCTGATTAGTCTACAAATGAAGTTATGCATGATAAAATGAAATGACACACCGAAAAAGTATTGAACACATGAAGAAAGGAAGGTGTAGTTCGGCAGGGAAAGCCCAGACAGCAGCTGAAATCTCTCAGTAGTTCTTCAGCAGCCCTCTGCCCTTCCTCAATGTAAATCAATATCAGCTGCTACATTAGCAGGAGGATGAAGATGAAACCAGGGTGGACATTTCAGCAAGACGATAATCCAAAGCACAGCCGTGGAGACTCTCAGATGCTTTCAGAGAAAGAAAATCAAGCTGTAGAATGGCCAAGCCAATCCCCTGACTTGAATCCAGTAGAGAATACAGAATAAAGCTCAGATTTAATAGACGAGACCCACAGAAGCTTCAAGATTTACACACTCTGTGGGAAACTCACACTTGAGCAATGCATGTGACTTTAAGCTGCAGCACCAAAAAAGCCTTTTTTTACCTTTTTTTACCGTCTTACGGTATCTCATAAGATATCAAATATATTTCATAAGATATCAAATATATTTCAGTAGTTCAGCTCCTTCTGCTTTAGCCATTTCAATCTTATTACACACAAATTGTTTCTCAGATTTGTCTGTTTTGTTTTATTTATATACAGTATGTTTGTATTGTAAAGTTAAAGCAGATTTTGGTATAGCTTTTACCAAAATCTGGTTCAATTACGGTGACGTGGTGGCGCAGTAGGTAGTGTAGTCGCATCACAGCAAGAAGGTCACTGGTTCGAGCCTTGGCTGGGTCATTTGGCATTTCTGTGTGGAGTTTGCATGCTCTCCTCACGTTCGTGTGGATTTCCTCCCCACAGTCCAAAGACATGCAGTACAGGTGAATTGGGGGAGCTAAATTGTCTGTAGTGAATGAGTGTGTATGGATGTTTCCCAGAGATGGCTTGCAGCTGGAAGAGCCTCCGCTGGGTAAAACATATGCTGGATAAGTTGGCGGTTCATTCCACTGTGGCGGCCCCAGATTATTAAAGGGACTAAGCCAAAAAGAAAATGAAGCAGCCCCTTTAATAACAACTATTATTTCCAGGAAAAAACATGACAATGTGTTCAATACTTCTTGTCTTGTCAGTCAAATCTGGGCTTTATTCTGTATTCTCAATTGGATTCGCTTTAGGTGATTGGTTTGGCCATTCTACAGCTTGATTTTCTTCCTCTGAAAGCATCTGAGAGTCTATCAAATCTGAGCTTTATTATGCCCAAGTGAAATCTGCATGCACAGAAATCCACTGATACTTTTAGCCCATCACTGAGTCTATTTATTACCTCATGTAAATGTGCGTAAATATATATATTTATTCAGTTTTATACTATTTTCAGTACTATTATTGACTAACATGCAAACGTTTATATGGTTTATGTACAATACACTTTAAGTAACATTTTCTGTCTTTTAGTAGATTTATTATTATTTGAGAGACTTGCTTTATTCATCAAACAAGTCAATCTAATTGGATTTACATTATCTTTAAATAAAATATCATATTTTATATTGCAGATACTATATTCTCAAATCATTCTTCATAAATACGCAGATTTTCATCACACTTCTGCTAAGAAATAGCAAAAGAATGTCCCTGGTTCTGCTTATTACTGTGATTTTATAATGCAAGTGTGTTACTTTCATTAATTGTTATTTTCTTTTGCAAATGCTTTAGTGCTTTAAGTTTCAGAGAAGTGCATCATTATTCATTCACTGATTTTCTTTTCGGCTTGGTCCCTTTAGTAATCAGGGGTCGCCACAGTGGAATGAATCGGCAACTTATCCAGCATGTGTTTTACACAGCGGATGCCCTTCCAGCCACAACCCAACACTAAAAACACCCATAAACACTCAGTTACACACACACACACACACACACACACACACTATGGCCAATTTACCGCATGTGTTTGGACTGTGGGGGAGACCGGAGCACTAGGAGGAAACCCACACCAACACGGGGAGAACATGCAAACTCCACACAGAAATGCCAACTGACCCAGCCGAGGCTCGAACCAGCAACCTTCTTGCTGTAAGGCGACAGTACTAACCACCGCGCCGCCCCAAATGCATCATTAATAAAATTTATTATTATTATCTGCATGTGTGTGTGTGTGTGTGTGTCAATATGAGTGCAGTTCTGGGTTTGTGTATCTATACTGTATGCATGTGTGTGTTTGAGTGTGTGTGTCTATGTGCATTGTGCGTGTCTATAGTCACGTATTTGAGTGTCTATATGCATATGTGTGTCTATAAGAATGTGTTGGAGAGAGTGTGTGTGTGTGTGTGTCTATATGTACTGTATGTGTTTGTCTGTGAGTGTGTGTGTGGTGTCGCTTGCTCACCTTGTGTCGCTTTCACACACCTGACATCTTCACAGGTACGCCAGCGAAAACATGCAGGCATTCTCCCTCACACACACTCCGAAAACCGAAACACCGAACATTTGCCCAAAACACGGATCAGCCTCAGGTTTAAGCGGTATTCCCAAACACACACGGAGCTCCAGAGGATTGCAGACAGGCACAGTAGGATCTGGGATTAAACAGGATACAGATGAGTGTCACTGTCTCTCACGCACACACATACACACACACCTTGGGTTTTCATGTTATATGTGGACTCTCCATAGCTGTTGTGTACAGACTGTATATTGTGTCCTCTTCCCCCAACACTAACCCTAAACCAACCCTCACACAAAACACTCTGCACTTTTACATCTTCACTATACTTCTTTCTGTCACAGTTATCAGCCACTTTCCTCATAATGTCCCCATAAGATCAAAATGACTGGTTTTTATATGTATGTGGGCACATTTGGTCCTCGAAATGTAACACATGCATGCACAGACTCATTCACACACACTTACTGACTGATGAAAAATGTTAACTGTAAGTCATTAGTTGATGAATGATTTATTATCTTCCGCTGTGTAAAAGATATGCCAGAATAGTTGGCGGTTCATTCCGCTGTGGTGACATCTGATAAAAAAGAGACTAAGCTGAAATAAAACGAATCAATTTATTATCTTGTAAATGTTGTAGTGCTATAAGAATATGTCCTGTGTTACGATGTAAGGGAACTTAACCTTTTCTCTCTATGTGGAATAAAGTTGTTTCTTAAAAATCCCTCTCTCTAACAATCACATTTACTTTATTTTTATGAAGACTTACCATAGACAACACTTTTCAGCATGTTTTTACACTTTTACATTTTTAAAACACTTAATTTTTTGTGATTTATAAGCTGTTTTCCCTCATGAGGGACAAAAAAAAGTCCCCACTACGTCAAAAATTGCTGGTATCACTATACTTGTGGGGACATTCGGTCAACCGGAAATCAAAAAAGATTTCTTATATAGTTATATAAAACACAATCGCAGGAAAAGTCCAGAAGGGGGACATTTGTAGCTGCAAATGAACAAGAATTAGGTCTATTTATATTATTACAGTAGTACAATTCCTCTACAATTATAATTACTGTATTTGCATTACTGTGAGGCGTTAATAAAATGCGATTTGATAAATAATATGAATAATACTCTGTATAATTGCTGTTTAAACATTGATGTGAGGGTTATGGGTAGCGTTAATACCATATAATTAATGGGTAACGTTAATCTAATACTTAGAAAATATTTCATGTTTAAAAATTTCGTTAACTTCCGGCCGCCGCTGTATCCCTTCTAGCAACAACCGTTATTACGATCGCTTCGATTAATGAAGTACATCTGAAACTCTCAATTAATCATGAATAAAACCATGATTTTTTTTTTCTTGAGGATCTTCTCTGCTTGATGTGTGTGTTTAAGACGTGTGTGTCGATTATTTTGTGCTCACCTTGAGGCCAGATTATCTGTCCGCTAATGTGCCCAGTCAGCTCTCTCCACTGATCGCCTGTAAACCCGCTAATCAGGTTAACTTGACACTTAGGAAACACACACCACACACTGACACAACACTCTATTATGCCACAAACACACACCGAGGGAATGTATTGATTTAAATAGTGCCAGTCAAAGATGAAACACACATACAGAAATCTGATAATATAGCAAATTACATAGGCCAATATGATGATTTAGCTGGTCGACCAGCCTGGTTTAAAGGAGTTCGGGCCATTTCCAGCCTGGACTTAGCTGGTCAGGGAGATGACCAGCTAAAACCAGCCAGAGATTTTTAAAAATTTGGTTATATTTTATACAACTATTTATTTATGAAATTATAAAAGCTTATTTATCATGTTAGGGTTTTATAGTGTTTGTATAGTGTTCCGATGTAACGTAATTTCGTTCTGCATTACAATTTATTGTGATGTTTTTAATGTCAAAATAAAGGAAACTGAACTGAACTATTAAAATTTTATACTATTTCCATTACTATTATTGACTAACATGCAATCACTTTATGGTTTATGTATAATACAGTTTAAAAAGTAGTATTTTCGGCCTTTAATAGATTTATTATTATTTGAGAGACTTGCTTTCTTCATCAAACTAGTATCTAATTGGACTTGAAGTGTATTTTAAATAAAGTTTCATATTTTATATTTCAGATACTATATTCTTAAAATTATTCTTCATAAGTCCTCAGATTTTCATCACACTTCTGCAAAAAAAAAAAAGCAAAAAAAAAAAAAATGTCCCTGGTTCTGCTTATTACTGTGATTTTATAATGCAAGTGTGTTACTTTCATCGGAACGGCTGTCTTGGTTTTGGTCATTTATACCGCCGATTGCCAATAAAGCCAATAAGATTTCAGCACCCGGGTTACCCTGGCGCAAACCTCATATTCATTCATTCAGTCAGTCAGTCAGGAAGGTTCTAAAAAAGTGTGTCCGTGACCAAATGCGACCTCCTGTGGACAGTAGCAAACTCCGAAATGAGCCGCAGATTCAGAGTTCCACATGAGGTTGTTAGTTAGCAAATAATTTAAATATCACGAGCGTAAACATTAGGTGAACAGGTTACACTGTCACCCTGTGTCCAAACAACATGCTACATGAAAAATTTACAGTGATAAGCAATTTGGCTGTTTGCACAAGACAAAACACGTCAGAAATGTAAATTCAGCCATTCAGAAGCGCAGAATAGTGCACTTACTGCACTTAAGCCAAATGGTAAGCTTCATCTAATGAATACATATTAAACCTCTTTAACATGATTAAATGTAGATGCTGAATCACTGATATGTGTTGGTTTGCACTGAGTCTCAGTTCTGAAGTTCAGTTTTAGGCAGTTAATTTTATTTTCCAGATCTGAGCTGAACTATGTGCTGCTGCTTTTAGTAGTATGGCAATAAATGTCATGTACGATGGCATTCAAGCTCACATTATTAGCATTTAACACTGAATAAAGTACATAAGCTGTACCTGAGCTAATCATTGTTGTTTTTTGTTTGTTTGTTTTTTTTTCAGCTGCAAGAAGCTGTTTTTAAAATATAAATTTCAGGTGTTGGTTTGGACACAAACTTTTTAAATATGAAAATATTCCTTCTAATGCTCGCTTCTGTTGGTCCTCAATCCGGCAACTGCATTTGCGTTTGTTTGGATCCAGGAATGCAATACCTAGTTCATACACTGTGTGTGTCAAACTTTAAATTGATGGACACTGAAAGTACAGGCAATGTTATTTTTACTGCTTTATTATTGTTGTGTACAGAGCATCTAGTTATTTTAATGCTATCGTCTTCTCATGTGGAACTATTTTATATGTTCATATGTGAACCTATAAGATTATAGTAAATATTTATAAAGATAAATGTGCATTTATTTTATTTTTTATTTTATTTTAATGGTTTTAAAAATGCACATGGTCATTTTTCAATATAGTATATTTTATATTTGTGAAAACCAAACATGAGCTTGTGTGTGATTTACATATTGCCATATATATCAGGTTTCTGTTTGGGAAAAGCTGTAGTACAACATGTAGAAAAAAAGATTTGCAAATACATGGGAAAGACACAGATGCACAGCACCAGATTTTAATGTTGACAAATCAAGCCATCAAATGAGAGTAACACTGAGGTCAGAGGTCGCACTCTTTCTGGAAATGCACAGTTCTCACAGAAGGTCACATGCTAAAAACGACAAATCAGCAGTTCGATCTTTCTCCAGTGTCAATTATAGAAACATAATCAGCATAAATCAGTCTCGTTCATCTGTCAGTGTTTGTTTTTAAACAGTTTGCCCTGGTAGTAATGCATCCTGTTTGAGTTTCTGAGCCAAATAAATAAATAAATAAATAAAATCGTTATCGTCAATTGTTCCCATCATTTCCAGAAGACAGCCACTGAAATATCATTGAGTGTAATAGTTTATGTATCCAAAAATCTTGTTTGACATGATGAATGACTCTATTTGGCCTCAAAATACTCATTTGTCATCTGAAATCTTTAAACTCTGCCACTATCATTTACAAAATCATACATAACTACAGCTCAGAATAACATGTTTCATTTTGACAAATGCAGCAGGACTGTGGCTCAGTGGTTAGCACTGTGGCCTCACAGTATGGTCTCTGGTTCAGTCCCGGCTGGGTCAGTGGTTATTTCTGTGTGGAGTTTGCAAAAGGTGCTTCGCTTTTCACTACAATCCAAACACATGCGTTATAGGGGAATTGAATAAGCTAAATTTTCCGCAGTGTAGGAGTTTGTGTGTGAATGAGTGTTTCCCGGTACAGGGTTGCAGCTAGAAAAAGGACTTGCAATGAAACGTACAACAAAACTCACCCTAAGTAATGCATTTCAGATTTGCAATAATGTATATAGCACCCTGAAACGTACAATAAAAGCACCTTAAATAATGTTGACAGCGCCCTCTAGTGGATTTGGCATCTGAAATGTACTGCAAAACGAACCTTAATTAATGCATTTCAGAATCACTGAAATGCAAGCAGCCACCTCTAGTGGATTTGTCACCAATAATACATAACAAAATGCACCCTAAGTATTGTAGACAGCGCCCTCTAGTGGATTTGTCATCTGAAATATACAACTAAAGCCCGCTAAGTAATGTAATCAGCGTCCTCTAGTGGATCTGTCATCTGAAATATGCAACAAAACGTACCCTAAATAATGTTGACAGCGCCCGCTAATGGATTTGTAATCTGAGGCGTACAATAAAAAAGCACTCTAAATAATGTTTACGACGCCCTCTAGTGGATTTATCATCTTAAATATGCAGCCAAATGTACCCTAAGTAACGTATTTCAGATTCACAAAAATAGACAGCGCCCTCTAGTGGATGTGTCATCTGAAACGTACAATAAAAGCACCCTAAATAATGTTGACAGTGCCCTCTAGTGGATTTGTCATCTGAAATATGCAACAAAACGTAACCTAAGTAATGTATACAGGACCCTCTAGTGGATGTATCAACTGAAGCGTACAATAAAAGCACCCTAAATAATGTTGACAGCGCCCTCTAGTAGATCTGTCATCTGAAATATGCAACAAAACGTACCCTAAGTAATGTAGACAGCACCCGCTAATGGATTTGTAATCTGAGGCGTACAATAAAAGCGGTCTAAATAATGTTGACAGCGCCCTCTAGTGGATTTAACAACTGAAATGTATAATAAAATATACCCTAAGTTATGTAGGCAGTCACGACGCCTTCTGGTGGATTTGTCATCTGAAATGTACAACAAAATTTACCCTAACTGATGTATTTCAGATTCACAGAAATTTAGACAGCGCCCTCTAGTGGATTCGTCACCTGAAATACATGACAAACTGCTCCCTAAGTATTGTAGACAGCGCCCTCTAGTGGATTTGTCATCGGAAATGAAATAATATATATTTTATGTCGCAGCCTCTTGTGATTAGCTAACCGCAACGTTTCAAATTGCTCGATTTCAATTAATTACACAGCCCTAATATATTATCTTTCTAAATTGTAGGCTGAACATTCTCTGCCTGAATCGCTGTATTGTTCCACAGTTTGAAATATAATGGCTTTTTCTTGTATTTTTTCATCTATGTTTAGCTGCTTTGACACAATCTACATTGTAAAATATGCTATAGAAATAAAGCTGAACTGAATTGAGAGCTGAAATGCTTCTGTCGATCTGGAAATAATCTAGATTTGATGGTTGGTGAGTGCCCTGCTGCTTCTGGATCTTGTATTTCTGGCTCTCAGAGTGTTTTATTTCCCAGCGTTTCTGTCTTAATCGCTGTTTCTGTGGCCACAGTTTTTCCCATCTGGCCTTGAGCGTGTGGTGGTGCGGCGGTGGGTGCAGCGGAGGTGCTGGCTCCAACTTGAAGGTGTCCTGGGTCAGGATTGGGCACAGTCCCCTCCATCACTCCCATGTTGGCCGAATCCACACTGATGGGAACCATGTAAATGACCTGAGAGAAAGAGACATGCATCATTATATCCTCAAAAATTTTAATTGTGAATGAAGTCAAAATTAATATCCCCGCTGTACCCCCCCCCCCATTTCTGTTTAACAGATTTTTTTCCAACACATCTTCTAAACATAATAGTTTTAATAACTGATTTCTAATAACTGATTTATTTTAGCTTTGTCATGATGACAGTAAATAATATTAGACTAGATATTCTTCAAGACACTAGTATTCAGCGTAAAGTGACATATAAAGGCTTCACTAGGTTTATTAGGGTAAAGTTAGGGTATTTAGGCAAGTCATTGTATAACAGTGGTCTGTTCTGTATTTTTCAGATATTTCCCAGGTCTTGTTTAACCAAATCTGTCAACCCTCCTGTTTTTCCCTCGCAGGGCTCTCCGTACACTCAAAAATACATTTGCTGCTTGTTCAAACTTCTCATTTAATATGAGTTCAATTCATAAGATTTTGTCAGGAACAACTTAATTTTTTATGTTCAATGCACTTAAAGTTACAACAATTATTAAGTTAATTTATGTTTGGATTTACAGTGTATTTTACCATTCGATCCTGCAATCATCCTGTTAAAGTATTCTCCTGTATTTTTCCTGCATTTTGAATCTTTCTATGAGGGGTGGCAAATAAAGATCATCAAACAGCTGATCTGATTTGGGTCGGGTGCGTTTAAACAGACAAATAGACGTAATATTATGTAAACACTTGGCTTGTTTTATTTTGGCTTGTTTTATTTTAGACACAACAAATTTGGTCTTAAATGAGCCTTAAAGTGACACCTCTGTTATTTAACATAATAAAACAAAACGTCAAAAGGAGATTCATTTGCTGTTCTTTAATAAATAACTATAATACTTTAATCAGAAAGTACACTCTAAGAATAGTGTTATACAAAACAAAAAAAAATTACGCAACAGTTTGCATCAATATTCAAGTAACGACGGCATCTAACAAAATGAAGTTCAGACAACAAACTTTATTATGTTTGCCAAATCTTTTCCTCTTCATTCAGAGGCATTTTTACATAGAAAAAACCTAAAAGTTTTAAGTTGAGTACTCAAAAAATAAGTTGCTTCAATTAGTTTTTTAAATTAAAATTGAAAACAAATCCAGTGTTATGTACTTAATTACATGCACGTTTTCAAGTTTACAGTTACAGCTGCACAGGAGTGGAATTCTGTCCCTGGCAGCATCAGAGAGATAACCTCATTTAATATATTCAAAAAACATTTTAAAGGGTCACGAAACACCAAAACACATGTTTTGAGCTGTTGCCAGTCGTATATGTGTCCCACACTGCTAAAAACACTATTAGGACACCTATATTTCACTAAAAAGTGTAATTTGGTTGTTTTTGCGTTATTTTAAGCAAATTCGTACTTCCGGTTTGAAACTAATTTTTGAAGCTGCGTCACGGTCATGACATAATAGCGTGTATTCCAGCGTGCAGACTGGACGTCTGAGCCAGAGTGTGTCTTATTACGTCTTACAGTGTGCTGCATTAATGCATGAGTAAAGCTTGGTTCAAACCAATCAGCGCGCTCTATTGTGCAACTACATTAATATTCATTACTGTCACAGTGTTTAGACGACAGAGACGCCACGTTGTGTTGGCAAAACAAGCGTGAAGTGTTGCTTTTATAGTTTGCTGCCGTGAAGTTTTGTTTTCATTTTCTCTCTGTGAGAGCTCAGCTGGAGTCACGTGTGGATTAACAGTGTACGCGACGCTCCACAACAATAACTTACGTGTCTGAGGATTATTGTTTACCTGAGAGCTGTTCTCATCTGCAAACGCTGAGATCCGGATTCGCTTGTAGTCTCCTCTTAATAAAGACGCGGCTCTAGTTGCTGGTGATTGTCCTGTCTCTACAGATTTGGTAAGTGAGCGACCAGTGCTCTTTGTTTACTCAGTTTGTTCGTATCGAACAAACTATTGCACTGAGTGTAAACAAGTTAGCTCTAACAGTTACAACCAAACTATAACCTCGTGTTGGATTTTGTGACCGGAATAACACACGCGGCTTCTGACGCTACCTGCCGTGTGCATCTAAGTTTCCGGGAAATGCTGGGTTTTTTTTCTCTCATTCGCCGTGCGGTATCAAACATTGCATGAAAAATACACGCTTAGAGCAGCTCCTCGAATCAAATATCTCGTTTGTCGCGAGGGACATGAATGAATTCCCTGAATGAAAGAGCCAAACTGCAGTTAAAGTCCACCATTTAATAATTTGGCAAATAATTTGACTACAGATGTCCATGTAAACACAGTCACATTGTCCGCTGTGTGTGTGTGTTTTGACTCTGAAACTCAAGCGCGCCCAAATAGACACTTTCACACCATCCCACTTTTCTTCCTCCGACACTCCCCCCTAAACAGAGCTGGACACGCCCACTTTTCTGACTTTTTCCAAAGTAGAGGTGTGAAAACACCCTGCTGAAACGAGGGGCTTTCATGGCCCTTTAAAACCTGGTTTATAGAGAATTAGACGTGTCTTCATTCTGATTAAATTGAAACTAGCATGTTTCCAATTGTGCCCACCATCTTAATGATCTGTTGTTTAGATGTGTTTCAACTATTTTTATCTCTATTACAAAATGTTGGTGTTTTAGCTTAATTTGTACAGTAAATATTCTCTTTTAACATCTATATGACCATGTCTATTTTAGTACTTTTTAAATATGTTTGATAGATTGTATAATTTTTGTATTGTTTTTTTCTAGGTTGTTAAGGCACAACAGATGAAAAATAGCCTTCGGGCTAATTCTGATGCATTGGCAGAGATGCTAATTGATGTACACTGTCCCTGCCAAATAGTTTAGTTTAGAGCCTCAAATAAAGAAAGTAGCCGAAATTGTTTAATATTTTGTTTGTTTTCAATTGTACTGTTTATGCTTGTAAGAAATACATTTAACAACAACATTTTTGTTTTTCGATAATTTTTTATTTGTATTAAACCACAGGTTTTCATTCTTTTACAAAACAAAAAAAAAAACATGTAGATTCCCATATTATCAGTATAAAAAAAATAAAAAAACATCAGAGTGTGGATTTAAAAATACAAAACAACTCCATTAGTGTGGAAAAATTATCAACCCAATTTCTTTGGTTTGCTACAAGTTAGATATTGTTTTAAAGTAACTGACAGATATATTTACCTTTAAATTAGCCCATTTTTAAATTGATGAAATTATTAATAGTTTCCTGTTTTTAAAACTTAATAAAATTATTCTGGCAACTTAAAAGTTTTAATCTAATCAGCATTTTAAATGATGTAGTGCTAACAGACCTCTTGAGTTATTTTAGAATGTATATTTGAATTACACAGTTAAGAAAAAGATTTAAAAGATGTAATAACTAGATTTTATTTGTGCAGCCTATATTAGGCTATTAATATTCATTAAATCGTTTTTCTTATGCAGTCCCTTTATTCATCAGGGGTTGCCAAAGCGGAATGAATCGTCAATTATTGCGGCATATGTTTTACAAAGCGGATGCCCTTCCAGGTGCAACCCAGTACTGGCAAACACCCATTCACACACAACTCATACATACTATGGACATGTAAATACAGCTCATTCAATTCCCCTAAAGCGCATGTGTTTGGACTGTGGGGGAAACTGGAGCACCAACATGGGGAGAACATGCAAACTCCACACAGAAATGCCAACTGGCCCAGCCGGGACTCGAACCAGCGACCTTCTTGCTGTGAGGCGACAGTGCTAACCACTGAGCCACCGTGCCACTGGCTATTAATATTAATAAGCTGTAATCAACAGCTCCGGATGAATAGATTTAAAAATGTGCCCCTTATTTTAACATTACAATGATGAGGAATATAGTTTACAGAGCAAGGAAATTATCAACAATAGTTTCTATTTTATTTTTCTTAGACTGGATTAAAAAAGTGTAGCCTAAAAAAATGTTAACACTGCTATGGTCAATATTATTAGCCCCCTTAAGAATTATTCAATTTGGATTGTCTCCAGAACAAACCACGGTTATACAATGACTCGCCTAATTACCCTAACTTTACCCTAATTACCCTAGTTAAGCCTTTAAATGCCACTTTAAACTGAATACTAGTACTGCATCTTGCAAAATTATAAGAAAAATATTATGTGCTGTCATCATCATGCCCTTAGTTATGAGAAATTAGTTATTAAAATTATTGGGCTGTATTTTGACGGTCCATGAGCAGAGCACAAAACGCAGGGCGCAAACGCTTTCAGGGCATGTCAGAACACGTTTTTGCTAATTTAAGGACGAAAAAACCTGCTTTGCGCCGCGGTGCATGGTCTAAAAGGGTTGAGTTTATTTTCTTAATGAGTTATAGGTGTGTTTTGAGAATAAACCAATCAGAGTCTCATCTCACATTCACTTTAAGAGTCAGCTGCGTCGCGCCAAGAGCGCATTCGCTATTTACAGGACGCAAAGTAAGTCTAATTGGAAAATCTGAGCATTTCACAAGCAAACAGTCAACAGAAAACAGTTAAACAGAGCATCTACTGCGTAAGAATGAGAGATAATGGATCTACTTTCACTTTCCCTCTTGGATAAGGAAACCTTTACGCACGGACATCAATTAGTCTATAAATAAATACTTTAGTTTGTTAAGCGCAAATATTCGTTTCAAAACTATTTCTAAATTCAGTTCTAATTTCCAGCAAACGAATAAATGAACAATAATAATGAAGTGTGCTCAAAAACCTGAGTTATATCCTAAAACACATGCTGTGCCCCATATGGTCTAAAACCTGACAGGTGGACAAATCTAAGCTTGTTTTTAATAAAACAAATATAAATATGGATATAATAAATAATACTGCTAATAATAATAACATTATACAAAAGCAAATTGTTATGAATGAACTGAAAAAGCCTCCCGAGATGAAGAAGACATAAAAGCAGTGATTTTTCATATTTCTGTAGGCTAGAAAATAATATGTTTTGTAATATTTTAATCCTTTATATTTATATCCTATATCTATTCTTATTATATCCTATATATATCCTTAATATTTAAATGTGTTCATATGTAAAGATATTTGCCTCTCTTGTGTGTATTAAGCAGTGTGTAAGCGAGGCGCAACTCTGCGCTGGAGTTTAGACCGGGTTTGTTTTGGTCTAATGAAAAATCTATTATAGTTTCTCAAAATAGCAACGCGCCAGCGGTCCGCCTCAGAATGCCTTCCTTTATAGACCAGATCGCCTATGGACGCACATATGAGCGCTAATGCATTTGCTATTTAAACAGCGTAGCGCAACGCCTCAAAACCACTCTTGCGCCAAGCTGAAACTACCAAAAGACTATTGCGCCGCGCCTTGCGCCACACTGCGCCGGGTGTATGATAGGGCCCATTGTGTTTAGAAATGTGTTGAAATAATTTTCCGATTCTGATCAAACAGCAGCAGACATAAGACAAAAAAGTCTATAAAATAAAAAAAGACTCTAAAATCATAAGAAAATAAATCAAAGTTTCTACAAGAGAGAAAACAAGTTTGTTTACCTGAGTAGCGGCTCCTTCCTCTGAACTGCCGGATTCAGCCTGAAATCAACATAAATCCTCCACATAAATGTCTTAAATCTCTTTATGAGCACGTCTTTATGTGAACAGATGATGATATTGAGCAAACAGACTTACAATGACAGCCTGCTGGACAAACGAGTACACCTGAAAACAAAGAGCATCAACCACAGAATCAATGTTGATATACTCATTAAACATACTCATTAAAGGGATAGTTCACACAAAAGTGAAAAGTCGCACTATTTACTCTCCCTCAAGTGCTTCCAAACATTTATGAGGTCCTCTCTTCTGTTGAACACACACAAAAAGATATTTTGAAGGACTTTGGAAACCAATGGTTACAGGTTTCCAACATTCCTCAAAATATCTTCTTTAGTGTACAATAGATGAAAGAAACTCATAAATGTTTGAAACAAGAATGAGTAAATGATGACGGAGTTTTCATGTTTGCTTGTGTGAATGCTGTTAAAGAATGCAAAAGTGCTTAATTAATCAATAATAAAAAATATTAAAGTGTTAGAAAGTTCTTGACCTGTAGAGGGACGTTTGAGGGCAGGAGGTTTGACATCTGCAGTGAAATAAAATAAACTCCTTTGAAATCAGGACAGAAGTGGGATTGATTCATGCGAGATGAAGACTGATGTTTAGTTTACCTGTCCCTGCAGAACTGAAGACTCTGGTGGGCCGGCGTTAATGACGGGAGCGGGGCTGGGGGCGGGTCCAGAGGCAGAGACTGGGGCGGGGCCAGACAAACCTTGAGAACGAACCTGTGAAGAGAATCAGCAATAAATAACTGCATTCAAAAGCACCATAACCCTAAACATGATTCACTACATGTAGATGAATTACCATGTTTGTGAACATGCGGTACAGAGTTTGTTGTTGTCTTCGTAATAAGTTATATATTATATATATATATTATTTACAGCAGTGGTTCTCAAACTGTGGTACGTGTACCCCTAGTGGTACGCAGGCTTCCTTCTAGTGGTACGCGGAGGAATGAAAGATGTCATGTACCTGCTACATATATTTTAAAATTGATCAAAAATGATGTATATAATATGCCATATATGACATAAAGCCTATATTTCTGAGGTATTCTGAAACTTTTTTTTAACTGTGCAGAGTTGTGGCTGCTTTACTGGGCCTACTACGCTACTGTATTTCAATACTGTTCATTTTGGTGGTACTTGGAGACAATTTTTTTCTGAAGTGGTACTTGATAAAAAAAGTTTGAGAACCACTGGTCTACATAATGCTTTCAGCATATTATAACAGCTCGTCACCCAGTGATAAGCACAGTGATTCGGCAAAAATTAACGTTAAAGTGAGCGGCGTTCGTCTGACAGGTCTATTTGCGATAGCACCCTCCGAATGGATATTGGCGAAATGACCAATCATCCAGCCCCAAATATACAATCTCATTAAAGCTCCATGTGATTTTACAAGAGAGAAGCTAAAGGCCTACAATCAGGGACTAAAAATCAGCCCTGGCACTGTAGCCACACCAGCTCACATTACCACACCGACACTGCCCCACCCACAGACACGCACATTCACTACTTATATTGGTGTACAGATGGTAAAATTATATAAGCAGGACCACATTTAAGAGATATTTAAACATTTGATGTATGTGACTGAAACAAAAACAACCCATTTAAATATGCAATCATGTCATTCATTTTCTTTTCGGCTTGGTCCATTTATTAATCTTGGAATCGGCAACTTATCCAGCATATGTTTTACACAGGGGATGCCCTCAAAGCTGCAACCCATTACAGGGTTACCCAATTCCCAATTGGCCTACCCAATTCACCTATAGCATGTGTTTGGACTTGTTAAGGAAACCAGAAGGAAACCCACGCAAACATGCAAACTCCGCTCAGAAACACCAACTGACCCAGCTGAGGCTCGAACCAGCGACCTTCTTGCTGTGAGGCGACAGCGCCACCTACTGTGCCACTTTTTATGGTCCATCTTTGACAATTAGCTTGTGTTGCACTTACTGTTTGCTTGACATTCTTGCCAGATTTTGATTACATCTGCGTAACCTCAGATTGGGTCGGCCCATCTCGAAACCAGCCGATCGTTGCCGATTGGGCCAATGCTTAACATTTATAATTATTCTTACTATCATCATCATCATCATCATAATATTCACATCTTGCAAGAGATAAAAGCTGCCTACATGTAAAAACAATGCATTTGAAAAAATAAAAATAAAAAATAAATAGCTGACCGGCCCACATTTAAAAAATGGTCCGGCCCTTCTGGCATTTGCCAAAATTGCCAGATGGCCATTCCGCCCCTGCCTACAATTCTTTGTATGCCAACAATTTAGCTCTTTGTGGTCATGTGCAAGAAATAATGTTCCATGATGACCAGATTTAACACTATGTAGTGCTAAAAACCGAGGTTGTGCCTTAGCCAAAAACAAGAAAAGAAGACGAAGCTGTACAAGGCTTGGGTAATCATCAACAAGCAAAACAACTGCATTCTGACAGTGAACTGCACCTGTACGGCAGGGTATGTGAACCTACATTTGTACATTTTATTCTTAGCATTCAGTGTCCGCAGTTTAATTCACCATGTTTAACTGTTGTTAAAGATGTGCTTATAAAGAGATTTCAGGTTTAATTTTGTTGATTTCAAGCTGAATCGGGGAGTTCAGAGTAAGGAGCCGCTACTCAGGTAAACACAAACTTTTCTTCCTCTGATTTTGATTATAGAAACTTTATTTGTGTCTTTTTTCATAACTAACATACACATATTATATGAAGGATGGCAAAGATGTTTGTGTCTTGTTCATCCTGCTGTATGATCAGAATCTAAAGATATCCTCAACACATTTCTAAACATAATAGTTTTAATAACTCGTTGCTAATAACTGTTTTTTTTTCTCATTGTCGTGATGACAGTGAATAATATTAGACTAGATATTCTTCAAGATGCTAGTATTCCGCTTAAAGTGACATTTAAAGGTGATTAGGCAAGTCATTGTATAACAGTGGTTTGTTCTGGAGACTATCCAAAACTAATATTGCTGAAGGAGGCTAATAATATTGACCTTAAAGGGCACCTAGGTTACCCCTTTTTTCAGATTTAAGTCTTTTGCGTCTCTAGAATGTGTATATAAAGTTTCAGCTCAAAACACCCATCAGATTTTTCATTATACTTTTTACAAGATGCTGTTTTATACACATTTCCACCAGGGGGTGGTTTTGTGGTACTGCGCCTTTAAGACGAGTCTTCGTTCTGACACGCGGCTGTGCTGATGAAGTAAAGCTGAAGTAAATCGCTGTACTTCATTACACACATACTCTGTTTTAAAACACTTTAAACATGTGAAACTCACCCTTGAACACATTTGATGATGATTGCTGATCCTAGCGAACAGAACAGACCTTTTATTCCCGGTTGCTTTGCGTATGTCTGGTCTTGTTGACATATACACGTGACTACCGGAACATGTTAATGCGCGCAGCTGTCAATCAATTCAGTGGGCGGGGGGATCGCACTCTTACTTAAAGCTGTGGTCAGTCTGAAAACCGCTCTAATTGGTCCACTATTTATATGTTGTTAAATTGGAAAAAAAAAAAAAAAAAAAAACTGGGTGTGTTTATATTACTCCAATATGATGGTCTATACACTATATATACACATATGTCTGTCCAAATAGCTTGTTTAAAGTGCCTTTAAAACAATTAAAAACTGCTTTTATTCTAGCCGAAATAAAACAATTAAGGCTTTCTCCACAAGAACAAATATTATAGGAAATACTGTGGAAATTCCTGAATCTGTTCAACATAATTTGGGAAATATCTGAAAGAGAAAATTCAACAGCATTTCAGTGTTGGATGCACTTCTATCATGTTAAATCTTCCCTCACCTCTGTGTGGTTCGCTGGTGGGTTTTTCTGGATCTGTGTGTTTGTCTGTGCTGCGCTCATCGGGAAAAGCACCGTCTGAGGCCCGAACGGCCCCATCACCGACACCGGATACAGCATATATCTGAAGCCCTCAGGAAGCGGGAACTAAACACAAAAACACTCACAATAACGGCTGTGTGTTCATTTAACAGACATGCAGAAAACAGGAACTCTGGCATCCCAGCACACACTCAGCCATTCATTTTCCTTCAGCTTATAGTCACTATTTCAGAGGTCACCACAGCGGAATGAACCGCCAACTACTTCAGCATAAGTTTCACACAGCGGATGCCCTTCCAGCTGCAATCCAGAACTGGAAAACACCCATACACACTCACATTCACACACACTCATACACTACAGCTAATTCAGTTCATTGATTCTCCTATAGCGCATGTGTTTGGACTGTGGGGGAAACCGGAGCACCCGGAGGAAACCCACGCCAACACGGGGAGAACATGCAAACTCCACACAGAAACGTGAACTGACCCAGCTGGGACTCGAACCAGCGACCTTCTTGCTGTGAGGCCACAGTGCTAACCACTGAGACTTGTACATTTGGCCCCCACAACATAGACACACACACACTCACCTGCGCTGTGTCCATAGTGAGGATTCCCCACACACACACCATCAGGAGGACCCTGGCCGTGTCTTGAGAGCTGCAGGAGTGTGTCATGATGGAGACTCACGGCCAGCAGAGCTCCAGACGCCGTATATAAAGAGCTCCAGCAGACGCATGAGGTGTGTGTGTGACGGAGAGAGAGACGCTCGGTCATCCTGCACACACACTTCACTCCAATTATACCAATTACAGACGCTCACGTAAGAGGAATCAGCCGCTTAACACACACATAACACTTAAACAACACTTACAGACACTGATGAGTAATAAATAACACACATTAATGTCTTCAGTGGAAGAAAAACAACACACACTCACGCTGAACACACACATCTCTCACACACACATGCAGGGTACACACACACCACACAAACATGCACTTATTCTGAGCAAATACTCAGACACACACACACACACACACACACACACAATCTCTCTCTCAGACACATACACAACACATGCAACACACTCAAAGTGAATGCACACACTCACACACACACAAACTCTGAACACACTCAAACTGAATGCATGCACAACTCATTGAACACACACACACTCTCTCGCTCTCTTTCTCTCAGACATATACACTGAACACACTCAAACTGAACACACGCACACACACTGAACACACACACACACACAAACTGCACACACATATACACATATACACTGAACCACACTCAAACTGAACACACACACACACACACACACTCAAACTTAACACACGCACACACACATACACTGAACAAACTCAAACTGAACACACGCACACTGAACACACTCAAACTGAACACACACAAGGCATTGAATGCACACATAACCCATACTGGCATCGAACGGACGAACGGACAGACGGACGGACGGACGGACACACACACACACACACACACACACACACACACACACACACTGAAGACACTCAAACTGAACACACACACACACACACACTCAAACTTAACACACGCACACACACATACACTGAACAAACTCAAACTGAACACACACACATACTGAACACACAATCATACACATACCAAATACACACACACACACACACACACACACACACACACACACACACACACACACACACACAAGGCATTGAATGCACACATAACCCATACTGGCATCGAACGGACGGATGGACGGACGGACGGACACACACACACACACACATACACAAACACACATGAACACACACACACACAAACACTATAATATATTTACAATACAATAACTAAAGTATTTTATAATTAACCCCTTACACATTTCATCTGTGATATTAAAGAAAATCTATAAAACAACACAATTATCACATAACTTATGTATTTTTTTTGGACATTTATATATAATAACTCTAGGCTAGACTGAAGAATAAGAAATACTGTGACATTACATTAAAGTATCTAAAAATGCATACACACACTGCTTTCTTTTTATTTATTGCACATTCACGAACAACTTTAGTGAAGAATGTGTTTGATTTAAAGTGATCAGCAGAGGGCAGCAGTGATCCATATAATACAGAAACTGAACTACAGACCAACTAAACTAAACCAAAATCACATGAATATACATTAGAAACGCTTTTTTTAAAAATGTTTATTTAATTTGTATTTTACAATATAATAAATAAAGAAAATACTAAATAAATTATTGGTAAATATATAATGTCTTATATAGTGTATCATTTATTAATATTACTTTTATTCTATTATTATATTATTTTCTCCTTTTTCTCTAATTGATATTAAAATATATATTATATAGTGTGTCATTTATGAATATTATTATGTATTAATATAATATTATTATTGCATTTTTACTTTTATTTTCTTTAATAACTATTAAAATATAAAATGTTGTATATATTGTATTATTTATTAATATTATTATGCATTAATATTATATTATTGTATATTTTTTTCTTTTTTCCTCTGATTTATATTATAATATATCATGCTTTATATATTGTTTTATTTATTAATATAATTATGTATTAATATTCTAATATTATTGGGTTAAATTATTTTATTTTTTCAATGTTTTCTTCTAATTATTATCAAAATATATATTGTTTTATGTGTTGTATTATTTATTAATATTATTATTCATTAATATTATACAATAATTGTATTTTCCCTCTTTTTTCTCCAATTTATATTAAAATATATATTGTTTTATATATTCTATTATTTATTAATATAATTATGTATATTAATATTACATTATTATTGTAGTTTCCCTCTTTTTTCTCTAAATATTAAATAAATATAAACTGTTATAGATAGCATTATTTATTAATATTATTATATATTAATATCATATCATTCTATTATATATTATATTATTCTTTCACCATGTGACCGCATTGTTTCTTTTTAATAGTTATGTATTTATTTCAAGCTTTTTTTTGAGTTATAATTTTATGTTTATTTTTCCTCGATCTGTGACCTCAGCTCTTTTGGCGGAGAATTGACCCCACAGACAGCACTGATAAATAGGAAGCATCTCCAGCACATTTCACAATACAGTTTTATTTTATCTTGCATTCACATTTGTATTCACTCAGAAGATATTGACTGAAACTAAATGTTCAAACAAGATCTGTAAACCAACGCAAAACCTCAGGAAAATCTAATATGCTGAATTTGTGATTGTATTCACATCATATTCAAGAAATAAGGCACTGAGAATTAGTCCATCATATTCAAGATAGTGAAAAAAACACAAAAGTGACTTGATGAGGAGAGATTTAAAGGTGCAGTATGTGTGATTGACACCTAGCGGCTGAACTAGGTTTAAGGTCTTATGGAGCGAATTTTCATTCAATGTCTGACATAATCTCAACCGAAACAGAAGAAGAGGACGGGACATAATATAGCTCCTCCCACTTTTTAAAACAGCCAATAGCATTTTGTTTATATCACAGCTCTGCAAGTGAGAGTGGTTGAGCTCAGGCACATCAAATTAGAAGCCAATGAGAAGAAGGGGGCGGGCAAGTCAGAAACTAGAGAGGATTTGATTGGTCAGAAGATTTGATGAGAAGCTGAAGTATGGGGTGAGGTGAATAAAATCATTGATCCATTTAGGCAAAAGTGCATTAAAGCTTCACATGTTTATATCTGTTTTAAATCTTCTAAACGCAAATTTCGTCACTATTTTGGAGCGCACTAGATTATAGATATCTTAAAATCGAACAATACTGCTACTAACTAATTTCATGGGACCTTTAAAGCAGAATATCTGACTTTAGCATTGTTCTCCAGATAAACAAGAAAGCTCACTTGGCATGTTTCTGAAATATCTGCCTACATATTACAATATGTTTATGCTTTAGAAGAGTCAAAAACTTTCATACAACACCTTTAAAGGTACAAAAATATGGACATTTCTTGCTAAAACCGAGAACCACAGAAGACTTATTCAGGTTAATTCTGTCTGCAGTTCCTCTAGTCCAGTGGTTCCCAACATGGGGGGTCCCTGCCCACAACAGTGAGCTTTGGTGGGGGTCGTGTCATATTTAAAAAAAAATACTTAGCAGTGGACAATTTGAAGAATGATCATGTTGACTTCATTTTATCCCCTAGCTCAGTGGTCCTCAACCACCTGTCCGTGGATTAATGGGGTATATGCCGAAGCATGCAAATGGGACTTTTAATTTGCCAGTAACCTGGGTCAAGCACTTCCGGCGAACTGTATGCCAATGCAAAAACCGGCGCGTTTAAGGTCCGTTTTATAAAAAAAATCTCAACTATTTAGTCTCCACTTTCCTTCCTAATCTGCAAATGCCTCTCTGGTTCTACCGCTAACTGTACTACAAAAAAAATAAAAATAAATGACTAATGTTTTGCTTCTTACACTTTACATACCTGAAACTTGCCTACAGCACTTAATTCATTGTTTGTGTAAATTGCTTGCTTGTCCTCATTTCTAAGTCACTTTGGATAGAAGCGTCTGCTAAATGACGAAATGTAAATGATGTTTTGCTTGTATATTTTGCATTAGGCTATTATTTGTGCATAAACATATCTTGATATAGTAATAAACACACTGTTTGTTTGAAAACAACATTCTTTGTCATCATTACTGCAAACGTTTATGCGTGATGATATCATTAAACGTGGAGGGGGCCTTACAATATTTTCAGGGGAAAAGGGGATCTCGGGCAAAAACAGGTTGGGAACCACTGCTCTAGACTAGGCATTTACACTGATAAACACATCACTAAAATATACACAGAAAGCTGCTGATTATGTACAGTTAAAAGAGCGAGTTGTTTTCACAAAGGAAAAAAATCTGTGTCCAATATTTGTTTTCCCACTGTAAGTGCAATGCATAAACATGTATTTACACAATACGCACATTGTAACTAATCATTAATTTCAGTGTACGTATGTATTGGTTAAAAACCCCTTTATTATATATATATATATATATATATATATATATATATATATATATATATATATATATATATATATATATATATATAATATATTGGCTCCTTCCACAAATCTATCCATGCAGCATAAGTCTGGTTTTGCGTCCAGGGTCACGAATAATAAAGCAAATAATCCGCCACACCTTCTGTCTTTAGATGTAAAGGTTGGTTTAAAGCAGATGTTTCCTCCTCCTCATAGTGCAGTTGTCAGTGTAACGGCAGTGCTGTAGTTGGAGAGTGTTAGTCTTCATGTTAAGACCAGCGGCCTATGGAGGCAAAGTTTCGGCTCATGTCGTGTGTGTAGTCTGTGTTTTGATGTTTCCCCCAGGCTCCAAACGGGACCACGATCACTGTGCTGTTGTCCTCAGAGCCGTACTGAAGAGCCTGGACGACACAAACACTTGTGCTATCAGAATTATCAGGAAATTAGTCTGGCAATAAGTTGACTCGGGTTTTATTCAAATTAAAAAAATCTTTAGTGATATCTCATGTGAGTATAACAATAAACTCCAGTCAAAAAACTGTTGCTCTGTTTTTCTTTCTTTCACTTGCTCATCTCGTAATATACAGCTGAAGCCAGAATTATTCATCCTCTTGTGATTTTTTTTTTCTTTTTCAAATGCTTCCCAAATGATGTTTAACAAATCAAGGAATTTTTCACAGTATTTCCTATAATATTTTTTCTTCAGGAGGACGAATAATTCAACTGTTTATACCTGAAGTATGTTTTTGCTATATCCTGTCATGTATCAAAAGAAACAATAAAATACAACCATAATTATGGATGGTTATTTAATAATCATGACCAGTGTTGGGTATAACTCCTTATAATTAACATACGTTACGTAATAGTATTACTTTTCTATAGAAACAAGTAATATAATGCATTACTTTAAAAAAAAGTAATATAATTTAAGTTACTTTTTAAAAAATGTAACGCGAGTAAAGCTTTTTACCTTGCTCAACTGACTTTAAAAAACATATTGCGGTATAAAAATGATCTTGTCTTAAATCACACACTCAATGAGAGAGCGTGTTGCGAAGGAACAGACAGTCGGCTTGCACTCATCATCATCATCAGGTCTGTTTTTCACAGCATTTGAGTCGGTGTACTGTTCTAGTAACTGAATAACTCAGAATATGGGTTTCTTTCGAGTCCGGAGTATATGGTATGTTAGTACTTACTGCAGATGCAAACCATTTCATAACAACTCAATATAATTCAATATAATGAACTGATTCGACCGGTCCACTTAGAAGATCTGGTTAAAACAAAGGATTCTTTCGTAAATCTCCCGTCATTAATACAGAGAGTCAGATTGGCAGGCCGGAGACTTTTTTTTTTGCAATGGATTCTTGTTATTTTGAACTCATCAAAGAAAAGAAGTGGATTGTCGATAAGTGTAGATTGTAAGTAAAACTCTTGACAACTGCAAGAAACACGACATTGAGAAAAAAAAACTGGATGCAAAGCAGTACACTCGCACCCCACCTCCAGCAAAACAACACATGGTAGACATCAGATCACGTTCCCCAGGTAAAACAATTCATTCGACTTAGCTCAAAAATTGTTTATAGCTCTTTTTGTTGAGGGGATGCAGCCACTGTCTTAACGTTACTGTAGAAGCGACTACTGTTTTGTAATATAGGACGATTACTTTTTCTTTTGGGAATTGATTTACACATTTATTAAGGCCATGTGAAGCAATTTATTCAGTGTATAAAGTTCAAAGATTTATTTTAAGCTGGGTTTTTTTTATCGGCTTCCTGTTTATTTTGTTATTAAACATTTTAAAGGTTTCAAATGTGTTTTTGCCTTAATATAAATTATTTCATGTTAGTACTCTTGGGCTTTATTGCACTCTTTATCTTAGTAGACTGTGAATTTAATCATACTAATAACTAGGGCCAGACGGAATCTGCGGACGTTTCTTGCTATTTCTGCGGAGAATTTTGGTAAAAATCTGAATTATTTTGGGAGTATCCAGCGGAATATCATAACTTACACCTTAATATATTAAATAAAAAGTAATAAATTACTGAATAAAAACCGAATAAATTCAGATTTACACATTTACTCAAGTAAATAAACAGAATTAATAATGGGCTAAAAATCGGCAGAATTCTGCGGAATTCTGTGGAAAATCTGCGGAATTCTGAGCGCGCAGATTCCATGTGGGCCTACTAATAACCCAAAACGTACAAAAGTAGCAAATACATTACTGTACATGCTTTCATTAATCTGTATAGACAGCATGTATAGCTCTGGGTTCAGAAAGTTCTCCAAATATAATTTTATCCTTCATTTTTTAAAGGAAAATGATGCTGCAGGTTATATAGGTTCAGTTAAATGCAGAGTTTCTCTATAAAAAGGTGAGTGTAACTTAACAGGGCTCGAAATTGCGACCATTTTGGTCGCATATGCGCCCGAAAATTAATCTATGCGACCTCATAATATATATGGGAGCATTAGTGCGACTGCAGATAATGGTTGTAGTGCGACCTGTTTTGGTTCTTTCTAAATACGTGCTGAATCGCTCTTCCCTGCCGCTATATTAGTTCATATTAGCTGTCAATCACTCAAGGTATTCCGCTGTCAGATGACAGGGAAGGAGCTTTTATGACCACGGGAAATACAAATGGCTGAAGAGTAAAAACTTAAAGCACACAGGTTTGCAAACCCCACCTAAAGTTGAGGCGCAGATGAAAGCGATCATGACACGTCACGTGGTGATTAATGATCCGCCAGCTGAGATCAATCGAGTACGCGCTTCTAGGAGAAGGTGCCCGAATCTCATGCGTTGCATTCGCTGCGTGTTCAGCGCAAATGTCCACTAAAAGTCAAATCTAATACTGTACATATCATCACCAAAGAAGCTCGCCTTTACTAAGTTTACACTGAAACTGCGGCTCATAACAAAGACCGGTATTGCGCCAATGGTTTGCGCAAGAGTCCTGCTCTGCCTGCTCATAAATTGGGTCGGCTGACTCGCCTGCTTTTCCACTAACAGAAAAATGAAGATCAGCTCAGACTGAACCTTTAAATTGACACAAACTGAAACCAAAACTTTTAAAGAGTGATAGAAGTGAGACTTTACTTACTTTCTCTTGTCTGTTCTTGTTTGAGGTGTATATTATTTTTTATTTATTTACTGATGACTGCTTTGCAGCTTTCAGCATTGAATTGAATGACTTATAATCTTTTGTTTGTTTTGTAGCAGAAATATTATTTATTAAATTGACATGCATATAAAAACAGCAGCGCAAAATAAATATCTCTTACTGCAATGCTTCATTTTTGTTTGATGCAAACTATACATTTATTTTTCATAAAGTAACAGACTTTTTATAGCAGATAACCTACATTCATGCACATTCAAGGCGGTATCATAATGAGAAATGGAATTCATTGTTACTATTATTGTCATTTTTTATCATCATTAATATTCTATGGCCTAATTATTAGACATTCATTTTGGAATTATTGCACACAAATATCAATGTCTTCGCAGCATTAGTTAGATAGCTGTTTCTGGTTTTTGTCAGTCCTATTAATGTTGTTTTAAAATACAATAAATCCCTTAAAAAACTATTTGCAGCGGTGCTCATTCATTTTTTCTGGTGCTCCTAAAATTTTTTTTGTGCTCCTAAATATTTGAAGTTGGGAGCACCGGTGCTACCAAGTAAAAAAGTTAATTTCGAGCCCTGCTTAACCTGTACGTTTTGAAAGAGAGAGCCAGTTAAGGAAAATTAATGTAAAAGTAACCCAAAAGTAATATAATGCGTTACTTTCCATAAAGAGTAGCTAAGCAACGCACTTAATAGTTACTTTTTTGGGCGAGTAACTCAATTTTGTAATGCACTAATTTCAAAAGTAACTTTTCCCAACACTGATGACGACAGGCCGAGCCAGATTTTTAGAGTTGTAGAGATATTGTGTGGGAAGTTTAATGCATGATTGCGCACCTGCTCAGCGATGACGTTTGCCGCCTCGGTGGGGTCGTGGCACAGGTTGATGATGTCACAGATCTCTTGGTTGGACATGATGAAGTTGACGCCGTCAGTGGTGAGGACCAGGAAGGAGTCGTGAGCGTGCTGCAACTACAGCAAACACCACAGATTACTTTCACTGACACTTTATGCAGGGTGTGAATTATACACTGAAGACTGGGGGGGTTAACTCTGTCAATGTTAGTTTGTGTAATACATGCTTAAGTAAACCAAATTTATATATTTAATTCAATTTCATCTCATTTATTAATCAAACTTATTTCATTTTTCAGGGCAACCCGGTGGCTCAGTAGGTAGTGATGTCGCCTCACAGCAAGAAGGTCGCTGGTTCGAGCCTCGGCTGGGTCAGTTGGCATTTCTGTGTGGAGTTTGCATGTTCTCCCTATGTTCGCGTGGGTTTCCACCGGGTTCTCCGGTCCAAGTCCAAACACATGCGGTACAGGTGAATTGGGTGGGCTAAATTGTCCATAGTGTATGAGTGTGTATGGATGTTTCCCAGAGATGGGTTGCAGCTGGAAGGGCATCCGCTGCGTGAAACATATGCTGGATAAGTTGGTGGTTCATTCCGCTGTGGCGACCCCAGATTAATAAAGGGGCTAAGCCGAAAAAAAAATGAATAAATTAATTTCCGTCTTCAGTGTTTTGAGTGTTTGATATTGAGTGTATTCTGACCTACTCTATTTCACCAGATGTGTGCTTCTCGAAGATGACCATGACGCATCCTGCACTAATAAATGGACGATCTTGAAGTATTGTATGCATTTAACTCTTTAAATTCCATGTGCAAGCATTAGTATTTATTAAAATGCAAACTTTGCGTCTGATTTTACTTCACTTATAGGCTTAATATAGATACAAACAGCTATATCTTACAAAAAAACCTTGTAAACAGACAGCTGGGGTAATATTTTCTCTTGGCGTGTTTGTGCATTCACAATGGTACGAACCATTATAGGGGTGGTCAAATGAATATTTATATTTATTAACTATTAAATTATTATTTAAGACAAAGTTAACAGCAAACTGGGAGAACACAGTGGCTCAGTGGTTAGCACTGTGGCCTCACAGCAAGAAGGTCACTGGTTTGAGCCCTGGCTGGGTCCCCCACAGTCCAAACACATGCGCTATAGGTGAATTGAATAAACTTAATTGGCTGTAGTGTATGTGTGTGAATGAGTGTGTATGGGTGTTTCCCTGTACTGGGTTGCAGCTGGAAGAGCATCCGCTGTGTAAAACATGTGCTGGATAAATTAGTGAGTCATTCCGCTGTGAATAAAGGGACTAACCTGAAGGAAAATGAATGAATAACAGCAAGCTATTTCTCAATTTTAAAGGACTTAAATACCCATACACCCAGTAATCCACACCCTGGTTTCATGTCAAACAATGAGGGAATACATTTTAAAAGTCATAGGGATGAAATAATGTGAAAAGCACATACTAGAGTCCGTGTGATCTCTGGTTCAGCGATCACGCCACTTTTTTTCAAGTCAAAGTCTCCGATGCTGCGGGTCATTGCCAAGCGGCCGTTAACGTTAGCCTGGCCGACGCTGTTCCAGGTCACGAACCCACCACTCTGACGGATCCTACAAAAGACATATTAGTTAAATTATTTAATAATAATAGTTATATATACCATTGAGGTCAGAATTATTAGCCCCCCCCTGTATATTTTTCCCCAATTTCTGTTTAACAGAGAGCAGATTTTTTTCCAACACATTTCTAAACATAATAGTTTTAATAACTCATCTCTAATAACTGATTTATTTTATATTTGCCATCATGACAGCACATAATATTTGATTAGATATTCTTCAGGATACTAGTATTCAGTCATAGATATATACATTAGATGTCGCCTGGCCTATTTTAGTCTATTGGACGGAATGCGTCAATAGCGCCTCCATCTTGCTACAGGGTAGCGCTCCTTTGAAATAAATGCGGGACCAAGGTACAGTGGAGGACTGTGGCCATCCAGAGCCAAAGATATACACATATACACATATATCTGTGATCGGGAGTTTTCCTGGATGTTAGTATGTAATTTTATTTTTCTAATTACGAAAATTTTAATTTTACATCACTTTTCTAGATTGATGGGTCAGTGACCGCACGGGCATTCCTGACAAAATGCTTGAGTTTGTGTGTACAGAAATGTACTATCCACCCTCCATGTTAATTTGATCTAATCATGTCCTGAAACACAGCTCCTCTCCTGCTTTCACTTCTCATACTGACGGAGGGAGCGATTCGTTTGTGAATGAATCTCCGTTATGAACGACTCGTTCACTAGCCGACAATAATACAAGTTTCTGGCAGCGCAGCATCTCGTTGTCATATTTCTTTTGCATTGTTTGCTGATTTTATTCAACAAAACTAGCATAAGCCGAGTGTTTAGTGCGAGTTGGAGTTGCTTTGCCTGATGGTGAATGCAGTAAGTGACTGTATTATCATCAATAACATCACCTTATTAGCACAAAAGTTCAGAACATACAAAAACGTAAAAAATTTAATATTACCTATGAAATGTTCTGCCTTTGAGCTTTGTTTTCTTTGTTTGCTCGTTACTACACTCGTAGACAGTGCTAAAGTCCCGCATCTTCAGGTAATAACACTGTCTTGACTAGTGCGGTTGAATGACATTTGTCCTGGGAGCACTGTACCAATGTGGCGGCACTATTGACGCATGCTCAGGGTCCCTATGCGATATCTAGAATATATATCTATGGTATTCACCTTAAAGTGACATTTAAAGGCTTAACTAGGGTAATTATGGTAATTAGGCAAGTTGATTGTTAAGGGTGATTGTGCATTTGTCTTTTCAATAATGATTTAGGCGTCATTTTACCATCTAAATACATATTTTTTCTCAAACACTGGTTTTCCACACAGAACAGCAACTTCTTTACATGGAATGCATATACCACTGTCTAATGCAGAAAGTGTTCTGCAAAGTCAATCAAACGATGCTTGTGTATATAAATAAACCAAAAAGTCGTATTATTCAGAATCTTCTATCCTCGAACCCTAATACTAGACACCTGATATCAAACTTTGTTCGTGTTTTAGAGGCTTCAATATGCACTAAGCATGTTAAGACAGCTTGGGCTGTGGATTTCAATGAAGAGCTGGCTGATGAGATCTGGGAAGAAGCCCTGTCGAGAATAAAAAAGCTTCAATAAATTCGAGACATAAATCAAAAGTTTTACATCGCCTTCATTTCACTGAAACTAGATTAAGTAAAATCTTTCCCTCTGTATCTCCTAAATTCAATTCAATTCACCTTTATTTCTATAGCGCTTTTACAATGTAAATTGTGTCAAAGCAGCTTCACATAGAAGATCATAGTAAATATGAATTCAAGATCAATCTTTATACGCAACCAGAGGACTACAATTAATAGAAATGCTAAAACATGAATTGACATTGCAAAAGGATGGAGGGTGGGGGTGTAGACTTTTGCACATAATATATTTGTGGTCAAAATTTATAATATTAGCAGTCTGTGAAAAATTAATATATTTTATGCAGCTGCTGAAGGGTTGCACTTAATATGCGACAGATGTGGTCTTTGGCACATTTCTTTTGCTCCTCATCAGTTTTGGTTCACCATTTTTGAGTTGTTTTTCAGTGCTTATGGTACCAAAATCCTACCCGACTACAATTTGGCTATTTTTGGATATTCAAATATGATGGACACCTTTCCATCAACCCAACAGCAAGCCCTGACGGTTGGCATGATTACAGCTAAAAAGATGATCTAACTTAATTGGAAATCTCCAAAGGCTCCCTGTTTAAGAGATGGTGAATGAGCTGCTTTATGTCATTCAAATGTAACGACTGCATCTTGAAGCTTTACAGAAAAAAGCTGAAACCACATGGGAACCTATTTCAAGACTCAATAGCATTCTACCTTTGTAAATTTTCATCTCTAACCCATATATTCATGACACTGACTTTTTGTGTATGTTTATGCTACATATGTCATGTAAATATGTTTGTGTATATTTGGTAACTGAGATGATCCCTCCTCTTTTTCTGAGGGGCTAATGTCAATTATTTTGTATTATTTTTCTTCTTTTTATTGTTATTGTACTGTTTTTGTTTTGTTAAATACCTTATAAAAAAAAGTTAAATAAAACAAACATTACAAAAAAAATAAATAAAATAAAAACGATGCTTGTGTAACACTGCGTGCACGTTTCAGACAGAAGTGAGCTGTAATGTGAGTCTCAGGGTCTTTGCTGATATTAATAGCACATGGGCAGAAAGCTCTCATATCACTACACATGCCAGAACACGCTACTGCTGGAGCGTCAGCGCTTTGACATACAGTACAAGACAAAATTATTCCCAAGTGGCGTTTAATTCAACATTTTTTAACATAATAGCTTTTATTGTCATTTTTGAAATCCCCTTATGACAGCACGTAATATTTAACTTGGCATTAATACTGGTATTCAGTGCAATTTAAAGGGAACCTATGATGCAAAATCAACCTTTGGAAGCTGGGACAGAACTGTGTGTAGTATAGTGTGTCCGCTGTACATGTGCTGTGATATGAACACAACAAGTCTCTTTTTTTTCAATTTCCTGATGTTAAAATAGGAAGAATATCTCAGTGATTTTGAGGCCCGACACAACCTGACATAGCCCACTGAATTGATTGACAGCTGCATATTAACGTGTCTACATAGTAACGCATATAAACATGTCCACAGAACAGGATTTGCAAAGAAACTGGGATTAAAAGATCTGTTTAGCGCTCTGTGATCATCTGCAGCCAAAGAGCATGGAATCACCAAGAGGCGACACTCTAGTGCAATTTGGTAAACAGCCACTAGAGGGCTACGGGTACGCAGCGGCCATTTTGGACTGAAAACTCCAATAGAACAACAGCATATTATAAGTCTGTAAATTAAACTATTAAAAGTGCTGATGATTGTGATAGTAAGTGTTGTATTGTCATCTTTCAGGTTGCATCTCAGCTTTAATGCGCTGTTTAAATAAATAAATATAAAACAAAGCAGCTGCTTTCCATCACAACAGCAATAAGATCCAATGGACAGCCGATCGTTTTCACTCCAAAACGACGGAATCCGGGGCTGTTGCTGTGCGCTGCTGTTGCAATGGAACGTTCTATTAAGTGTCGCCTCTTGGTCATTCTAAGCTCTTTGCTGCAGCTTTACAACAAAGACGATAGAATACACAAGACGTGTCACTCGTATACTTTTGAATGGGGAAAAGTGTAACAGTCAATATGGTGAATGATGCCCCGCCTACTAGTACAGGAGCCAATCAGAGATCACTATATTGCGAATAAAGCCTGCCTTCTAGTAAGTGACCCAATCAGTGATCGCTATAGAATGACAATTCTCCGGGGGAGGGGCTTGGACTATGCGTAAGTTTTTGCAGATTTTGTGTGATACGAACATTTAGAAATGAAACTAAACAGACAGATGTTGTTTAATTTTAGTGGCTATTCATAATACGTAAATTAATCGTAAGCTTGGCAAGCAGTTTCGGAGAATTTGATGTTTCCCCATTCAAACAGAATGCCCAGGCATACTGCCCAAGAGGCATTTCAAAGATGGCCGCCGAGTGAAATGACTTGCGTTAAAGGGACTTTGTCAACAATGACTTTTACTTTTCTTTCCTAAATGCGAAATTAGAGTGTATTGTGTGCTTCAGATTGCACAACTGTAGTTTCATTTAAGCCACACTATTTATTTTTATTTTTCTATTTATTTATTTATTTTATTTATTTATTTTTTATTATTATTTTTTTTCCTTTTTCTCTTATTGTACGTGTCAAAGTTGATACTGTCTATACTTTTTGAAATGTAATTCTGTTTTGTCTTCTTTTTTGCTGTAATTTGCCATAAAAGTCATAAAACAAAACAAAAAAAAAACAATGACTTTTACAAGTTTAAAGCCTTTTTTTTTTAAAACAGAGCATGTCTGTAATAAAGAAAAAAAACTGTAAAAACACCGTGTAATTCATAACTGCTGAAATCACCACAGACACATACACTATCTGTCTTGTCACCTATCTAAGTTTTAGAAACAACAAATAATAAATTGACTTCTAGTTGATCGTTTGGTATCAGAAGTGGCTTATATGAAAGATAAAGGCCTCTAGATCAGTGGTTCTCAAACTGTGGTATGTTTACCACTCGTGTTACACGGGCTTACTTGTAGTGGCATGCGGAGGAATCACTGAGAAATAAAAGAAAAAATTTACACAATTTTGAAAAATTACCATATTCTCTTGTTACATCTCGATCGCTTGAGTGTTAAAATTTAACCCACAGGCTAGAAAAAGGAGTAAGAACTGCAGCACAACGCGCTTGTGTATTCCAGGAATGCCCAGTTGAAAACATCTCAACTTTTATGAATGCCGCACTGCGAGTCACGTGACAAGAATCAACAGATCAGCTTCATATTTTATACAGAATATAACTTCGTTTTACTAATTATCTCAAACACAGAACACCCAAACACTGCAGTGCTTCTTAATTTTCTCCATAAATAGAACTCGTATTAGAGTGCAGCAATGTTCTGTCAGCTTGACATCCTCTGAGAAAAAACGGGTTCCCTAGCAATCTACAAACAAGTTAATGTTTAGATTTCAAAAAGTTTTACAAATACGTCATATGTACATGCAACATACATTTTAAAATCTATCAAAAATTGTATAAATATGAATATGACTTGTTTTTGAACTGTGCAGTGCTGTAGCTGCTTAATTTGGCCGACTTCACTGCTTTATTTCATTACTGGTCATTATGGTGGTACTTGGAGAGACCAATTTTTTCTTAGGTGGTACTTGGTGTAAAAAGTTTGAGAACCACTGACCTAGATTACACTTATTTGAGCACAATAAAATCTGATCATGTCTTGATTTTTAATGATTTCATTAGGACATTAAGGTCTGAGTTTGCTCAGACAAAAGTCTCATCACTGAACAGAAATAATGTCCAGTATAGAATATAAAGTCCTGCTGCAGTGGAGACAGAATGAATATTGTGTCTGACTCCATCATGAGCTTGGAGGACTGCATCCATACATCTCTGACATGACTCAAATCACTGATTAATAAAGTCATCTGGAATGAAGAAGAAAGCGTTCAGCAGGACTCCCAGAGTTCATCTGGATTCATCTTCAATGCCTTCTCCTTCATTTTACCCCAGACATGCTCAATAATGTTCATTTCAAGAGTTCACACTTAGCTGATGATTGATTATAAGCAAGTTTGGCATGCTGTCCCGGGAGAGAGCCCTAAACTCAAAGGTTCTTGAGCCCTGGGCTCCCTCCCGTTTGAAGGGCAAGAGGGGAGCCTTGAGCTCAAGTAGACCTCGACAACTCCCCCTTGATAAAATCTGATGACTAAAAATTGAATGCTATAAAAAGATATGCTGCATGGTGAGAGATTAACTGTAGTGCAAAATTTAGATTTATCAATTTACTTGTTGTGCATGTTTTTGGAATGTGGGAGGAAACCAGAGGACCCGGGGAAAACCCACGCAAGCACGGGAAGAACATGCAAACTACGCACAGAAACGACCACCGGCCTGTTAAAGGACTAGAACCGGTGACGTTCTTGCTGTGAGGCGACAGTGCCGCCCTATGGAGGGAAAGGTGAAGAGGTAGGGGTGGAAGGGGGGATTCTTCAAATCGAAGATGACTGTAGTGAAAAAACCCTGGCCCTTTAGAGTGGGTTAGGAATGGTCTGATTGGTGGAATCACGCATTAATAAAGTCATCTGGAATGGCAAAGAAAAGGTTTTTGCAGGACTCCCAGAGTTCATCTGGATTCATCTTCAATGCCTCCTCCTTCATCTTACCCCAGACATGCTCAATAATGTTCGTATCTGGTGACTGGGCTGGCCAATCCTAGAGCAGCTTCACCTTCTTTGCTTTCAGGAGCTTTGATGTGGAGGCTGAAGTATGAGAAGGAGCGCTATCCTGCTGGAGAATTGTCCCTCTCCTGTGGTTTGTAATGTAATGGGCAGCACAGATGTCTTGATACCTCAGGCTGTTAATGTTGCAGATCTCTCGCACACCCCCATACTGAATGTAATCCCAAACCATGATTTTTCCTTCACCAAACTTGACTGATTTCTGTGAGGATCTTGGCTCCATGTGGGTTCCAGTAGGTCTTCTGCAGTATTGGTAATGATCGGGATGCAGAACAGATGATACAACAGAAAAATCCACCTTCTGACACTTTTACACATCAACTAGAAGCAACTTTGCTGCTTGTCAGGTCGTGTAGTGTCAGTACAACTATGCAAGTATCTGTGTATGTGTAAGTGTGTGTGTACCTGTGTTTCTCGTCTTTTCTCTCCGGAGTGTGATCGTCTGTGAGTTTGCGTGATTTTCCTTTCCTACACAGCAGAGCTCGACTGTCTCCAACGCTGCCGACCACCAGCTCAATGCCGTCCCGAAGCAGAGCCACTGTCGCCGTCGTGCCCACCATCATGAGGGAGGCTGAACAGCAAACACGCATAATTTAAAGTCATTTCATTATGTTGTTTACTTTAAATAAAGTCTGTGTTATGTGGAAATTGCTGAGACTTATATTTCACTATGTCGATGTTCTTCCAATGAAAGCTGAATATTGAGTAGGGGGCGGGGCTTTATTTTCTGCATCATTCCCTCATAGCAAAGTAATGGTAAGAGTGGCGTGGCTAAGAAAATTGTATACAAAATACGAAAGTAGAGGAGCTTTTATTATACCACAGTACAGCACTGTTTTATCACACTAAATACATTTTAGGTTTCCGTTATAATGCTGCTCTGTGCAGTCGAATAAAACACACAACATATTAAAGCTTCGCTGATGTTTCCCCATTTACTATAAAACAAAGCAAAAATCAAGGGTGTGTGAGGTCATTAGAGTGAACACACACACACTCTCTGGATTTGAACATTCTTACAAACATTTGGGGTAATTCAAGTCTATAAACTTGCTAAATATACAACTCCTTTCAAGTGTTTTTTGAATGTATTCATGAAAAAATCGTACATTGTTCCGCTTTTAATGCATAGATGGAAACATAGCTATAGAGAATCCCCAAATTGATTAAATGTGCAGCGATTGCAGTGTAAATGTTTGCCGAGTACATTAGTGTGAATGATTTTTTTTCATACCATTGCCGTAAATCTGCAGCTTCTCTTCCAAAGCTGCATCCACCTCCAGGAACGCTTTTGATAAAACTGTCTGTAAATCTGTTTCCATCTCCAAACAGTCCCTATATTGAATAATAATAATAAATTAAATGAATTCACAATGCTACACTGCAGAAAATGCTTTTCTTACCAAGATTTTTTGTCTTGTTTCTAGTCCAAAAATCTACAAATTCCTAAATCAAGAAGAATTTTCTAGACAAGCAAAACATATTGTCTTGTTTTGAGAAATAATATGCCAATATTAAGTGAGTTTTTTCTTAAAACAAGCATAAAAATCTGCCAATGGGGTAAGCAAAATAATCATATGCCAAAAGAAAAAACAAGATACTGATACTGTTGCCTCACTTCGCCGGCGCTTCCTTGTACTGTTGCCTCAGCCTCACTTCACCGCCGCTCGCCATGGAGTGGCGAATGATGGTCAAGCCCCCCTTAACTTTAGAGCATAGTGATTGGATATTTACTCGCAGGGAGGAGTTTCCTCATCTCAGCTCATGGACTTACAGGCACACACAGTCAATTCGAGATGATATAAAACAACATATATTATTTAAACGCAAAACCAAGAAAACCGCAATTCACAAGCGCGTATTGAACCGTAGAGGACGTACCATACGGTTCAATATTATATTGAGAACCGTGGCATCCCTAATATATATATATATATATATATATATATATATATATTTAAAGTCTGCATTAATTAACATTAATTAATTAATGCATTAATTAATTAAGTTACTTAATTAATTAAGTAGTAGGTGAGACTTTTATTTCAGTATGTTGTACGTCCAACTGATCTAAATTGTAATATTGAGCAGGGGCAGGACTTTCTTATCTGCATATCATTCCCTCATAGCAAACTAACAGTAAAAGATGGGCGTGGCTAAGACTATTGTGGCTGAAGTGTCAAACTGACAACATCGGAGAAGAACTGCCAATCCAAACGCAAACATTTCTTCAGTGGATTAACTTGCACAGATTAATTGCTCAACCAAAATCATGAATAACAGTGTGTGAAAAGAATAACAGTATTAAATTAACATTGTTAACATTTTTGTTATTAGTTTCCAAAAGCAGAAAATGAGCACTCATGTATGTTTTGACAGATTTTTCAGTGCTGTACCTGATGTTCTGCTCCATGTGTTTGTGGCAGTAATCTGCGGCGTGTGCGCCCCCGTGTCCGTCAAACAGGGCGAAGTACAGCACGTTTTGCGTCAGCTCGCTCACTTGGAAACGGTCCTCGTTTTCCCGCCGGCGGCCGATCAGAGTCGCGCAGCCCACCCTGGACACACTGATGTGCGGGATCGGGGTTCCGTAGCGGATGCTGGGTGGCAGCAGGATGGGTTCCTCTATCCGGTTATCCCAAATCCCGAAGGAGTCCCAGGTGGCTGGACGGCCGCTGCCGTCCATGTCCAAACGAGTGGTGTGCCAGCGGACTCCGGGCACACGCACACACCTGGCAGGATGCACGCATCGAGCGCATCTCAGCAGCCGAGAAAAGCAGACGGCAGACACGGACATCAACACTTCAGATGGGACGTCTACAAGAATAAAACTAAAATTAGCATAGCTAGCAGTGTCGGTTTCATAGTGGTTACAAGTCAGTAAACCAACAAGGCATACATCTGCAGCTACTGGGCATGTGCACATCAATAAATCAAAAATAACAATTGAACGGGTGATTTAATAAGCAGAAGAAAACATTCTCGTATACGTCTGTTTCAGTATGGAACATCTATGTGAATAAAACAAAAGTTAGAATAGCTAGCGGTGTCTGCTACAGTCCCTACTGCGAATAAAATGTTGAGCTGCGCCCAAAATCGCAAACTTCCATACTATATACTACGCTAAAAACAGTATGCGAACCGAGTAGTATGTCCGAATTCATAGAATTTGGAAATCAATATGAGAGAAGTACCTGGATGACTTACTACTTCCGGCGAGAACAAGTGCGCATCAGATAGACACTTTGCATACCATGATGAACCGCGAGATTATTCATAAATGGGGCTGCATCCAAAACCGCCTACTCCTCAGTAGGTTTGGCATTTGAATCTACATGTACTCCTGGACCGTTAGAAAAGTACGTTCTATACAGTATGAATGCGAGTAGTATGAATGGAACTTCGATGTACTACATCCGCCATTTTGTCACGATGAATTGACCTACCCGCGTCAGTTGCGCCGCTTCACTCCCATTGATGAATTCTATCAAGTGGCAGCATGGGATAGCGTCGTGTGCATTGGATGGTACTTCAGAATCTTGCCAGAAATTGTAGGTCATCCGAGCACTTCTCACATACTGTTTTTCGAATTCTATGAGTTCGGACATACTACTTAACTCACATACTATTTTTTGCGTACTATATAGTATGGAAGTATGCGAATTCAGACGCAGCCTGGAAGTAAAGTGACGCAACTGATGTAGGTAGGTCAGTGATGATGACAAAATGCCGGATGTTTTACATCCATGTTCAATTTATAATACTGACATACATACCGTATATAATTTACTTGTTTATACAATATGATTGCATAGTAGTACATTTAAATTTAAATGGAGTACCTACTGAGTTGTAGGCAATTTTGGACGCAGCCTTGGTAAATCTGTAATCAAACATATGCGACTACTGGGCATGCGCACATCAATATAGCATAGCACAGCATCTTTGTGACTATTTAAAACAATTATTACTGTTTTTACATTACTGTGAAGGGCAGGTTTAGAATCGGGAGGACGTTAGTAATACACAACTTAATGGGCAATACATTCATTTTCTTGTCGGCTTAGTCCCTTTATTAATCCGGGGTCGCCACAGCGGAATGAACCGCCAACTTATCCATCCAGTTTTTACGCAGCGGATGCCCTTCCAGCCGCAACCCATCTCTGGGAAACACCCACACACACATTCACACACACACTCATACACTACAGACAATTTAGCCTACCCAATTCACCTGTACCGCATGTCTTTGGACTGTGGGGGAAACCGGAGCACCTGGAGGAAACCCACGCGAAGGCAGGGAGGACATGCAAACTACACACAGAAATGCCAACTGAGCCGAGGTTCGAACCAGCGACCTTCTTGCTGTGAGGCGACAGCACTACCTACTGCGCCACTGCCTCGCCTTAATGGGCAATTTAGGAAGTAAAACAAAATTTTCATTCACTTCTGTTCTTCGGTATGGGGGTAATGTGAATAAAACTAAAGTTAGCATAGCTAGCGGTGTCTGTACATAGGGGCTACTCCAAAGAAAAGGATCCTAAATTCTAGAAGTCATATATCTGTGACTATTGGGCATCAATATAGCATCATTTTGTGACAAAATTAAAAACAATGATTACTATTTTTGCGTTTTTGTGAGGGGTAGAGGTTAATGACACAATTTAATGTGTAATTAAATAAGTAGAAGAAGAAATACATGTCTTTAAGTTATGTTTTGGCATGGAACATCTATGTGAAACTATAATTAGCAGTGTCTGCTATATTAACCTTATTCTAAAATGCGGAAGTCTGTTTCGCGATTGTCTTAGAACTTCCGATTCTGTCGCCTATGGGAGAAATGAATAGGAATAATAAACGGCAGAAAACGGTCAAACTACTTGCTCTACAAACAAATGTTTGCACGACTATACAGACCAAGTAGAATAATATAATAAGAAAATATCAAATTGCAACATCACGCGTAACGAGCAGCTTTTAACGTCAAAAAAATGAATGGAAGTGGAAGTCTCGAGCCAAACAGATTCAAATGGCAGCGCTCGCTCGTCGGCGGAGAATAAGGTGAACACTCCAAATAAAAACTTGGTAACATTTTATAATAACTACACACGATAAAGAATTTACTAACCATTAGCTAATAGTGAATTCATTATCTGTTATGCATTAATTCTACATTAATAAGCGTTAGTAAGCAGTTTATGCAGCTACAAATTCTCTATTCTTGACTTATAAGCACCTATATAATGGGTTTAATAATTGTATTTTCATACTTAGTTAATGATTTATATTTCATGACTAAATTAAGTATTGCATTATTTACAAAACAGTTGTATTTAAGAGTAGTTGAGGGTGTTTAGGATCATTCAGAATGAGTTAGTAAATCATTAATAAACTATTGAAATCAACGTTTATATTGCTTATTATTCAGGCATATACTAATAGTTAACTAATATGTTAATAAATGCTTTATTAACTCAACTTCATGCAGTTTTGTGACCAAATCTAAAGTGAGGACTATTCATGTCTTTATAAATGACTTACAAATGACAAATAAAGGCTCAGAATCAAATGAACAATAATCTTTGCAATCTTTTCTAAAAAGTAAAATTACTGTAAAGTTTAAACATTGCACAAAACATAAACACAAATGGTTTGTAAATAATGCAATATTTAATTTATTCATGAAAAATAAATGATTAACTAAGTATGAAAATACAATTATTAAACAAATTATGAAAGTGCTTATAAGTCAAGAATAGAGCATTTGTAGCTGCAGTTATAATCTGCTTACTAACGCTTATTAATGTAGAATTAATGCATAACAGATAATGAATTCACTATTAGCTAATGCTTAATAAATGATTTATAGTGTGTAGTTAATATTAAGTGTTACCAAAAACTCTTCAAATCTAGAAGGCATATCTGTGATTACTGGTGCACACATCAATATAGTATAACTTTTGTGACAATGTACAACAATTATGCATGTTTTTCGTGTCATTCGAGTGACGCTGCAATACAATTAAAGCTACCTTTTCCCTGTTCAAAGGAGTTTTTGTCCTAATTACCCGCAACATCGATTTGCAAAATGCCTTGTTTATAAACATTTCTGAACAGCAGCACAAACTACTATGACAATGATCACCTCAGGTACTGATTATGTGCTTTATTCAGAGTTATTGCTACCGGCGTGAGTTTGTAGACCATTTTACGTGACATTTATTGCCATACTGAAAGCAGAAACAGATAGTTTACCTCTGATATTGAAAATACAGTAAGAACTAACATAAGAAAATGGTTGTTACATCAGTGCAAACCAACAAATAGTCACTCAGCATGTAGCTTTACCCAGCTGTGTGCATTTCAAGTAATAAATTGCACTGCACAAACCAAAGGTGCCTTTCACTGCATATGTTAGGTAACACTTTAACTGGTAATAAATGCATGCTGAAAGGTCAATAGGGGTAAGCTGGGTCAAGTTCGCATACACTGTCTAACTGCTGACCTCTGTGAGATGTGTTTCACATCCAAACAAACAGCACAACACCATAAATATGACATCACCGGATCGGAGCATGTGACACTGACAGGTTACATCATAACAAAAAACGTGTCCTGCAATAAATCTCAGCATTTCATAATGCTCACGATAAAGCAGAGCATGATTTCTTACCAATTACGTCTAGTTTTTAAATGACTGTTTACATCTAAACTTTATATAATACAGTGCAAAATAAAAATGTGCTTTTAAAGAACTATTAAAATGTCAAATTGTTTTTAAAGTTTTGTGCTTTAAAAACATTTAAAGGTAATTTAATGCATGCAATATTTTAAAATAGCTTTTCAGAAAATGGTTTATAAAAATGTACAAAAAATATATATTTATTTCTGATGTATTCAACGAGATATAGTGCATTAAATAGTGCGAACAGTTTATTTTATAATGTATTAGACCTTAGTCAAAAAATATTAATCTTAAAGCTGTAAGATATTATTTGTTAAAACATATTAGACATGTAAAACGTACAGTAGCTTTGGAAATGTAACTTAATTCCTGCATTATATAATCCCCTTTTGAAAATACACAACAAAATGCTTTGAAAATAATTTGGGTTGATGAATAAAAAGTAAATTGGTGAATAAATTATTACTGATTAAGCTACTTTAAACAGATTTGACTGCCTAATACTGCATTAACAGAGTGCTGTTTTCTTTCAGTGGCTATTATTCATCTCACAGAACATTTAACTTTTAGCTGCGAGGTGTAAATAAACTGCGCCAGAATCACTGATAACAACGCAAGACTCTGATTTAAAGAGGCTTACCTGCGGGAAACGAGCAGGTTTATCATTTATTTAGTTGGTAAAGTTGGTGTTCGTCCCAACAAAGTGCACTTGTGTCCAGCTGGAGTGACAGTAGGCGAGTCAACAAACATTTACACTACTAGCTAAACAGTTTAGTTTAGCGATACTGATCGCTCCTCCAGGAGGCGCATGGCGGCTCAGAAGCCGAATTCACGTTTGAGCCGCATTTAAATCTTTTTGATATACATTTCTATTTCAGTGGAAGCTTATGTACGGAAACATATGAAGAAATATTAAACGGATCAATGCTAATAATGTTAGTGCTAATGGATAATGCTAATGTATACAAAGTAATTTTGCAAAAATTTCAAAAACACAAACATCTATGATTGATCAACCTTGGGCAGCGATGAGAAACGTAACATGTGTCACGTGCTCGTTTCTGTTCAGAAGCTGTCTGAATAATAATCAAATCTAAAATAATGGCATTTCGATATACACCGAATATAAATTATAAGTGTACAATTAAATTCTAGGGACTTTATTATTATTCATTCTACTTACCAATCGAAGACAACATACAAGTTGCAAACTCCGCCCTTTAAAAAGCTCTCCCCGCTCTTCTTGATCTGTTTCTACATACACATTCCTTTACACACAGTATCCAATCAAAAGCCGCCCCTGCCCTCAGCTCGACCTATGAGATGAGGGGGTGTGTAAGGGGGTTATTTCTTGATTTATTAAATTATATGTCTAAATATTTTTGAGTTATAAAGAAATTATTTAACACTTTTGAGTGATTAACCATCTATTTAATTTGGTTACACGATTAAAAAAAATAAACAACAAACAATAATAAACTCCTTGAGGATTCCAACATCAAATACAACACACTGGAGAACATATAAAAGCATTATTTGAGAAGAAATAATTCAGTTGATTATCGAAAAAAAGAAAGGACATGGACATTACATTACCAGCGTGTGTTTGGCCTTTCTCCCTCTCTCCCACACACACACATTCATGCACACACAGATGGATAACAGCATGTTTCCGCTGTAAACACAGCAGAAGTCCTGAATAAAAGATCAACAAGGACTCAAAACAGAGGCATTTTAATACCTTATATATAATTCCTGAGGAGACTGTAACATAAATTGCACCTAGATCGGTGTATTTTTATATTGGAATTTCAGAAATTACCAAATAAATAGCATTAAGGTTTAAATACGTTTAGGTTTTAGGCTTTTGGACTGAAATCAACACTTTTTTCTTGGCTTGGAATATATTACAATACATACTGTGCTATTACTAATATTGCATTTATAGTCTGTAGGCATAATAACATGTATATAATTCAGTATATTTACAGTATAGTAAGATGTAGGCTATTCAATTTCATTTAAATGCTGATTATTAGATGTCGTCACGCAGTTTGACATTTAGTTTTTAAAGTATTCCTTCATGATTTGTCAGATTTAATTTCCTTTAGACCAAAACATAATGACTATATTATGCATAATAGTTAATATGTCATAAATTAATATGTTAGGCATATATTTTAAACCAAGATTCATTTAATTAAATATAAGACTAAAAGTCAGCTTTTGGCCCCAATATTGGTATATTATATACACAATATACTCAATTTAAAAGCTGTTTACTTTGCCAATATCCTACATATTATTGGTTTTACTCATTTGATCCACAAATTTTAATATATAGAAAGCGCTCAGTGTTATTCACACAACTACTAAACACCATCATGTTAACACACGAAGTAAAACTAAATTAATGTAATCTACATTATGTATCAACATTAGATTATGTGTAGATGTTCGTACTTTAAAACACTGGTGTATAATACTATAACTTAATTAAATATTGTATTTAATGTAAAAATTAGAACGCGTTTTTACAGTTTCTACTGTATTTTTAAGGATAAAGTTCTGTCAGTTTTTTTGTTTACCGTAAAAATGTAGTTTTTTTTTTAAGTGCAACATAAAACTCTAAATAACATGACTTATGGGATCAAATTCCCACCTAAAGTATTGTGGTCGCAGACAGAAAAATAAAGCACGTAATTCAAAAGACTGACATTGCGTTTAAAATTATAAGACACAAAAGCAAAAACTAAACGCAGAATAAGAAGCGACAAGGTTACGTACCAAAAGATAATGAACGTGAATCAAAAATTAAAAGGTGTTTAGAAAAAAATCAGTTTTTGAATGTTTTGCATGCTTTCCGTCTTTTCCCCTTCGCTCGTTCCCACATTCTGCACTTGCATTTCCAAAAGATGCAGCTTCATCATTGGTCCACTAGTTTAGATTGACAGTTGCTCCTCTAGCCAATCAGGCGAAGGCAGAGTTGATTTTGTATTGTCATTTTTGATTCACGCTCACTATCTTTTGGTACATGTCCTCATTGTTTTTTTTTTTCTGCAGTTAGTTTTCGCAAATTATCTGCAACCACGATACTTTAGGCAGGGATTTGATCCCATATTGACTGATAATAAAAGCTAATAACCATTAGCTTTTATCAGGGCTTAATTTGTGCCGGAACATGCCGGACCTCTGCCTCCTCAACCACCCTCCTTCCCCGTCCGCTGTTCACTTTTGAAACCCCACCCCACCCTTTACTTTTATCCATTATCACCACTCCGCCATCCAATGCCATCCCCCCCAAAATGTACTGCTAAGTGTAACTGAAGCCAGCTAGTCAAGTGCTGTGCAGGTAAACCTCAGTCCTCTGACCGTTAAATATGCTCCAGCCATAGACACTAGAAGCTGTGGTCTTTAGCCTCCTTGGTAGAGCAACCGACTCCCATGCAGAAGGTCGCCGGCGGGGGCAGCACTGTAAAAAAAAAAAAATACATGAAATTTATGGCAAATAAAAAAAATCTGGTTGCCAGTATTTAACCAATAAATGTACTGTAGAATGTCAGCACCAATAGTCTAGTGGTACTGTGCGCTGACATATAGCACAGAAATGCTCAAGGCGATCCGAGTTTGATTCACAGCTCGAGGTCCTTTGCTGATCCTTCCCCTCTCTCTACTCCCAATGCTTTCTTGTCGAAAAACTCAACTGTCCTATATCATAATAAAGGTGAGAACCCCTAAAAATATTTTAAACAAAAATACTGTAGGAAAGTAAATGTTTGGATTTCATAAAAGTTGTCATACACGGATGTGTTGAAGTGTTAACATCTACACAATTTTGTTACACAGACAAAAACACAACCATAAGACTGTGTGGATAAGAAAGATATATAATGAACCTTACTGAAACTTACTGTTAAACAGGTAATGCCTAGTTCAGACTGCGTGATTTTAGCCCCGATTTTGGCTCGCCGACAGGTTTTGAGAAATCGCCGACAAATGCCTGAAATCACAGGCAAATCACTGCTCTTGCACGTGAGTGACAATCACACAGTCTGAACTTTCAAAGACGCGATCTGAGAGAATCGCCGATGAGTCGCCGATGTCTGTGAGATATTTGGCGTGCTGAATATCTGGAGCTCTCGGCGATTCAAATCATACCGTGTGAATTGAGTTTTGACTGAAAATAACATCAGCGATCGCCTACAGCCAATGAGAGAGCAGCATTCACTTGTGTGTGCGTGTGTGTATACCTGCTGCAGGCCAGCGGGAGGCTGGTGGAGAAGTTAAAAGCGCTCTTTTTCGGTTTATTTGGACCCACGAAATGGAGGAAAAACTAGTGGAGGTTTGACAGGACTCAGGAGCAACCGTGTCTGTTTGACGTTTCATACAGAAAGGAATTAGTTTATTATCAACGTTGAGGAGAAATGGCTAATTCCCTTTAAACCCAGGTGAGCAAATATGGACATGTTCTACCCCATTAAAGGCTTCTCTCTCATTATGTAGTTAATAACAAAAGACATACGACGTGTTTTTGGCTGTGAGACGTAGTTTGGACGAACTTGTCGGCGATTCTTCCTATAGTAAAGTCATGCAATGTGAAGGTCCTTGTCACAGATCAATCTTGCAGTGTAAACAAAGCAGCGACGAAACGCAAGCCCAGATAGTCATGCAGTGTGAAAACATCTGTGACACGACTACTTTGAAAATCATGCAGTCTGAACTCGGCATAACAGACTTTTACTGTAACATTTTTACAGTTTTTTACCATCTTTTAAAGTCTGCATTAACCGGAAGCTGCCAACAATGTGAGCGAACAATATCAATATGGTTATTTTGATTTCATGTAAACTTTAAAATCAAAATAAAGCCGAATGCTTGTCATGCCATACAATAAAGAGAACAGAAAAGGTGTACAGTATAATAAAGAGCCATCACATAAATCACTTCACAGTTCGTTTCTTTTTAATAAGTAGGGCAGATGCTCCGTAGGGTCCCTAATGTGGACCGAACACAGGACACTATAGCTGTAGGTGTGTGTATGTGAGTATGACACAAACAATATCATCCACGCCACAGCGTCCAAATCAAATATTTAAACCTTCAGACATCCTTTAGCAGAAAGAGAACTCAATTCAACCCAATATCCACATCTCTCATGCTCGCGCGGAGAAGATCAAATATTCATCAGACATCACTTAGTGCTCTCAGAGCTCGGAAACACAAAGACCTCATTCAGTCAAATCCTGCTACTACGGTAAAAATAACATGAAAACATACAGCAAACAAGGATCCGGTGACAGAACAAAAGCCAGACTCATACGCTAAGAGTTTTAAAAGTTCAAAGTGCAAAATGTGCTCTGCTCACATGTGAAAAAATACTATTTATAGTAAACCATACTATAGTAAAGTGCATTATACTGTATATATTATAGTATTTGCTAATGACTTTGTTAATGAACGCTGGAGTACACACTGTGGTATTAAGTTATTACATGGCTTTCTGGAATACTTGTTTGTAATTGGATAGTCGTGACATTCCAAGGTATGTTATACCCAGACAACAACCACTAAATAACACAGGCTCATCGTGGAACTGAGAACCACCTTGATCTTCAGTGAAAACAATCAAGTATATATACTTACATTCACATTTACATGTATCTGCTCATCTTTCACGCCACTTTTGTTAACTGTTTGGCACCATCTAGTGTCTGAATAATGTGCAGGTTAGTGTATACTCCATCAGCTGTTTTAGTTTCAGTCAGCTTTGTGTTTTTGACTGTTTGGCGCCATCTAGTGTCTGAATAATGCGCAGGTTAGTGTATACTCCATCAGCTGTTTTAGTTTCTGTCAGCGTTGCGTTTTTGACTGTTTGGCGCCATCTAGTGTCTGAATAATGCGCAGGTTAGTGTATACTCCATCAGCTGTTTTAGTTTCTGTCAGCGTTGCGTTTTTGACTGTTTGGCGCCATCTAGTGTCTGAATAATGTGCAGGTTAGTGTATACTCCATCAGCTGTTTTAGTTTCTGTCAGCTTTTTATGACTGCTTAGCGCCATCTAGTGTCTGAATAATGTGCAGGTTAGTGTATACTCCATCAGCAGTTTACATTTCTGTCAGCTTTGTGTTTTTGACTGTTTATCGCCATCTAGTGTCTGAATAATGCGCAGGTTAGTGTATACTCCATCAGCAGTTTACATTTCTGTCAGCTTTGTGCTTATGACTGTTTAGCGCCATCTAGTGTCTGAATATTATGCAGGTTAGTGTATACTCCATCAGCTGTTTTAGTGTCTGTCAGCTTTGCGTTTAAAGAATTAAATAAATGATTTTGGCTCAGAACAATTTTTTGTAGAAAGTATATAGTTGTAGAAAACTATAATATTGTATCATTTGTTTATATTACTGTAGTTGTTGTGTTAGCATAGTTTAGCATCTTACAATAGCAACTACAGAATCTCCACAACAGACGAGTTTTTTCTGTATAGAATGTTTGTGATTTTAACTGTAAAAAAAAATAATAAGCTACAGTAAAAATATGTTACCCTCTAAGCAGTGAGTTTCTTTAATATATATGGTGAATAATCGTAAACGGACTACCCCTGTCACAATCACCAGCGATCTAGCCTGTGCAGATTGCAGGAGAACTAAAATTCTGCCACTGAAATTAACTACAAATCCCATTATTCCCTGCATTTACACACCTAGATTTCTCTTGATTGGAAACACACAGCTAAAGCTTGTGATTACCAGGACTATAAATACACCTCAGTCACACACACACACACACACATTGCTGAGTCTTGTAATACTGTGAGCATTACAAAGCATTTCCTTGTCTTACCTTGCTGTGTTTTTTCACCTTTGTTTTGTTTTACTGTTTATGTTGTTTTGCCAACAGTCCTGACCATTCACCTCTACTCTGACTATGCTTTTAGATTATCTGCATGCTCCTGTCTGTCCGTTTTGACCTTTTGCCTGCCAGACAACTCTCTTAATAAACTCCATTTGGATCTTTATTAAACCCCAAGAATTCCCTGCATGACACTTCAGTTTTTTTTTGTTGACATCCCAGCAGGCACACAACATAAGGCGTTAATATTGGGTTAAATTTAGGTCATGACGTCAGGTGACCAAAATTCAATGTCTAGCCAGCGTCTAAGGATGTTATTTTGACGTCCAATAACGACGTTGAATTACACTCATACTTGGCTGATTTTAGGTTTTAGGTAGTGACCAAAATCCAACGGCTGATAGATGTCAAAGTGGTAATTTCCACACAACGTCTAGATGTAACATGATTAGACGTTGATATTTGGTTGATATTAGGTTGATTTTATGTTGGACATTGACGTCGGCCTGACGTTGGGTTCTGACGTCAACTCGATTTTCATTTCCAAACAAAATCCAACGTCACCATGACTTTGACACATGTTGGGGTACAACGTCAGCATGACATACGTTCTGTGCCTGCAGGGATTATGGTTCTTTGGTTGTTTTTTTATCATCAGTTATGTACATTAAAGTTTTTTGTTGCATCTATACTATATTACTATATGTATTACTATACATTACCAATTACTATATATTAATATTTATATCTTCTGCATTAGTTCATCAGATGACTTTCTCATTACCAAACGCTTTTGGTTGTGATTTTGTCTGTGTAACAAATGCAAAATGTTAGATGTAGTAGTTTAAAACAAAGAAAATGTATTAAACACGGTAGTTTACTGTAAATTGAGAAATTTCTACTGTGTTTCTACTATACTTTTAATGTTAAAATTTTAACTACCACAGCGGGGAGGTTTTTTCTTCCTTTTTACCACAACTTTACAGAAAAATATAACAAAACAGTAACATGGTGCTCTGTGGTATTTACTATAGAATTGTTCTTTATTTTCCTGTGGGATTCATAAGATTTGAGTCTGACAGAATGCATATCTTATTACATTAAAGTGCTTTAAAGTGACTATCAGGCCAGTGTTCACAAGAACAGTGCTTTTTCCAGTGATAAAGCCCGTTAGAGTCGTTAATTCTCAACAGGATTTACAGCTGCCAGCGTTTGTTTTTCAGGTGAGCACAAGGTGACCGCAGTGACTGAACATGATTTAGACATTAGTCATTAACTGTTCTGAAAAAAACTTCAGTGCTACTAAAATACACCCAAACTCAGAATGCATCTCAGAGAGATTCAATCTACAAAGGTTTCTAAAAATAAAAAGCATTAAAGAAGAGTGATCAAACTGTTCAGCTAAATATAGTGCCATTCCACTTTTAGACATTCAGTGCAGTTTTATAGATGTAGAAAAATTAAAAATGTCATTGAGGTTTCAGTTACAAACAGACCAGAAGCGTCCCACTGACATCATCAGAGAAAGAGCCAATACAAAAACAGAAGCAGATGCTCATAATGAAAATTGAAGATCGTCTTTTTCTGTGGATTTACTTAAATGAAATGTGCGCTAGCAAAATAAACTTTGTAAATGTTGATCTCACATGGACTTTAAATGACAAATATCTCTTGTACCTCATAATAGTGAACATGTGTAGGTCAAGTTTAAATCACAGTCATTTCAAGACCTTCCATCTCTGAACATGGCTTAAAACCTGCATGAAGAAACAGTATGTAAATACAAGTACAATTGAAGACAAAATTATTGGCCCTCCTATGAGATTTTCAACACAGGCTTGTTGAGAAAATGTGCCCAGGCACACATTTCTGAGAACCGAGAAATATGTCCCCCAGGGTACATAACGGCGATATGGCTGACTGCTAACCTCCGTATGAACGTTTTTTAAGCTGAGATCAGTTGGGTTTAGGGAAGGGTATGTGTGGGTCAGTCGATATCAAGCTGATATTCGTTACGACAAGCCGACCAGCCTCTCTCGCGGACGAGCAACAAAAAGATGTTGAGACTGCCAGAAAAGTACACAGCGGCCTGTGGTGTATTTACAAGAAATGGCACATATAAAAAAAAAAACATCCCCCGATAATGTATTTGAGATGGTCAATAATGTACAGGGCGCCCTCTAGTGGATTTGAGAAAAGAAAAACTACAAGAAAATATAGTCCAGGGTTAATATTTCTCGGTTCTCAAAAATGAAGTCCTGGGGACATGTTTCCTTAAACATAAATTGGGGAAAAATATGACAGTCACTTTGCCATTCCCTCTTCAGGATGCTGTTTTGAGCAGCAGTGAGATCCAGTGAACAGTGACCTGAAGACGTTCCTCTTCCTCTTTCCCGTCCTCCCTTTTACGGGCGACTGTTCGGAGAGACATATGGACTTCCGGAGCGTCCCGATGCGCCGCTCGTGTTCACGGATTTTACACTGGAGGTGGCTCTGGATGGCAAATCCCAGTGACTCCATGTCCAGCGACGCTCCATACACTTCCCACGTCATTCCCTGCTCATCCCAGACGATCTGCTGAGGCGCAGCACTCTCCCCCTTTTGTCCATCCACGTCTCCTGTTTTACCTAGACATTTCATGGAGGTCTTCTCCGCATCACTGATGGTCACGTCTAGTGGATTCAAACCAAACGTCTGCGGCGACTCGCTACGAAGTTCAATCTCTATTTGGCACACGTGCTGATGAGGCTTTTGCGTATTGGGAGATTTATAAGGAGGCGGGCCTAGAAATCTAGGCTTGGCTCCAATTGGTGTGGAGTCCATGAGGCCTCCATTTGACAACCAATCAGAGTCAGAGTTACTATCCCGCTTGAGATCATTGCGTAGATTGGCTTCAGGGTTATTATCAGAGTCTAAACGAATGGTTTGAGGGTTGCGGACGGGACTCATTTCCGTAGATTTGCTACACAGCTTCACAACTGCCTGGATTTCAGCATCAATGTTAGTAACTTCGGTTTGTATCGCTGCGTCCTTCGTTGCAATGGCAGACAAATGTGTCATCGTCTCTGAATCCTTTTGGATCTTGGATGTCGAAGTCTTATATGCAGTATTATTCACCATCTTGTCATTCTTTATCGTGCTGTCAGCTTCCTTCTGTTCCCACAGACTCTTTCCAGTCTTTCTCTCTTGGGTTGTGACATATGCATCAGTTTTATCCTCCGGCGCTTTTGGCTGCTCTGGGTTTAATTCTCGATGCAATAACACGGATGAACTGTCTCCGCTCTTTATCTCCGGTGGTCCCAGAGGACTTTCTCGTAATGCTGTTTTGGCCCCTGGTTTGCTCTCAGCGTCGATCGGTTTATCTTTCGGAGATGGTGTCTCTTTGGACACCAGTTTTTTAATCCTCTCCGCTTTGTCCACTTTGAGAGACGTAGGACTGGTCGCTTTAATTTTAGGGCTGGAGGAGGCTTTGGGAATGTGCGAGAGAGACAATCGATTGAGACTTTTCGGAGAGTCGGTAGAGGTAATCTGAGAGGCTGATGCTGTTTTTTGGAGCATCTTTTGCGGGGACTCTGTGTAGCCCATGATGTGGGATGTCGACGGAGCCTTTTGGATGTTTTTGGGAAACAGTTTTGCTTGCAGCTTCTTCTCATGCACATTTGGGGATTTCAGTTTCACACCACTCGTTGAACTTAACACCTCAACTCCTGAAGAGCTCGATTTCGCCGGTTGTTTTGAAGCTGTTTTGTTCGCATTTGTGATCTGTTTGGTTGTAGTCGTGTGCATTGTGGGTATTTTGGACGCAGGGTGGAGATCTGCATTGCTAGCTAGCGCAGTGTGTTTTAGTGTCTTCACAGATTCCCTAGAAGTGCCTTTTTCATGCTCTTTAGCTTCATTGCATTGCTTTTCCTCAGGTCTTGTCTTGGGTTCAGGAGAGATGTTTCCTTTTCTGTGCTGGCCTGAGGGGTTGGACTCGGTTTCCCAGCATGCATTGCTTCCTGGGGTGTGAAGGAGAGCAGGATGGGGCTCCATAAAACCGATGCAAGTTAATATACAGATTGCTGATTTAGTGACACATCTGTGAAGAGAGCAGAGAGTGTTTTGAGAAAATAATACCGATAAATATTAGGATTGCACAATATATTGATTACACGATGTGTAAATGTACAACGTGTATAGATGTTTCCTATTACCGGGTTGCAGCTGGAAGGGCATCCGCTGTGTAAAACATATACATATATATATATATATATATATATATATATATATATATATACTAGGGATGTAACGGTATCAGAATTTCACGGTACGGTAATACCTCGGTATGAATGTCAGGGTACGGTATTTATTGAATCATTTACAGGAAAAAACAAAACTTATGAAAATACTCCAAAAAAGTGCCAAAAGTGTCAATGACATACAAATTAGCCATCTATCTGTAAGCTTTGAAACAGGAACTTCAATTTTAATGACAAAAAAATATTAAACCATGTAAAAAAATTAAGTTTCAATTTAGTATTGTTGAAAACTCATCACATTCAACATTTAATCACTCACTCACTTAGATAGAGATGGGTTTAAAGGAAAATTATCATATAAATATAATCTGGTAAAAGCTGGTATCTCTGGGCATTTACAATGTCCCCTGCAACAGAAAAAACCCCTCTCATTTGGGACTGAGGTTTCTGGGACAGAGAGATTTGACTTGGCCCAGGTTGACAGCAGTGGGTAACGTTGTGCATTGTCTTTCCCCGACTTGAGAGGACAAGCCATGAGTGAGATAGAGGTCTCATGTCTGCATCAATCTGAACAGTGTGCTGTGTCACACCCTCCGTCCCGCCCTTCAGTAGGCGCGCGACAACACCGCTCTTGAGTATGCGCGCTCAACCCCCCCCTCCCCGCTTTACAGTACGCGCGCGGCAACACAGCTGATCAGTACGCGCGCGGCAACACAGCTGATCAGTACGCGTGCGGCGACAACACCCGCTTCAGGTTCGATCATTTCCAGGTCTTTTTGATGCCCGCTTCTAGCAGCACACTCCATTTCCGCATTACTGGATCTGTAGCAACAACAGACTGCAAGGGATGATGGCCACCCCTGGGCTGATGGGAATTGTAGTTTTCGCTACCTCCCGTTCGCTTCATTCTCCTGAGCAAATTTTCTCAGAAGACCTATAATTTCATGCGACTACGGTAATATCGAAAAAAAATTATATTGCGGTATGACGGTATTTACAATACCGTTACATCCCTAATATATACACATTTGAAGTCAGAATTATTCGGTCACCTTTGAATTTATTTTTATTTTTTAATATTTCCCAAATTATGTTGAACAGAGCAAGGGAAATTTTCACATTATGTCTGTTAATATTTTTTCTTCTGGAGAAAGTCTTATTTGTTTTATTTTGGCTAGAATAAAGGCGGTTTTTAATTAGAAAAAAAACATTTTAGGGTCAAAATTATTAGAAATGAGTTATTAAAACTATTTTGTTTAGAAATGTGCTGAAAAAAATCTTCTCTTCGTTAAACAGAAATTGGGAAAAAATAAATGGGCTAATAATTCAGACTTCAACTGTGTGTGTGTGTGTGTGTGTGTGTTTGTGTGTGTATATATATATATGTATGTGATATTTAAGTCTAAAAATAGAAAATCAATAAAAATGTTTAATATTTGCTCCTCCTCTGACATTTCTGCAGAAAATGTTTGTATTCATGTTTTTCCTGTACTAAAAGTGCATTTACTATATGTTAAAAACAACATTTGAAAAAAATATATGTAATATATTTGTGTGTAATCTGATGTACCCTCGCCTCTTTTTATTATTTTATATTATTCATTCATTCATTTTCTTGTCGGCTTAGTCCCTTTATTACTCTGGGGTCGCCACAGCGGAATGAACTGCCAACTTATCCAGCATGTGTTTTTACGCAGCGGTTGCTCTTCCAGCCTCAACCCATCACTGGGAAACCCATACACACTCATACAAATGCACACACACATACACTATGGACAATTTAGCCTACCCAATTCACCTGTACCGCATGTGTTTGGACTGTGGGGGAAACCGGAGCACCCAGAGGAAACCCACGTGAATGCAGGGAGAACATGCAAACTCCACACAGAAACGCCAACTGACCCAGCCAAGGCTCGAACCAGCGACCTTCTTGCTGTGAGGCGACAGCACTACCTACTGCACTGCATTTTATATTATTTTTTTTCCTATTTAATTCTTCTTGTTAAGAAATGTAAAGTGATTTTGTTGTATAATGAAACTGTTAAAAAAAAGACTATAGACAAAGTCCCTATTATTTTCTAATTAAGAATATTATTATTATATGTTATATGTATACACTTTGAAAGGTGGTTGTTACGGTGGCACAGTGAGCAGCACGATCGCTTCACAGCAAGAAGGTCGCTGGTTCAAGCCCTGGCTGGGTCAGTTAACATTTCTGTGTGAAGTTTGCATGTTCTCCCCGCGTTGGCGATTTTCTCCAGGTGTTCGTTTCCCCCACAGTCCAAACACATGCGCTACAGGGGAATTGATTAACTAAATTGGCCGCAGTGTATGTGTGTGAAAAAGTTTGTATGGGTGTTTCCCTTTGTTGGGTTGTAGCTGGAAGGGCATCCGCTGCAAAAAACATATGCTGGATAAGTTGGTGGTTCATTCCGCTGTGGAGACCCCAGATTAATAAAGGGACTAAGCCGAAATGAAAATAAATGAATAAAACTTTAAGGTCCAGCCTTTTAGTCCAACGACTGTGTCTACTGGTGGATGAAGGTTCACTGTGTGTTCGTCTTTCCAGTGCACAATGTTGAATTTCTTTACATTTAACTTGTATCTGACTCCAATTTTAACAGAATATATAATTAAATTAAATAGATTATTAATATACAGTTGAAGTCAGAAATATTAGCCCCCATGTTATTTTTTTCTGTTTAATAGAGAGCAGATTTTCCAACGCATTTCTAATCATATAGTTTCAATAACTCATTTCTAATAACTGATTTATTTTATCTTTGTCATGATGACAGCACATAATAGTTGACTAGATATTTTTCAAGACACTTCTATACAGCTTAAAGTGACATGTGGACTATTGAAAAAATATATAGCTTAAAGGGGCTAAAAATATTGACCTTAAAATGGTTTTAATAAAATTTAAAACTGCTTTTATTCTAGCCCAAATAAAACAAATAAGACTTTCTCCAGAAGAAAAAATATTATCAGACATACTGTGAAAATTTCCTGAATCTGTTAAACATCATTTAGGAAATATTTAAAAAAAGAAAATAAATAAATAAATCAAAGGGGGGGCTAATAATTCTGACTTCAACTGTATGTTGTTCACATTTACACATCGATCAGTCTTGATTATTATACAGAGGTAAAATTGACTAAAACCTTAAATGGCAGCTCCCGCTTGCTCAGTATAAAATAGGTTGATTAGTCCCCTTTAAAATAAAAGTAATATCGTTTCTAATTAGAGGTCATGAGCATTAATATAAACACTGTCTACTATTGTTTCTCTATATAAACTCTGGTTTAGTCACGATTCATAGTTTCCCATGTACACTTAATTAGAATGCCAATTACAGTTAATCAACGGGTCAGGTACCCTCTCTGGGACAGTTGTACAACACCTTGTTGTAGCCGAAAAGAATGCTTTTCCACCTAATTACATACAGTTGAAGTCAGAATTATTAGCCACCCTGAATTATTAACCCACCTGTTTATTTTTATCCCCAATTTAACAGAGAGATTTCTTCAACACATTTCTAAACATAATAGTTTTAATAACTCATTTATAATACCTGATTATTTTTAAATCTTTGCCATGATGACAGTAAATAATATTTTACGAGATCTGATTTAACACACTTCCATTCAGCTTAAAGTGACATTTAAAGGCTTACCTAGGTTCATTAGGGTAACTAGGCAATTTAGAGTAATTATGAAAGTCATTTTATAACGATGGTTTGTTCTGTAGACTATCGAAAATACAGCCTATAAGGGCTAATAATATTGACATTAAAATGGTTTTAATTAAATTAAAAACTGCTTTTATTCTAGCCGAAATAAAACAAATAAGACTTTCTCCAGAAGAAAAAATATTATCAGACATACTGTAAAAATGTCCTTGCCCTGTTAAACATAATTTGGGAAATATTAAAAGAGAAAAAAAATTCAAAGGGGGGTTAATAATTCTGACTTCAACTGTATGTTATATGTAACATTGAATTAGATTCTAACAACTTCCTGCGTTTTTGTTTCGTCTACTTCTTCATAGGGGAGACAATGATATAATGTAGGGTGAATATAAGTCAATTAGGATACTTTTCCTTGGTAATCTCAATGGCAAAAGTTGTCCCAATTGACCCTCCGGCAGGTGTATAATAGTGTAACAGCTTAATAAAAAACACTGTGATGCATCAGCGACGCCCATTACTATAGAAACACGACACAACGCAAGTAAACTCTCGCTTCTTTACTAAATACACCACAGATCTTGAATAAATAGTAAACATACTCACTATTTATTGCATCCCAAAATCGATCAAGATGATGTCCGCGGTGTTTGTCCTGATAGTGAAGCTCAGTCTGAGGATGTGGAAACTGTGGAGTGTTTTTCCCTCTCATGCTTGAATAAATGACGATGCGGTGCTCTGCATCTGATTCGCGCATGCGCACTGGTCGAGCAGCGGAGGACGCACGGGAATACTAGGGCACATATTATTGATTTAGCCTTATTTTTCCAAAACATCAACAGGGATTTGCAGTTACGAGCGTTAAATTAAAATTCCTACTATATGCTATACAAATTAAACTATTTTATTTCGTTAAATTCAAGTCAAACAGAAGTTTTTAGTTCTATTTAAATACAACACAAAATGTTAAACACATAAAACTGAAAATGTTTTATATTAATGACACCTTATTTTATATAATTTGTATCTGTATCAAATATTAAAAAATTTCTTCTTTTATTTTAATTGTCTACAGTGTGTTTAATCGTTGGACAAATCTAATATATCTTAGTAGCAAAAAGCGGACTATTATGCAGCAAATCTGAATATTTATATAAACATGCACTCACCGGCCACTTTATTAGGTACACCTTACTAGTACCAGGTTGGACCTCCTTTTGCCTTCAGAACTGTCTTAATCCTTTATGGCATGGACTAAACAAGGTACTGGAAATATTCCTCACAGATTTTGCTCCATATTGACATGATAGCATCACGCAGTCACTGCAGATTTGTGGGCTGCACATCCATGATACCAATCTCCTGCTCCACCACATCCAAAAGGTGCTCAATTGGATTGAGCTCTGGTGACTGTGGAGGCCATTTGAATACAGTGAACTCATCGTCATGTTCAAGAAACCAGTCTGAGATGATTGAGCTTTATGACATCCTGCTGGAAGTAGCCATCAGAAGATGGAGACACTGTGCTCATAAAGGGATGCACATGGTCAGCAGCAATACTCAGGTAGGCTGTGGCGTTGATGCTCAATTGGTACTAATGAGCCCAAAGTGTGCCAAGAAAATCTCCCCCACACCATTACACCACCACCACCAGCCTGAACAGCTGATACAAAGCAGGATGATCCATGCTTTCATGTCAAATACAGAAGCATGATGACCACCATCATGTCTTCTGCTGCTGTAGCCCATCTGCCTCAAGGTTGGACGTGTTGTGTGTTCACAGATGCTCTTCACAGATGCAGAGCTCGGTTGTAACGAGTGCTTATTTGAGTTACTGTTGCCTTTCCATTAGCTGGAACCAGTCTGGCCATTCTCCTCTGACATCAACAAGGCATTTGCCCCCACAGAACTGCCGCTCACTGGAGATTTCCTCTTTGTCGGCTCTTTCTCCGTAAACCCTAGAGATGGTTGTGTGTGAAAATCTCAGTAGATCAGCAGTTTCTGAAATACTCAGAAAAGCCCGTCTGGCACCAACACCAATGGCACAGAAACAACAATTGTCACCAAACCCCAAATATCAATTGACAAATGACATTAACATCATGATGACATAAACGTCACAAAAAAATTGAATACTTTTTATTTAATATTATAAATTTGTCTTATCTCATATCTCAGTTTGTCAATATGAACCAAATTATTTTTCATGTGTGTCTGTAATGAGCTTCCACAGATGTGACTGAAGTTTAACTATTGCTCACATGTTAAATGTCTGACCCCTGCATCTAGAACTGAACAAAAAGTGCACAATAAGCCTATAATCGATGTGTGTGTGTGTGTGCATCTGTCTGTCTGTCTGTGCGTGCAGCTGACAGATTGATCTGTCCAAAGCAGAGCAATACTGGGACGGCGGGTTCAGAAGGATATTAAACCTTTTCATGTCCTGCAATGTCCCCAAATTCCTACAGCTGGCAGGCAACACGCACTGACCAATAGGATCACTCATCTGACTGAAAACACACAGACACCAATCAGATAATTTCCCTAGCGGAGCACGCACGGCCAATCAGATCACTTGCCTGACAGAGCACGCACGGCCAATTAGATCACTTGTCTGAAAGAGCACAGACAATCAGATCAATTGCCTTAAAACATGCCGAATCAGATTCAGTCACACATAGCACACAAAGCCAATCAGATCACATGTCTGACAGAGAACAAATGGCAAATTATATCCCGAGCACACACGGCCAATCAGATTGCTAGCCTGAAAGAGCATGCTCAGCCAATCAGATCACTTATCTGACAGAGCATGCCCAGCCAATCAGATCACTTACCTGACAGAGCATGCTCAGCCAATCAAAACACTTGTCGGAAAGAGTGTGGCCAATTAAATAAATTCTCAAAACACACAGAATCAGATGACGTGTCTGACAAAACACATGGCCAATCAAATCTTGTCTGACAGAGAACACATCAGCCAATCAGATTACACTTCTGATAGAAAACACACGGCCAAACAAATCACTCATCTGACAGAGCACACACGACCAATTAGATTACTCGTCTGACAGCACAAATGGCCAATCAGATCACTCGTCTGACAGAGCACACACGGCCAGTCAGTTCACGCATATAACAGAGCATGCACAGCCAATCAGATCCCTGATCTGAAAGAGCACAAATGGCCAATCAGATCACTCATCTGACAGAGAACACACAGCCAATCGAATCGCTCGTCTGACAGAACACAAGGTCAATCAAATCACTTGTCTGACAGAGCATACCCGATCAAATAAATAGTCTCAAAATACAGCGAATCAGATCACTCGTCTGACAGAGCATGGACAGCCTATCAGATCCCGCATCTGAAAGAGCACGAATGGCCAATCAGATCACTGATCTGACTAAAACACAGCCAATTAGATCACATGTCTGAAAGAGCATGGCCAATCAAATCATCGGTCTCAAAAACATGCCAAATCAGATTTAGTCTGACTTAACACATACCGCCAGAGAACAAACAGCCAATCAGAACGCTTATCTGACAACATGAATGGCCAATAAAATGACTTGTCTGACTGAGCACACTCGGCCAATCAGATCACTTGTCTGAAAGTGCAAGGTATATCAAATAAATTGTCTCTAAATCCACTGAATCAGATGCCGAGTTTAACAGCAAGATGGGCCAATCAGATGACTTGTCTGAATAAATTCGGCCAATCAAATCACTAGTCTGACAGAACATGGCCAATCAAATCAATGGTCTCAAAAACAAGCAGAATCGGATTCAGTATGACAGAGGACGCACAGCCAATCAGATCACACATCTGAGAGAGAACACACAGCCAATCAGATCACACATCTGAGAGAGAACACACAGCCAATCAGATCACACATCTGAGAGAGAACACACAGCCAATCAGATCACACATCTGAGAGAGAACACACAGCCAATCAGATCACACATCTGAGAGAGAGAACACACAACCAATCAGATCACACATCTGACAGATAACACACAGCCAATCAGATCACTTGTCAGAAAACAAATAATCCACCATATCAAATGGCTAATCCAATGGCTGGAGGGAGTCATTTACAGACAGTCATGTGTTTAAAGTGACCCGTGTGTTGTGTTCAGGTATTGATCGACTGGACAGAACTCCTGACCATAGGACAGATGCAGGGTGAGTGTCTGACTGACCAATAACTGCATCACATCTGACCAATCCTGCACAAATCAGACACAAACACTACAATTTCCACTGCACATATTTGTAAATGTATGATATCATATCTATTCATAATCCCTGTTTATAACACACAGCAGCCTGTATATTAAGTTCATTTCTAAAATAGCAACCGGTACAGTACATGCTCATCTATTTGTAGATAACTGATTCTAGTTAACAGACTTGTATTTTAAGTTCATAGTACAACCATCTGTAAACCATCTTTCTATAATTGCCCCTTATATCTTACACCTATATCCTGCACATGCTGCTATTGCACTCCTGGTTAGACCTGAACTACATTTTGTTGCTTTGTACATGTGTCATGACAATAAAGTGGAATCTAATCTAATCAATCTGCCCAAGAAAACTATTTAAATTATTTAAAAAGGCCTCAAGAATGAATGCGATTGGTCAACCTGGCAAGTAAAAAAAAACAGCAGTATACTAAATCTGTATGCAGCATGCTCATATAAATTCAATGCATTTCAATACCGTGTTTCTGTAGGTGAATTAATGATGCAGGTGCTGCCCCCTTGTGGACACTCAGAAGAAAGCAAGTCTATTATTCCTAAAGTTAATACGCTGGAATTTTGTTCTGTTGTAATTAAATATGCATTAAATTGATCAGAAGTGACATTTAAGGCATTGGTGATGTTACAGAAGAGCTCTACGCTAACTATGCAAACTTTATATAACCTAATATGAAGAAAATGGATGAGTTATACCCCTCACTGTTGTCATGAATGGTCATTTAAGCTATATACACAAAAATTGTTCTTTAACAGGCTGTAAACACCTTTTTTTCTGCTGTAAATTTGGCCATTTTAACAGTAGGCTCAATGGGGTATATGCCGAAGCATGCTAATAGGACTTTTAATTTGCCAGTAACCTGCGTTAATCGCTTCCGGTGAAATGAATGCCAATGCAAAATCGGCGCGTTTAAGGTCTGTTTTCTTTAAAATCAGCTGTCTCCAAGGGCGGAGTGCTATCTGATATAAAGTGAGGCTCAGATTGTACAAAAAGCACTGCATTAAATTACATTTTCCCCACCATGGCTTTATAATATGAGCAATTATTTTACCCCATTATATTCAATGGAGCTTCTGCGCTAGCCTGCCGATTCTGATGGGCACATGCGAGTAAACGGCTTTGTGTCTCGTTTTACGCTTGAGCAACTAAATTAATGCCAAAGTCTGTTTAACTGAATGTATTTTAATGACATTACAACATCGATGCTGTAAAAGGAACCAAATAATATGGAAAAAACACATAATAACAGGTTACCGGAAGTTTATCGGTATGAGAAACGTGTGGGAAACACACTAGCTCGGCATATACCCTATTCAAATTTGCTTTGTTATGGATCCAGGACTAGCAGAATTTTAATGAATTGCAGTTTCAGTTACTTATGTATTTGCTTCATGAGGGAGAGCGGGAGGTTGCAGCTTGGTCAAAACTAACCAAACTGACTTTAAAAACTAAATACTGAACTGTGAATTTCATCTATAGTTCCACACCTAATCCCGAATGTGTTCAAGACAATTTAGAGTTTATGCTTCCCCCCATTTCCAGCCTGAAATCACGAGAAAACGTAAGTATTTTACGTTTTGGCAGTTTAGTGGCTAATTCGTACAAATTCGTACGAGTTCAGTCGTGAGAAAATGTACGATTTTAAAAAGGAGGCGTGGCACCTAACCCCACCCCTAAACCCAACCTTCATTGGGGGATACGCAAATCGTACTAAAATGTACGAATTAGATAGTACGAATTTGTACGAATTAGCCATTAAATGAAAAAGTTACGAATTGCCGTGAGATTGTGTTGCCATTTCTGCCTGTATCTTTGATTTGCATTATGTGAATCAGCAAGAACTGCAGATTCGGCTGAAAATATTTAATGTTCTACTGGAGGAAAACATGTTGGCTGGCCTGAAGGTGGGTAACTAAACATTGTTTTAATCATTTTTGGATGAATAATCTCTTTAATCACTACTCCAGAAACTGTGCGTCACTCTCTCTCACGTCTGTTCTGCAGTTCCTCGCATCTGCTCAAACATTAAGGAGCGACATTTGTTTAGCTTGACTGTAAATGATTCTTTCTGACATCTTTCTGCTCAGCTTATGTTCATACACGCACACTGAACTAAACGAGTCATGTCTTTGCTAATAAATAAAGAGAAACAACCCTCCTCAAAACCAAAATCATCATTTAAAGGTGCTGTATTTAGGTTTTTGACCCGTCTAAAGCAAAAAAACACTGTCATATGTGTGCAGATATTCCAGAAACATGCTCAGTGAACATTCTTGTTTATCTGAAAAACAATGCTGGAGTCAGATATTCTGCTTTGAGCATCTGCATTATGTGCCAGAATATCTGCCTTTGTTTTGGTCATTTAACCGGTCCACTGCCAGTTTAGCCATATATATTTCAGCACTTCAGGTTGCCTTGGTGGAAAACAGCTTATTTGATTCATTTAGTCAGAAAGGCTCTCAAAGTGTGCATCCGTGACCGAAAAGCGACCTCTGGTGGACAGTAGCACACTCTGAAATGAGCCGCAGATTCAGAGTTCCACATGAGGTTATTAATTAGCAATTAATTTAAATATCATGAGTGTAAACATTAGGTGAGCAGGTTACATTGTAACCCTGAGTCCTAACAACACACTACACGGCAAGATTTGCAGTGATAAACAATTTGGCTGTTTGCATAAGACGAAACATGTCAGAAATGTAAACACAGCCATTCAGAAGCACAGAATAGTGCACTCACTGCACTCCAGCCAAATGGAAAGCTTTATAATTAATGAATACATATTAAACCTCTTTAACATGATTAAATGTAGATGCTGAATCACTGATATGTGTTGGTTTGCACTGAGTCTCAGTTCTGAAGTTCAGTTTCAGACGGTTTATTGTCTTTTCCAGATCTGAGCTGAACTATCTGCTGCTGCTTTCAGTAGTGCGGCAATAAATGTAATGTAAAATGGCATTGAGACTCACATTATTAGCATTTAACACTGAATAAAGCACATGAGCTGTACCTGAGATGATCATGTCATCAATTTTCTTTTGTTCAGCGGCAAGAAATAGAAGGCGTTTCTAAAACATAAATTTCAGGTATTGGTTAGGACAAAAACATATTGAAAGATATTCTTTCCATTACATGAACATGTTGTTATTTAAAAGATTATTTAAATGAGCTTTTAGGCTCTATAGTCAGGCACACTCCTATTACTCCTCAACCTGCGCTTGCGTTTGTTTTGATGCAGGAATGTAATACCTAGTTCAACCACTGGGTGTTAAACTTACATACTGCACCTTTAATACAGCAAAAAAAACATGTTCCTGTCATCATAAACACTGGAGTAAAATTTAAATGTCAGCAGAATAAAGAATAGAATGTTCACTAATTGTTTTCGGAATTCCCATTCTAACTGGAAAAGAAACAATGTAACTTTTTGGAATCATGTGATGGAATCCTGTGACATCAAAGGCAACTGTGTAAATGAAAACAAGCAAGGTTAGCCCAACAAAAATTAACATTAAAATTTATTAATATTCAAAGCACAGTCTGACTGTAACACACGTGCAAAATACTGAGCATGAAAGGGAACAAATCTCTACTGAGAGAGAGTGTGTGTGTGTGTGTGTTTAGGGTGAATTAAGCTGAACTGCACGTGTGTGTTTGTTTGTTTGTTTGTTTGTGTGTGTGTGTGTGTGTGTGTGTGTGTGTGTGTGTGTGTGTGTGTGTGTGTGTGTGTGAATATACAAACCTGTGGGCGAAATCTGAATCTCAAAATGAAATCCAATCTCTAAATACATAAAGTGCATGACGGAATAAACTTGGCAAATTGAGGAGAAAATTAACGGACAAAATATTCTCCTATTTACAATATACAGTCAAACCAAATCAGGAAGAACGTTTACAGATTTAAAGGAACAGTGCACCTGAAAAATGATCAATCACTCACTTGTGTCTTTCACTGACTGTTTCTCTGTTTATCTGAATGTAACATGTGTCATTTACATTTACACTGTAAAAAGCCATTAGTTGACTTTAAGCAACAGGTTTACTCACTTTATTAAAGTAAAGTCAACTAATCGCTTTAAAAGCAACAGGTTTACTCGCTTTATTAAAGTAAAGTCAACTAATCGCTTTTAAAGCAACAGGTTTACTCACTTTATTAAAGTAAAGTCAACTAATCGCTTTTAAAGCAACAGGTTTACTCACTTTATTAAAGTAAAGTCAACTAATCGCTTTTAAAGCAACAGGTTTACTCACTTTATTAAAGTAAAGTCAACTAATCGCTTTTAAAGCAACAGGTTTACTCACTTTATTAAAGTAAAGTCAACTAACCGCTTTAAAAGCAACAGATTTACTCACTTTATTAAAGTAAAGTCAACTAATCGCTTTTAAAGCAACAGGTTTACTCACTTTATTAAAGTAAAGTCAACTAATCGCTTTTAAAGCAACAGGTTTACTCACTTTATTAAAGTAAAGTCAACTAATCGCTTTAAAAGCAACAGGTTTACTCACTTTATTAAAGTAAAGTCAACTAATCGCTTTTAAAGCAACATGTTTACTCACTTTATTAAAGTAAAGTCAACTAATCGCTTTTAAAGCAACAGGTTTACTCACTTTATTAAAGTAAAGTCAACTAATCGCTTTTAAAGCAACAGGTTTACTCACTTTATTAAAGTAAAGTCAACTAATCGCTTTTAAAGCAACAGGTTTACTTACTTTATTAAAGTAAAGTCAACTAATCGCTTTAAAAGCAACAGGTTTACTCACTTTATTAAAGTAAAGTCAACTAATCGCTTTAAAAGCAACAGGTTTACTCACTTTATTAAAGTAAAGTCAACTAATCGCTTTTAAAGCAACAGGTTTACTCACTTTATTAAAGTAAAGTCAACTAACCGTTTTAAAAGCAATAGGTTTACTCACTTTATTAAAGTAAAGTCAACTAATCGCTTTAAAAGCAACAGATTTACTCACTTTATTAAAGTAAAGTCAACTAATCGCTTTAAAAGCAACAGGTTTACTCACTTTATTAAAGTAAAGTCAACTAATCACTTTTAAAGCAACAGGTTTACTTACTTTATTAAAGTAAAGTCAACTAATCGCTTTAAAAGCAACAGATTTACTCACTTTATTAAAGTAAAGTCAACTAATCGCTTTAAAAGCAACAGGTTTACTCACTTTATTAAAGTAAAGTCAACTAATCGCTTTAAAAGCAACAGATTTACTCACTTTATTAAAGTAAAGTCAACTAATCGCTTTAAAAGCAACAGGTTTACTCACTTTATTTAAAGTAAAGTCAACTAATCACTTTTAAAGCAACAGGTTTACTCACTTTATTAAAGTAAATTCAACTAATCGCTTTAAAAGCAACAGGTTTACTCACTTTATTAAAGTAAAGTCAACTAATCGCTTTAAAAGCAACAGGTTTACTCACTTTATTAAAGTAAAGTCAACTAATCACTTTTAAAGCAACAGGTTTACTTACTTTATTAAAGTAAAGTCAACTAATCGCTTTAAAAGCAACAGGTTTACTCACTTTATTAAAGTAAAGTCAACTAATCGCTTTAAAAGCAACAGGTTTACTCACTTTATTAAAGTAAAGTCAACTAATCGCTTTTAAAGCAACAGGTTTACTCACTTTATTAAAGTAAAGTCAACTAACCGTTTTAAAAGCAACAGGTTTACTCACTTTATTAAAGTAAAGTCAACTAATCGCTTTAAAAGCAACAGATTTACTCACTTTATTAAAGTAAAGTCAACTAATCGCTTTAAAAGCAACAGGTTTACTCACTTTATTAAAGTAAAGTCAACTAATCACTTTTAAAGCAACAGGTTTACTTACTTTATTAAAGTAAAGTCAACTAATCGCTTTAAAAGCAACAGATTTACTCACTTTATTAAAGTAAAGTCAACTAACCGCTTTAAAAGCAACAGATTTACTCACTTTATTAAAGTAAGTAAAATACCTAATCGCTATTTACAGTGTGTTGACCTTTTTTTGTTTTAAATAAAGGGATCTGAATGACACAAGGCTGAGTAAATAATGTTGTTTTGAGAGTAAACTATCCCTTTGAAGGAACTCCACTGAAAGCACAGGTGGATCGGGCATGTGGCATGCACAGCAAACATCACATGACCTGCTCCACACAATCCAAAGAGCACTTCCTAGAAAGTCCCACAGTTTTGTCCCGCACAACGTCCGTCCAGGCGTCTTTGGTGAGGGCCAAATCCCACAAAAAAAACATCTCCAAAAGGAAGGCGTCTAAATACTGACACAGTCTCTCTCTCTCTTTTTTTGTTTGTATTTAATACTGCAGAACTCAAGCACATCAAAACGCTCCTCTATAAAAAAATAAACCACATCTTTTGGGATTCAAAATAGTCTTTAACACCTTGTTTTTTGTTTTGCGCTGCGCCGGGATCACAGACAGTGGTAAAACAGGCAGCGAACAACACTGCGACGGTAGGAAAGAGATAGAGATATGATCTGATTGTCGAACGTCCGCCAAGTGCTTTAGCTCAAGTATGTAACTGTAGTGTGTACTGTAGTGTGCACACTTAAGGGGAGAAAGAAGAGAGTTCACCCTGCTTTTCAGAGAAAGAGAGAGAGAGAGAGAGAGAGAGAGGAATGAAAGTAACAGGCAGTGTGTTTGTTAAACCGCGAGACATCGGCCAGACTTCCACTGAGGTTAAAGCTCTTTCCAGCCCGTCGCTGCGCTCAGACAAACTATTGATCTATGGGCGTGGCCAGATCAGCACTTTGGGTCATCAGTGGGCGTGTCAATATCTGAATGCCCTGCCCCTGTCGTCAGGGAGACATCTGAACTCCCACTGGCTATTGGCTGTAACTCACCTGTGGAGGAAGGAGAAGAAGAGCAAATTAGTGCTGGTTATGCAAATATTTCCTATTTATTTTTTCCATAGGAGTTTGAAACTGACCCCTTTTAGGTTTTGATCCTAACTGTGGTGTTTTGGTCGCTTTAAATTCAAATGAGATCGTGCTCTTTTTAAAACAGGGCGGAGCTACAAATGCCTATGTGTCAATTAGGGATGCAACAGTTCTCGGTAAACAAATGCATCGTCCCGTTGTTCTCCCACGGTTCGTGCGCCCTGGGATACGCAGTTTAGAATATGCATTATTAATATTGGTTTGTAATAAAAACAACTTCAAATCAAATCAGGCCTTTATTTGTCGCATACACTTTCATATAGTGAAATTGACTACAGCTTTTGTTTGATACAAGATTATTTAACTTACGCCATCGGTGGATTATTCTGCTTGTTACAAGGAGAAACTCACCTGATTTTGGCGCATTTCTTAAAATAAAACAAATTTTTTTGACTTGTCTAAAAATGCTTTTTGATTTGAAAAAAATGTTTGATACTTGGACTAGAAAAAAGACAATACCTCTCAGCATTTTATCCAGTGTTTTGACACTTTCCACTATTGTTTTCTCATTTGTGATGTGAGTGATCTCTCCAGAAACTCAATTTATTTATAAAGCACTTTCAATACCAAATGTGGAACCAAAGTGCAGAAAAAAGAAAACAACAATGAAAAAACAGAAACAAAACCCAAAAGAGGCTAAATTTAAAGGGTCACGAAACACCAGAACACATGTTTTGAGCTGTTGACAGTCGTATATGTGTCCCACACTGCTAAAAACACTATTAGGACACCTATATTTCACTAAAAAGTGTAAATTGGTTGTTTTTGCGTTATTTCAAGCAAATTCGTACTTCCGGTTTGAAACTAGCTTTTGAAGCTGCATCACAGACATGACATAATAGCGTGTATTCCAGCGTGCAGACTGGATGTCTGAGCCAGAGTGTGTCTTATTGCGTCTTACAGTGTGCTGCATTAATGCATGAGTAAAGCTTGGTTCAAACAAATCAGCGCGCTCTATTGTGCACCTTCATTAATATTCATTACTGTCACAGTGTTTAGACGACAGAGACGCCACGTTGTGTTGGCAAAACAAGCGTGAAGTGTTGCTTTTATAGTTTGCTGCAGTGAAGTTTTGTTTTCATTTTCTCTCTGTGAGAGCTCATCTGGAGTCACGTGTGGATTAACAGTGTACGTGACGCTCGACAACAATAACTTACGTGTCTAAGGAGGATTATTGTTTACCTGAGAGCTGTTCTCATCTGCAAACGCTGAGATCCGGATTCGCTTGTAGTCTCCTCTTAATAAAGACGCGGCTCTAGTTGCTGGTGATTGTCCTGTCTCTACAGATTTGGTAAGTGAGCGACCAGTGCTCTTTGTTTATTCAGTTTGTTCGTATCGAACAAACTATTGCACCAAGTGTAAACATGTTAGCACCACAACCAAACTTTAACCTCGTGTAGGATTTTCACCGCATTTTGTGACCGGAATAACACACGCGGCTTTCTGACGCTACCTGCTGTGTGCATCTAAGTTTCCGGGAAATGCTGAGGTTTTTTTTCTCTCATTCGCCGTGCGGTATCAAACATTGCATGAAAAATACACGCTTAGAGCAGATCCTCAAATCAAATATCTCGTTTGTCAGGAGGGACATGAATGAATTCCCTGAATGAAAGAGCCAAACTGCAGTTAAAGTCCACCATTTAATCATTTGGCAAATAATTCGACTACGGATGTCCATGTAAACACAGTCACATTCTCCCCTGTGTGTGTGTATGTGTGTGTGTGTGTTTTGACTTTGAAAGTCACCCTAATGTGCCCAAATAGACACTCCCACACCGTGCCTCTTTTCTTTCTCCGACACTCCCCCCTAAACAAAACTGGACACACCCACTTTTGTGAATTTTCCAAAGTAGAGGTGTGAAAACATCCTGCTGAAACGAGGCAAAATGTCTTTTTAAAAAAGACATTTTTAAAAGCAACAGAAAGCAAGTTAGTTGTTAGTGCACTCTGCAATAAAGCTGGTGTTGGAGAAGATTTTACAGACAGTGGATGGTTGTTCTAGAGCCCTGGAGCTGCAGCAGAGAAAGCCCTATCGCCTTTACATTTTAGACGAAAAAGTAGAACAAGGAGGAGCCACTGATCATTTTAGCCAGGAGTTCTACTGGGAATCCAATGACTAAGCTTGTTAGTAGTATACTCTGGGACTAGGCCATGAAAACCTTCCAAACCTTATAATAAACTCTGCATTATATGGGTAGCCAGTACAGTTTGATTAGCACTGGAGGAATATGCTCCGTCTTCTTAATACCTGAAAAAGACTGTTCACTCATTCACTCACTCTGTTCAGTTGGCATCGTGTCCTGCGACAGAGGCTCTGAGTCGAGGAGGACCTGAGGGAGACCCCCCATCCTGACCCCGGGATCACGGGCACCGCCCACATCCCCTGCCATGACATCATCACTCATCACCATTGCGTTGAGAGCCACGCCCCCAACGGCCAGCTCATAGTCCAAGGGGAGCTCGTTCAGACACTCGGCACTCGACTGCAGAAACACAACACAATCAGCTGATGGTCATTTAATAAAACTACACAATCAGCTGATGGTCATTTAATACAACTACACAATCAGCTGATGATCATTTAATAAAACTACACAATCAGCTGATGATCATTTAATAAAACTACACAATCAGCTGATGATCATTTAATAAAACTACACAATCAGCTGATGATCATTTAATAAAACTACACAAAACAAACACAATCAGCTGATGATCATTCAACAAGACTACACAATCAGCTGATGGTCATTTAATACAACTACACAATCATCTGATGATCATTTAATAAAACTACATAAACACAATCAGTTGATGATTATTTAATAAAACTAAAACTCATTCAGCTGATGCATTTTCAATCAAACTAAACAAACACAACAAACAAACAGCTGATGGTTATTCAATAAAACACAACAAACAAAACAACCAACTGATTAACATTTAATAAAAACAAACAAACAAATCAAAACAAACAAACAAACACAATCAGCTTGTTCATTCAAAACAAACAAACAAAACAAACAAACAAACACAATCAGCTTGTTCATTCAAACAAACAAACAAAACAAACAAACACAATCAGCTGATGGTTATTCAACAAAACACAACAAACAAAACAATCAACTGATTAACATTTAATAAAAACAAACAAACAAAACAAACAAACACAATCAGCTTGTTCATTTAAACAAACAAACACAATCAGCTTGTTCATTAAAACAAACAAACAAACAAACACAATCAGCTTGTTCATTCAAACAAACAAACACAATCAGCTGATGCTCATTCAAAAGCACTACAAAACAAACACAATCAGCTGATGCTCATTCAAAAAAACACTACAAAACAAACACAATCAGCGGATGCACATTCAAAACAATAAAACAAAACACAAACCACAGAACCACACTATTCTAATTAACACTAAACCAAAATATATATAATAGAAAATAAAAGTATTATAGTTAAACAAAAGATTGCAATAATTTTTATTCTCATTTTTAAAAATTTATTTAAATTAAAATAAAATTTGAAAATATAAAAATCATAGTAAAAAAATATTTAAAATACAATAACATCTCAATGTAATTCAATGTATTAAAATAGCGGAAACGTTTAAAAATCAATTGAAGTTTTTTTAAATAAAAATGACAAAAGCATAATTATTAAATGTTAATTGCAACATAAAAATACAATCTTTAAAATAAAACATGAACAAATTTAAATATTTTATTTCAGCTTGACGTATTTTTTAATTATTTATTAACATTACTGTGAACATTGTATAATTGAAAAAATACATAGTTAAACAAATTACATAATATTGTTTTACAATATAAAATAGACTTTCGAAAACAGAACAAAAAATATTTCAGCTAATTATGTTTTTTTTTCTTTGTTTATTTTATATTTGGTTTGACACAAATGTACTAATATTGTATGAATTAAGGTAAATAAATAAAAAACACGCAGGCACAAAAAAAAAGGCAAAACACTGACCGTGAGGCCGAGGGCTTTGAGGATGTTCATTTTACACATGGGACACGTCCGGTGGTCCACCAGCCACGGGTCCACGCAGCATTTATGAAACAGATGCCTGACACAAACACAAATCCATTATGATCAACATAAAATAACAAAACAAAACATAATAAATCATAACAACAAAACACTCGAATGTATTACTATTGTATTACAGACTTTGTTTGAATTTTAAATAGCATTTATCTAGAAAACAGTCAAATTAACTAGATAATATATCTATTTTTTTCATTGTAAGCATTAGTTTGCTTAAAGAGCAGTCAGGTGTGTGTTTGTGTGTGTGTGTATTTACCTGCAGGGCAAAATTCGGACAACATCATTAGGTTTGTAGCCCTCGATACAAACAGCACAGTTATCAAAGTCACTCTCCGTTTCCTGAAAAAGAAACACGCACGCACGCACGCACACACAAAACAAACAAACAAACGCACACACACAAGGGCACACATAGACACACACAAACAGAGACACACACAAATAAATATGCATAAACAGACACAAACACAGGCATTCAACAGACAGACAGACAGACACACAGACAGACAGACAGACAGACAGGCAGACAGACAGACAGACAAACAGACACAAACACAGACACACACACAAACACACACACAAACACACACACAAACACACACACACACACACACACACACACACACACACACACACACACACACACACACACATGTATAAATAAATAAGAGAATATCTGGATGTCTATAAGCTAGTAAACACCAAAACAGTGACACAATCCACATTTACAAGATATAAACCTGATATAAACATCTAAAGACTAAGAAAGACTTTTAAAGAGAGAGAGAGAGAGAGAAAGAGAGAGAGAGAGAGAGAGAGAGAGAGAGAGATATTTAATTTTATTGCTATTTCAGCTTCTTTGGCTACGTCATGGCAAAAGAAACAGATCAAGCTTACCACAATTTATAAATACCACTTTTCTATAATTATAAAAAAATATTCTAACAATTAAAAGTCATTGACAGCAATAAACAATATGCAAGGTAAAATGCATGAATAATAATAAGAATAGTAAAGACTTGTTAAATCTAATCTGTCTTATAGATTTATCAACTAGCAAAACACAAACAAAACAGCAACCCTTCAGCACAATCAGCTCACTCACTCATCTATAGGCCTGTCACAATAATCAATAATGGACTTATTGCACAACACATGGACATGAGCTCAATCGTTTATATATATCACCTATTGGATGTGTCAGTGTCAGTATGGGTAAAACACTGTAGTATTTACAATAAAGTACTATATTATATTTTCAGGTGGGTGCCTGACAGCTCAAAATAGATCTGGTAGCAGATATCACAGCCTCTGTTACTCTTTATCTTGCACTTTACTGTGAACATTTATAATTATTTATTTAGGATATGCGTTTACTCATTCTGACTCCAGTGCCTGATTATTAAACTGTTAAAATGACTATAATTAAATTAAACAATAAAATATGATGTGTTCTTTGGAAGAGTGAGCTTATGATGATATTATATTATCATTATATAATGAGTGGAATGAAATGGTCTTAAAATGACAATAATATTGATTATTGCAATATTATTTCCAACAGAATTAGATATCATGACAGGTCTACTCTTTAACACACTGCTTCAAGTGGACTATATTTGTAGACTAATGTATAGTGGATAAGGGTATAGGGAGTGGTTTGGGATTCAGCATTAGTGTGTATTGTCGTCTGCTCACCTGGTCTCCTTTCCTGATGGTGCGCACTTGTAATTGGCTGATGGCCTTTTTGGCAGCGTCTCCAAGCCTCCTCTGACCAATGAGAGAAGAGAACAGTGTTAATAAAGCTCTGGTGGGATAATGACAGACTGTGAGCTGTAATGAAGGGTTCTGCTGGCACTTCTGTAATGAAAGACACTCTTCATGGCCTATAATCATGTCTGAGTGTCTCGGTTAAACACATACAAACACGCAAAAGGAATGTGGACTGATCTTATAAGCACCAGGAAAAGCCTGTCTAAAGCTGGCAGCTGTCTGTAGCTCCTCTCATGCTCCGCCTCTTTGCCCTTATTTGGTATCCCACGGTCAGAGCTATGAGATGTGAACAAAATGGCAGAGGTTGTCCATGCCTTACTTGTAGCTTCATCTGCACTCTTAAGTAACCTATTGGTGACTTCACGGATACTACGTCCATATCTTTTACAGTCTATGGGCAAGGTGCACAAATAAAGCCCCGACCCCTACTTAATATTCCGTTTTAGTTGGAGATGCAGCATCATCTTGGCATAAAAGCCTGAAGCAACTTCAGTTCAGGCAGATTGTTTGCATACCTGGTTGCGATCTCTGGCGTTGGCGTATCTGAACCTCTGGATGTAGTAGAAGACGAGCCAGGCCAGCGAGATGATCATGAGGATGATGAAGGAGATGGAGACGAACACCACCGATGTGCGGCTGACGTACTTCTGCAGGTTTCGTGTGCCGATGGTGATGTGCATGTGGACCGTGATGTTCCTCTCCATCAGCAGCACCAGCTCTCGGCCCTTGGGCTCCGGGATCATGATGGCCACCACGTCACTGATGCCTGAAACACACGCAAACATAGTAAACATTCATTCATTCATTTTCCTTCGGCTCAGTCCGTTATTTTTCATGGGTCACCACAGTGGAATGAACCGCCAACTATTCCAGCATATTTTTTACATAGCGGATGCCCAGTTGCAACCCAGTACTGGGAAACAGCCATACATACTTGTATTCACACACTAAGGCCATTGTGTTTACCACATTCACTTATAACGCATGTCTTTGGACTGTGGTGGAAACCAGAGCACACAGTAAATATCAAGAAGACAGACGACAAATCTACCTAAAACACAGCTATTTCTTAAGATGGTGTAATTAAACATTAAAAGGTTATTAATTAAATTAAAAGGTTATATTTAATTATAATAAATTTAATTTATATTAAATTAAAAGGTTATATTTAAAGGTTTAAAACACTTTTGAAGATATAAAATACAACATTTTTATTTAGCATTTTAAATTATTATTTATTTATGTTTAAATTACATATCAGCAGCCCTAGCTATATTCATGACAAAATCTACACTAAAATATACCATATATAACATGCAAACATATCTGTTCTTAATAAATATTCGTTGTACAAAAAAAATAAAAAATACAAATAACAACAGAACTGAAAAGAGCAATATACAATCTTTTTGAATGATAATAGATATACTAAAATTCCTCCATAAGACACCTTTTATTTTTAAATTAATAAAATTCAAAATACAAAAAAAATTGCTTGCAATTTAAACAACTTAAATAAAATGTTGTTTTGTATTTTAAGTAATCACATTTTAAATACATTGTGTTTTATTTCACATTTTTAATTATTACATAAGATACTCAAATTTTACTGTGCTTTTAAAATAATTATACTGCAATAAAATGTTGCTTTACTTTCAAAAATTTTACATTTAATATACTGAAATGTTACCTTACTTTTAGAATTATAAATTTAAAATACTAAATAGAATACTAAATTACTTTAATACTATTCCGGTTTTTGTTAAAATGATTATGAAAGTGATTGTGGTGGTGGTGGTAGTAGCAGTAGTAGTAGTAGTAGTAGTAGCAGTAGACGTTGTTGTATTAGTTGTAGCAAACGCTATAGTAGTATCAGTAATGGTAGTCGTTGTAGTAGTATCAGTATTAGTAGACATTGTAGTTGTAGTAGTTGTAGTCGTGGTTGTGGCTGTAGTAGAAGCAGTAGTAGTTGTAATATAAGTAACTTTCTGTAGTAGTAGTTGGTGTAGCACTTGTGATTTATTATTATTGTTGTCAGTTATTACTGTTGTCCTTTCTTTCTTTTTACTCTCATTTTTACTATCATACATTAATAAGCATTGTTGTTACTCCCTACCTCTGACTGGTTTCTTTCTATATGTTTTATCTATATCTGTGACACTTGCTTAATTTATTGACTGTTATTGTTCCTTATGTATGTACTCTGACCTGTCCACCAAGTTACCTTTACATGCATACACACACTCACACACACACACTCACGCACATACCAGTACATGACTATATTGTTGTTGTTTTTGTTTTGTTTTTGTTTCGTTGCTTTGTATTTGTTATTTGTTGACGTTTTCTTGTATTTGTATGATTTTTGCATATTCTAATAAAATAAATAAATAAATAAATAAATAAATAAATAAAATGATTATGAAATAATTTTGTCATTTAATTTGCTCAGTTTTGCTCTTTTTTTAATTCAAGATTATAACATTACAGCCATGCTTGTTACTTATAAAAAAGTTTATTTTTTTATTTTAATTAGGATTAAAGTAACACTAAAATAATGTACATTAATAATAAAAAGGGAAAAAAATTATGCACATTAAAAAATTATAAAACTGATAAAAACAAAAATAAAAAAACAAAAACTATAAAATTATAATAGTAAAATAAACAAAACAATAATAATATGATAAAACTTTAAAAAGAGTAACGAAAACTACAATAGTTACACTGTGGAACTGAAATAACTCTGTTTGAAAGATCATTAATTTAAATTTTTTTTATTACAAATGTAGTCACTTATTTCCAGGTAGTGGGTAGCGTTTCAATTTTTCAACTCCAGTAAGTTGCATAGCTTAATTAAAAAAAAGAGAGAGAAAGAAAGAAACACTATAAAATTGTACAAAACCAAAACTTATATTTTTCCATTTAGCTGCAATAGACTTTTCTCATTTGATTCAGTATGATGCATTAAAAACAAAAGTTTTTTTTTTAATTAATAAACACAATATCTGCCTGATAGCATGTTTAATGTGCACTGTTAGTCCATATTAGGTCTTGAGTGATGAATACTGCAATGATGATAAAAGCAAACCTGCAAATATACGCCAATGCACACATTTGGCCAATGATTTTCCCCTCTCTGTTAAGTGCATCGTATACCTATACAAGAATAAAAGTGATTGCTGAATAATGTCTGGCTATATATTATGATGATGCATTCACCATCACATGTATGCGTGTTTACATTTATTACCAAATTCAGCTGATATGCATGCACAATCACTCATAATCTAACGTTCATGTGCAAATCACACACCAACACATGCATAACAATCACTAATAATTAGAAATGCACATAACAAAGCTTATCATATATGCAACCGTCAACACATAAAGCAAGAAATGCAAGTGGGTCAACCACATATGCATTTAACAAAACAACAGATATGCAAGAGATGCTTTATCATCACTCATAAGCTTATATGGATTTACAGTGCATCACCAAAACAAATGGTGTCCATTCAGCAAGACATCAATCACACATAGACATGCAGTTCTGCATTTATTGTTAAAGATAACTACATAACCTAATATGGACTAACATTGCACATCTCCAAACATACAGACAGATGATAAACACATGCATAACCAAAACGAACACTATAATGTAGTCTTTATTTAAACATGCATTGACCATTCATTCAGACATTCATCTCACATAAATATGCATTTAAACGATTATCATCATTTGCATTACCCACTATCACTCAATACCTGATAAGGGCTGACATTACCAAATATATGTATGTTATAAGACAGATGATGAATGCATTTACCCAAACAAACATGCATTCACCATAATATGCAGTCAGATATTATTCAGTAATCTCTTTTATCCTTTACAATGCACTTACATGAAAATAAACACAAATATGAATTGGCCAGATGTGCGCTTTGGCATGCGTTTGAAGTCATGCGTTTATCATCAGATGCATTACTCATCACTCTTAACCTAATACCATATAGATGTACTGAATAAACACAAACACGTGTTCTTACAATGCACTTAACAGAAAGAAATAGCCATGCCTAGAGCAGATGTAAACATTGTCATGCATATGCACTCTAGTATAGACTAACATTGCACATTAACAAACATCCATGATAAAAGCACTTACCAAAACAAACATGCATTCACCATAAGCCAGACATTAAGCAATGAAAGTATGATCCTTTACAATGCACTTACCAAAAAAATAAAACAAATAGAGGAGCTGGACAAATGCTTTGGTATGCATTTGCATACATTTGCAGTCATGCATTTATCATAGCATGCATTCCCCATCACACTTAACCTAATATCATGTGGACATACTGTACAAACATGTGCATGCGCTTACAATGCACTTATCAGAAATTAATAACTATGCCTTGACCTGATGTAAAGATTGCCATACATACACAGTTATGCACTTATCATCATATGCATTACCTTTAACCTAATATAGACTAACATTGCACATTACCAAACACACTTCATAAAAGCACCGACCAAAACAAACATGCATTCACCATAATATATAGCCAGAACTTATTAAATCACTTTTATCCTTTAAATTGCACATGAAAACCTAAAACAAATATGCAATGGCATTCATTTCCAGGCATGCATGTATCATAACTTGCATTACCCATCACTAGGCCCACACGGAATCTGCGTACGCAAAAATCCACAGATTTCCGCAGATTTTAAGCCCAATATTGAAGCTATTTATTTACTTGTGTAAATGTGAGTACATTTATATTGATTCAGTTTTTAAATAAATTTCAGTAGCATTATTGATTAATATGAAAATGTTCATGATTTACTAACAATACAGCATGTAAAGTAATATCATCTTTCAGTAGATATATTACATGAGAAACTTGCTTTGTTCACCAAATAAGTGGTTCTAATTGGACTTGCAATGTAAACATTAAATCTAAGTAAAACAGGTACAGGGCTCAACAATAAGGACTGCCCATCGGCCCGGGGCCAGCGATTGAGATGCTTGGGACAGTTTTGCCGTCAGTTTGGTAGGTCAGCCATTTTTGTTTTGCAATAAAATACCTGCACATTGTGCTACTTTTGTTTGCGAAACACTTTTAATTTTGCTCATTATACATTTAAAAAAAATTACATTTAAATTCTAGATATACAAACATTTTGACACTTTTTTTTTTCATTTGTTTGTCTAAGAAATAGCTCTTTTTTTATTGGTGGGACCAGTGAAAATATTGGCAGGGCAAGTAAAAATCTGAACCACTGGTCCGATCGGGCCATTAGAAAAAATCCTTAGAGTTGAACCCTGAGGTATTACTTTTATTTCATATAAGTTTTTAATTATGATACTCCCAAAATCATTCCGCAAAAACCCACCGATTTTTTACAAAATTCTGCACAGAAATCGCAAAAAATGTCCGCGCAGATTCCCATCACTAACCTTATATGGATGTACAAACATTTTTAATGCACTTACCAGAAACCAAAACAAAAACAAATATGCAAATTAAGCATCAGATGCATTGCATTGTGTAAAGTTGGTTTTATGTTCACACATTTGGACTTTCTGCTTAATAATAATAATATTAGAAAAAAATACTCTTTCTAAATAGTGGAATTATATAGGCAGGCAATAACTATCAAAGCAGAACGTACAATAAATATAGAGAGCGTGTCAGAAGTTGTCACTGAATGAATGTGCAAATATAAAACTAAATTTATCTCAATGGGTTTGGCGTGCATTTGTGCATATGGGAGCACATATGGAGGTTCTGTAAAACACATGTGTGCACATACAATGTACTTATCAGAAAAAAACTATGCTTTGACTAAATGTAAAGATTGGCATACATATGCAGTCATACATTTATCATCATATGCTATATCTATCATTCTTAACCTAATATAGACTAACATTGCATTACTAAACACACATGATAAAAGCACTAACCAAAACAAACATGCATTCACCATAATAGCCAGAAATTATTCAGCAATCACCTTGTATTCTTAACATTGGACATAAAAACCCAGAAATTAATATGCATTGGCATACATTTGCAGCGATGCATTGCATTTATCACCATATGCATCAACCATCACTCTTAACCTAATATCATATGAACGTATAAACATTTATAATGCACTTACCCGAAAACAAAAAAACAATTATGCAGTCATGCATTTAGCATCAGATGCATTGCTTTGTGTTAAGTTGGATTTATATTTACACATTTGGACTTTCTCCTTAACATTATAATTTCAGAAAAGTATTCTTTCTAAATAGTGAAATCATATTAGCAGGCAATGACTATCAAAGCACAACATTGTTCAAAGTCAATTAATCAGAGCTAATGTTGTTTTGAAGTCATATTTACTTAAGATTTCAGACCGAAATTAAATGTAGTTTATTAAATATAGAGAAAGTGTCACAATTTGTCATTGAACGAACGAATATAAAACCAAATTTACCTCAATGGCTTTGGCATGCATTTGCAAACATGCATTTAACATTAGATGCATTGTCCATCACTTATAACCTCATATCATAAGGACATACTGTACAAACATGCAAGCGTGCACTTACAATGTACTTATCAGAAATTAATAATAACTATGCCTTGACCTGATTTAAAGATTGCCATACATGTATTACCATCACTCCTAACCTAATAAAGACTAACATTGCACATTACCAAACACACTTGATAAAAGCACTGACCAAAACAAACATGCATTCATGTAGCCAGAAATAATTCAGTCACTTTTATCCTTTACATTGAACATAAAAAACTAATATGCAAGGGCATACATTTCCAGTCATGCACGTATCACAACATGCATAACCCCATCACTATATTAAGCTAATATTGCATAACAGCAAACATGCACGATAAAAGCACTGACCAAAACAAACATGCATTCAGCAAAACATGTAGCCAGAAATTATTCAGCAATCTTTTTTTTTTACAATGCACTTACCAGAAAAAACAAAAACAAACATGCTTTGACATATTTGCAGCCATGCATTCATCCCCATATGCATTGCCCATCACTCTTAACCTAATATCTCATAGACATACATACACATGAGTGCACTTACCAGAAAAATAGCCATGCCTTGACCAAATGTAAACATTGCCATACATCTAATGTCATTCATGCATCACCATATGCATTACCCATCAATCTTGGCCTAATAGTATATGGACTTACAAACATTTATAATGTACTCTCACCAGAAAACAAAAATGTAGTCATGCATTTAGCATATGCATATGGACGTACACATAGGCGCGTGCACCTTGACCAAATGTAAACATGACATCTGCAGGCATGCATTTAGCACCATATGCACTGCACATCACTCATAATCTAATATCATAAGGACGTGCAAACATAACGCACTTACCAGAAGACAAAAACAAATATGAATTTAGCATCATATGGACGTACACAAACGCGCGAGCACTCACCTTGATGCGGCATGGTGATGGTCTCATTGGGGTTAGAGGAGCCCACATTGAATATGACCACGGCTGACGCGTTGTGTCCCACGGCGTGTCTGATTTTATCCTTGTACGTGCAGTTTCCGCGGCTGATGAGCGCGATCCAGGCACCGTGTGCGCGCGGCGTGAATCTGCCGCTCGGGTCGCATGCATGTCTGTCGTGCGGTGCGGCGGGCATCGCAAGCACGCCTCTGGCCTCCCGTTTGAGTGAATGCTCCCCGTATCGCCCGCACTCCGTTTTCTCGGTCCGGACCTCGGCCGTGTCCGGATCCACGTATGTGATGTTAACGAACGCCGTGTACCATTCCTCCTTCTCGGCCACCGTAAAGTCCAAACACAGCAGATGAACGAAGCAGAAAGACAGCAACCAGGTGGACAGAGCCAGACTCCGACACGCCTGAATCACAGACAGCGCCATAACGGGTTTATTGTTATTGTTATGACGGTTTAACGGCCGCTCGACGCGCGTTCACTCCATAATCTCCGCTTTGTGCGCGTTACGCGGAGCGGCAGCAGTCACTCATGAGTAAACCGTTTGTAAAAACTACAGGTAATAGAGTGAATACTTTGATTAATAAACCCTACCGCCTGTTTAGCGTGTGGGTCGGTAAAAACGCGAGCAGGAGCGTCGCGACGGAGCCATGGTGTCGGATGTTTTCGGCCTTCAGCTGTTGGAGATAAAAACACAACGCGAGATCTGAAACAGCGACCGCTAGCGGTGGAGGAAGGATCTGCGCATGCGCGATACTTAAGAGAGCGTCCAGAAGTGCTCATAAAGACGACGAAGCGTTGAAAAGTTGACTGGAAGTAAAGGATCGTTCAATAAACTTGTCAAAATATTGTGTGATTTATGTGTTGTTTTATCAGCAAGGTCCAAAATTACTGCTATTACCATAATTTTGAGAGCATTTGGTCCCCACAACTTAATTAATACAAGATACACACAACTAGCCTATTACTGCAACTGTTATATATGTTTTTTATTGTGCTATATATTCTTTTCATTTTTATAATTTATTTCTTGTTTGTATTCATATGTTTTCTTTTGCTTTTTGGGTCATTATTACTATAAAGTGCCTTTGATGTCCCTCAAGATTGAATCAGTCCTATGACCACATAATGCGAAATAATAAATTATGATGTTTTAATATAGTTGGTTAAACCTTTAGAATTATAAGTGTTTTGAAATAAGTTTTTGTCAGTTTTTGCCATGTTCTTTCATTGAATGGATGTGATTTTGCCATGTCCCACACGGCTCAGCCAGCAGTTAGTCTAAAAAGTAGGTAAATTAGATAAAAATAAAAATATATATTTTTATATTTTTAACAAGTTATTTGATAGAATAAGTCATTTTGATCACTTTTATTTTGTTTTCATAAAATATCATTTTGCATGTGTCCTTGTCTTAAAATTGCTGTCCACCCTGTGCCCCTTTAAGAAACCCTCTAATGTACTCATTGGCATCCCCATACCCATTTTGCTTTTCTTCAAAGGAAGTTAAAACATCTGGTGTCATGTTTCCTATATTTTGTCATATTGTGTTTGAAACTGAATGATGTCAAGCTTAACATGTCCACCCTGTCATAGTGAAATATTAATTAATAAAAAAAATGCTTTTAAACTCTATATACAAAGAGCTTAATAGGGAAACACTTTGTGCTATCTTTAGCCAAAAATGTCCTCCCTGTCATTGTTCACCCGTTCACAAATCCTCCCTTGACAGGGTGGACATATGCACTGTTATTGATACTTTATTTATTTAATATTTTATTGTTAATTAGTCAATGTTTTTATTGTTTTACACATACATATTACACCAGTAGATGTAATACAATACAAACCTTTTAGACAATATCAGTCTATGTAAAGGATATCCTTTTAAAGTCCATAATGCAGCTCATTGACTGTTTGAAATAAAAATACAGCCCTGAGTATTTGTACATTTATGTGAACATCTGTAATATTATTATTTATTCTGAAAAAGACAGTATTTAGAGAGAAGACAATAAAAGAAAGAAAGGCAAAATGCAAATAGGCTCAGAGACAAAGCTAGTGCTTTGCATCATTATTCTTGAAACTCATGAAAATTAACCTGAGTCAGGCTCCTCCAGTGCAATGTACAATGAAGTTTTACATTCATTAGTAAATTTACTTTAATTTACAATAATTGTTTATTTTGTCATTCATTTGCATACTGATAAAACCTAATTGATCGATGGAATGGTGGCTCAGTGGTTTGCAGTAGTTAGCAAAAACAGAAGTTGAGTTCTTGAAACCCTTCATATCTCTTGTATATTAACTCTTTAATATTTCTTGTTGCTATTCAAATGTTCCTCCATATTTAGTTCACTATTTAAAGCCTTTGTCCACCCTGTCATCTTGTTTTCCACTGTCATGTTCAACTTTTATAAAAAAAATTTAAAAATGTATAACCTCAGCAAAACATCTTGTGATTTCTTAAATAACCAATAAGGGCCAGTAAAAATTGTTTGAACGTTTGAGAAAATATTTTAGATGATGGGTTTTATTTTGAAAAGAACGTGCAACAATTGCATATTTTAGTGGAAAATAAATGTTTTGTCCATTGTTTCTTTATTATAAATGGACTTTTTCCATAATCTATAAGGTTGGGTTCGTAAACGGACACATAACCTTTCTGAAAATATACATTTTATAATCACACTGCAATGAAAGTATACTTATACTGCTTTGAATTTGTCTGGCTGACAAAATTTGAGGTTTGCTTCCTGTTTTTTTGCTTGCAGATAATTTTTTAAAAAGTGCAGGAGCTTGAACAACATTAATTTTTTTACAGCCTATACGGTCTAAATAATACAACAACAATGTGATTAAATAAAAAATCTCCAACTTTTTTTTTTTTAATTCTGACTTCTTAAAGGCACTTCATAGTGATATTAACCTTTTATTTGCATGTATACATTTGTTATGTGTGCTCTTTTTCAAGTCACACACTGTCCATGAATTGTTTAACTATATGGTAGGCTACTGCTTATATTATTTCATCATACACAAATTTAAGTAGTGAATTGTGGGCCTGTGTCACAGTGTGGGCTGGTTTACAGCTACAGTTCCACGGCTGAATTATTGTCTCAGTCCGCCCCTGATCAGTAATGTTGAAACCAGATTAATTAATCTTTCTTACATCTGTACGTGTAAAACTAGTATGGTTAAGTTCTTCTTGAAATCTTAGCACATTTTGCTGTCACATATTGTATGTTTATATTTGAAGCTATATGTTATATTTCATTATTTGCACTTGTTTGCCCACTTGATTATGAATTATCAGTATAGTTATTTAGTGGTTATGTTTTGGTAATTAAATCTTCTCACAAAATAATTAATTTCAATCATTAAAAACATTTAATATAACTCTGTGTATGACGAAAATCATATGAAATGTCACATCCACCTATTATTTTAAATTGTTACGATGATCAAAGAAGACTCACTTGTTCAAATCACGCTAAAATCATGGAACATCGATTACATCGTTTACTGTTTCATATATTCACCAAGTGATACAACAAAGAAATCCCAACCTTCAGACACATTAAAAATATAAACCTATTATCATTATTTACATCATTATAAACTCAAAACGCATTGTTCACAATATGTGGGTAATTAACAGTACATTAAAGAAACACAGATAATTGCTATGATAATTTCTTCTTAAATTTACTTATTCAGTCTCTCGATAGCATCCTCTTGTGTGTATTTCCTCCATTCATCTGGAATTTTCCCTCTCCCCTCATAGGCATTTTCATAGTGCTTTACCAGATCTTCTTGGAAACTGCACACAAACCACTTCCAGTAGGGCAGCTCTGAGAGATCTGGGGGGATGCTCCATGAGGCATATTCAGGACCTGCTTTTCTGTATTCCTACCAGAGGATCCTCTCATCTGAGCTGTTTGAGTCAAGACCGATCAGTGACTGCTCCTCATGTGCAGATGTTAATAGCTATGTTTGTTGTTCCTCTGTAATACCACCCATTCAGTCCAATATTATGTAAAATAATATATTTTTGTGTTTATTTATTATATTTTAAAAGGATTTTATTGTGGTAAATAAAAAATGTATGACTATTTCGTATATGCATTAATGATTTTTGCACATCTATTATGGCCCTTTTAAAGACTATCCTTGAAGTTTCAAACAGCTCAAAGATGCAGGGCAGAATTACAGTAATTTCTGAAATCGATCTGAATTTTTATTGTTATTTAAAACAGTTCAATACTGTTTAACTTACAGACTGTTTTTGTTCATTTTCACTTATACCTTTTTGAATCCCAATTATTTATTTTTAACAATAATAATAATAATAATAATAATAATAATAATAATAACAGTAAATACTATAAGGTTAGGTAAATCTGTAGAATGAAGTTCTTCATGAATGATCAATTGTCTGGTTCTTAGGGCTTGGAAATGCAGTCTCACATGAGCCAGTTATGACAGAAAATATATTTTATTTCATTAAAGTAATAATCACCTAATAAACAAGTATAATATTTGACCAGTAAAGAATAAATCAGTATAAGGAAAAAATCACTTACTATTAAGATTCTCTTAACATTTCTGATTCTGAATTGGTAATTGTGTTCACTATTAACCAAAGCCATTTGATATTTGTCCATCATAATAATTTTTATCCATTGTTTACATTCTGAACAAAGTACTGCATGTCTATGTAACTTCTAAATCAGGCAAAAAAAAAAAAAAAAAAACTTGTCAAACTTGTCAAACATAAAGCAATATTTTTCCCAGTGATGGGTTGTAGCTGGAAGGGCATTCGCTGCGTAAAACATATGCTGGATAAGCATTTTTTTTCCAATAGTCTACAGAATAAACCATCATTATATAATAACTTGCCTAATTACCCTAACCTGCCTAGTTAACCTAATTAACTAAGTTAAGCCTTTAAATGTCACTAATATTATTTACTGTCATCATGACAAAGATTAAATAAATCAGTTATCAAAACTATTATGATTAGAAATGTGTTGAAAATATCTGCTCTCTGTTAAACAGAAATTGGGGAAAAAAAATAAACAGGGGGGCGAATAATTCAGGGAGGCTAATAATTTTGACGTCATGTATACTGCATATAGGTTTCATATATACACATATATCCTCATGTAGGTTCTTTCCATGTGGGTATTATTTGCACTTCTCATGATTATTTGCCCTTTATAATGAATTGTATGTTATATAATTTCCTTTCATACAGTGAAATACAGCACATACTACATGTACAGGAATGCCCGTGCCGTCACTGATCCATCAATGTAAAAAAATGATGTAAAATTATAATTTTCGTAATTAGAAAAACAAAATTACACACTAACATCCAGGAAAACTGTCAACTGTCACTGATCATAGATATATGTGTATATGTGTATATCTCTGGCTTTGGATGGCCACAGTCCTCCACTGCAGCTTGGTCCCGGATTCATTTCAAAGGAGCGCTACCCTGTTCCAACATGGCGGCTCTATTGACGCATTCCTTCCAATAGACAACAACAGGGTAGACGACATCTAATGTATATATCTATGCTCAGCCCAATTGAACCTACAGCTTCAATAGTTTTGTTATGCTAAAAACTGTTATTTAGATAAAATACTTAAACAGCAAGTTAATTGATTAAAAACATGAAATCATAAATAAACTTTACAAATAAATGCTATATATAGTACGAATAAATTTACCATTGACCCCATGTTTCTGTCAGTGCTGTCACATTTGCATTAAATTTAACATAAAATGCATGCAATATACTTTTAAGGCTATGATTCAAAGAGACATCATTTGACAGAGGAGAAGCTGACAGTGGTCAAGGATGTGTTCTATCACTTATGATTTTATGCTTGTTTTGTATGATTTTTTTTTTGAGGATGACAAGCTTAAGTCAGGCCCTGTCCTGTTTTTATGTGAAAATGTACATTTCTGGTAGAATATCCCTTATCCGTCTACCCCTAAACCCAACCCTCACAGGAAACAATCTTCATTTTATGTATTCAAAATACTTTATTCTGTGTGATTAATGAGCTGTTTTCCTCATGGGGACTAAAAATGACCCCACAAAGTCCAAAACTACTGCTATTCCCATAATTCTTTGAGCATTTGGTGCCCACAGCCTGATTGATACAAGGTACACACACAATTACCACAACTATTTTTACATATGTTTATATATTATATTCCTTTTTGTACTGTTGTTATTACATGCTTATATTCATGTGTATTCAAATGTTGAGAGCAATCAGCAAATTACAGACTACACAAAATTTTCAGACTCTTTTTCTTTTGCATTTAATTGTATGTACAGTATACATTTGTCAGTAATGTGTGCTCTTTTAGTCACACACTGTCCATGAATTGTTTAACGATCTATTACATATGGTAGGCTACTGCTTATATTATTTCATCATCTGTACACAAAAATAAGTAGTGAATTGTGGTCAACACACTGTGGTAATGTGGGCTGCAGCTTCAGTTCCAGGGTGGAATTTGTGTCTCAATCCACCTCTGATTAATAATGTTAAAACCAGATAAGTCAATCCTCCTCACATCTGTACATTTAAAACTAATATGGTCAAGTTCTTCTTGAAATCTTAGCACATTTTGCCATCACCTTGTGTTGTATGTTTATATTTGAAGCTATATCATATATTTCATTATTTGCACCTGCTTGCACACTTGAATGATTATTAATTATGAGTATAGTTATTTAGTTTGGGTTATGTTTTGATAATTAAATCTTCTCACAAAATAATTAATCTCAAATCATTAAATAAGATGAATCATGAGGAATGTCACATCCACCTATTATTTCCATTATTTCCTTTATCAAAGAAGACACATTTGTTCAAAGAGTCATGATAAAATCATGAAAAATCATCACTTACTCTTTCATTCACCAAACGATACAACAAGAAAATCCCAACCATCAGACACATTAAAACAGGGGTGTCCACACTCTGTCCTGGAGGGTCGGTGTCCTGGAGAGTTTAGCTCCAACCCTAATCAATCACACCTGAACCAGCTAATCCAGCTCTTAGGTATACTAGAAACTTCCAGACAGGTGTGATGAAGCAAGTTGGAGCTAAGATCAGCAGGACACCGGCCCTCCAGGACCGACTTTGGACACCCCTGCAATAAAAGCACATACCCACACATTATCATTATTTACTTCATTCTAAAAATACACTGTTCACAATATTGTGGGTAATCACCAGTCCATTAAAGAAACACAGAGAGATCCGATTCTTCATCCATCCCATTTGGGATAAGTGATTTAAAACTTAGCTTAACTTAACTTTAGACCCAACAATATCTGTTTAATAATTAACACATACTCTAAATTTGATCAACACTTGATTTTATTTAGTATTTAAACATGATACAAATCACATTCAATTTTTGAAAGCATTTTTTTTCTGTCTCAATATATTTCACAAAAATGTAATGTAAGACGTTTATCCAAACCTACTGAATATATGTGTTGTGTTAATCATGCAGGATCTCTAAATGGAAACATGACAATAAACACATACTGTAAATTCACTGAAAAAGGAACAAACTACAAAAAGAAGAATTTAAGTGAATATGCTTTTGGTAAAGACATGCATACTTCTTGTCGAAGTTCAGTTTATATGGTGTGATTGTATTGATCCTCTTAAGAACAAGTTTACTAGAAAATATTGGCTGGAAAAAAGTTCATGTGAACCAGCATTATTTGTTGTTTAATCATTTCTATCATGAAAATAAGTGATTTTTTAACCTTTTTACTTTGCATGGTTCTGCTATAATGCTGGTTACAATACTTTGAAATTCTCATAGCCACATGTTTTTGAACAGATTCTTTGGATTATCAATATCAGCTTTTTGATATCATCTATAACCCTCAAGGGTCTTTGATAATTGCTGTTTAGATGTATTTATTCAGACTCTCAATAGCTTCCTTTTGAGTGTATTTCCTCCATTCATCTGGAATCTTTCCACCCCCCTGATAGGTTTTATTATAGTGCTTTTCTAGATCTTGTTGGAATCTGCATACAAACCACTTCCAGTACGGCAGTTCTGAGAGATCAGGGGTGATGCTCCATGAGGCATATTTAGGACCTGCTGTTCTGTATTTCTTCCAGAGGACTTTTTCATCTGACCAGTTTGGGTAAAAAGATCCATCACTGGCCACTGCTGATGTGCAGATGTTGATAGCTAGGTTTGTTGTTCCTCTGTAAAACCATCCATTCAGTCCAATATTATGATGGAAAGGAACGCTGTGATCTCCATCATGGTCTTCTATGGTGTTTGTGCAGATGGCAGCACAGAAAGGACACTGAACCCAACAGCACTGACAGAAGTGATCAATCAGAATCTCATCTGGTCTGTGTGCTTGTTCAAGCTTTACTTGAAACTTCTCTGGGCGGAATTTACTGAAAATGTCAAACTTAATAGAAGGAAGCTCTTTCTTTATCACATCTTCTAGAAAACTGACATTAGCATCACCTTGATTCACTCCAATAAGGTCACTTTCAGAAAATATTAGCACACCGGAAAGCTGTTGAGTGAAATGACGCAACCACAAACCAACATTTCCATCAGTCTCTTTAACATATTTGCTGGATTCACGTGCTGCGTTTGTGATCTGTTGTTCTAGCACTTTAGTACTGTTTTCCATCTTGGGTCGAACATTTTTCTCAAATGTTTTTGTGACAAACTGGTTGACTTCATCTCTGATGAAATTTTTGAAGTGTTCTCTTGGGTTTGTAATGTAAATGATGAATGCTCTGAAATCCTGTTTTTCTGCCAGAGTCTTCAGGATGTGTTTCTCCAGGTTTGATCTGTTTCCATTTAGTGCTTCACAGTTTGTTTTCATTTGATCTGCTATATCTCTGGCAGTTGTTTTATAGACACTTTGCAGAATGGGCTCTTTAAGTTTATTACAAATGAATTCACCAAAAACAGCAGTTGATGAAGCTCCTGTACAGTATTTCTGGAAGATTCTGTAGTACTCTTCTCTCTTCTTCTCAAAATAGAGAAGAGGATCATTGACTTCCCTGAACATTTGGTATTGGTCTGTGAATGTCTTGCTTGTTCTCCGACATTGGTAAAGTACCAGATCAATGAAGAACTCATTCTTGAACACATAATTAACTATTTTTTTGTTTTCATGTTCCTCTAATGTTGTCTTTATGTAATCTTTGAGTTGTTGAATGTAGCTGATGTTGTAGCCCATCTTTGTAATGTTAAAGGACTGAATCATTTTATCTGTGTGCTCAGAAATGTCTGAGATTAGGGCTCTTATCTGGACGTCATCATCTATAGATAAATTAAGACCAATAAAATCTAGACCTTTTTGGAAATTTTTTTTCAAAATTGCTGTAATTCCAGTAGATTTCTTCAACTTTAAGTATTCTGAATAGCTTGGCAAACAGCTCATGTCTTTGTACTCACCGCCCTCTGTCAGACAGTCTAAGGGAAGACTTGCATAGCTCTCTCTGATGAGCTTTTTCATGTCTCTTGTTATGTCAATGTTTTTGGCTGGAGGGTTGTCTCTGATGATCTCTGCTGTATTTTGTTTCCAAAAATCATCAAACTGTTTTTTCATGGTATTTTCATCAGTTGCTTGGTCTTTAGATTTTAAGGCAAGTTCTTTGCTCTTTTCAAACAGTGTGTTTTCATGATGTGTCCTCTGAGCATCCATCTTTTTCTTCAGGTGACGCTGCTGAAGAACCCCATTTAATTTACTCAGAGTTTCTCTCACAATGTTTTCTTGAATCTGACTCATTTTAATCTCAAAGAAGCCTTTCCACTGATTGAGTATATTTGCATCTCTGTCTTTCTCAAAGAATTTAGACATTTTCTTTTTTACTTCTTCACTTCTTTCCTTTAGTTCAGATTGAAGATCAGTTTCCTCAACAGTTTGAATTGCTTCATTTTCTATTTGGTTGTGCAGCTTTTGTTCAATCTCCAGCATGGCACTGCGAAGGCTCCAGGTCCACTTGCTGTATTCAGTCTCAATTTTCTTGTATGCTGCAATTTCCAGAGAATTTTTGAAACTAAACACAAAGTTTTCATTGCGTAAAGCCTCCCAGAGATCATTAATTCTGTGTTTTAATTGTGTCAGCATTATTCCGTCTGATTGTGAAGCATGTGTTAGAATAATTTCCTTCAGTTCTAGAATGTTCTCGCAGTAGTTTGGGTTTGGTGGAGCCATTGGTGGACTGCCCTCCCAGAGCTGAGAGAAATACTTCACATCCTTCTGGACATCAAATGCAATGACTTCACCGAACGCACTTGTATCACAAACTTCCTCTTTTGCAGCGAGTTCAGTCATTTTGTCTAGTCTTTCCTGAAGTCTTCTCCTCCCCTCCATGTTTTTTTCAGAAGCTGTGACGTCTGAGACGTTCTGATGCACAAACATGCAGCTTGGATTCAGTCTGACTTTCTTCATCCTCATGAAGGCCTGAACAACAATCTGAAGAATGTCCTGCATCTCAGCTGGGTTTTCTCCAAAGATGTTGATTAAAGTCATGTTTCCAAGACCAACAACAAATGTGGCCAGTTCATTGTCACGATGTGTTGTTGACCTTCCAGATAGTTCTGGTGCCCGAAGCCCCTCGGTATCAACAACCAGTATATAGTCAAACTTCAGCTCTGATTTCATTTCGTCTGACACTCTGATCAACTGCATGAAAGCTCCACTGGTGCATCTGCCAGCACCGACGGCAAACTGCAGACCAAACAGGGCATTCAGCATGGTGGATTTCCCTGAGCTCTGAATCCCCAAAACTGACAGCACAAAGAGTCTCTGCTCTCCCAGTTTCTTCACAAGTTCATCTAAAACAGCAGAGACCCAGATGAGAGGAACATGAGCAGCATCTCCATCCATCAGCTCCAGGGGGAATCCAGAGATCATCATTTCTGCTGCAAGACTCGGGAGAGACCTGAAGTCAAACTGCAGACTCCTATTCTTCTTCATAGCTGAACAAGATTCATAGATCTGACCACACTCTCTCATGATGTGCTCCAAGCCAAACGCTGTATGTTTGATTTGTTTTGATATTGCTACCAGGTTTGCTTTTTCAGTCTGCAATTGACCTTTATGGTCAGGAATCTTTTTCAATTCTAAGACTTTTTTCCATTTTATATCATACTGCTTATGAAGATCACAGAGCTTCTCTGAACTGAATTCATCCAACATGTTCATCATCCATTTGAGGAAATATTTTCTTTCATTGTCTTTCTGTGATTTCATTTGTTCAATAAATGTCCTCATAAACTCACTCACTTTTTGTGCCACTTGCTTTTTTCTTATTTTTCTCATCTTCTTCAGTTTGTTGCTTTTATCTTCCTCCAGATTTTCTCCTTGTAGACGATGCAGCTCCTTGTTTATTTTACACCAGTTATGCCACAGTTTTCCCTGACAGGGCAGGATTGTTTCTTTCACTGTTGATGGATCTTTTCCTCTCAGTAAATTCATGATCTTCAGTGCTGCCTGTTTCCCTCTCTTACACACTGGATCCTCCTCATCTACTCTGATTCCTGGGTCTTTGGCCACATCTTCAAGTCTGAAGGTCTTTTTCTGCAGAGTCTCTCTGATAGTCTCTCGTATTTGATTAGATGTATCACATGGATTTTTGTCAGAAAGACCAATTATGTATTTTCCATTCCCCAGTTCAGTTTTATCACAGTTGTTTTCTGTGAGCAGGCAAATGAGAGGCTGAGGACATTTGAAGAGTGATCTCACCAAACCTTTATAATGGTTCTTCTGTCCTAAATCAGGTAAGAAAAGGACATTTACTGAAGCCATACTGGTCAGAATCTCATACTGCTTCTCATTTGCTGCTGCGTCACCATGAAGATTACAGAAAGCAACACAGTCATCAAATAAATCTGTGTTTCTCCCGGATGGACAGTACCAGGCGATCTCCACCACTCCATCCATCAGTACTCTGGTTCTGCTGCTGCCTGGGCAGTTCCTGTGGAAGAACGTGTTGTGTCTCTCATTGATCAGACTGTTCACCAGCTGAGATTTAGATGAAGACACAGAGCCAAACCTGAAGAAAAACACCATTGGAGTCTCAGCCTTGTAGATGGGCTGGGTTTGACTGATGGTTTCATTATTAGTGGTCTTCATCTTCCAGCTCTTGTTGATTTGTCTGAATGTCCAGAGAGGAAACTTAATCTGTTTTGTAGATGGATCAGGAACAAGCAGAGGCAGAGCAAACTGACACTGAGAGAGTTTAGTCATCATCAGCTGCTTCAGGAAAACATCAGCACAATGAAACACAGCCATCTGAACATCCATTGGGTGAATATCAGGCTTGTTGTTTGCACCATCAAATTCATTCCCTTTCTTGGTGGTGAGAGTTCTGGGGTCTTTATCTGTCTTTTTTTGTTATATGACAGTGTATCTTGCTTTGTAATCCATGTTTATCAGCCTTTGTAGAAATGAGTTTGCCAGTTCATTCTCTTTCTGTGGCTCCTGTGTCTGAATTGAAGACTTGGTGATTTCAAGAATTCTTGTTATATTATGCTTTTTTTCAGATCTAGTCTGTGGTTGAGTGTTTTGAGTTGTTCATTGGTTTGTAATCCATACTTTGGGTTTTTTCTTTCTCTCTGTAAATAAGAATGATTCATTTGTAAATATACAGATACAAAAAAATATGTATACTGTAATTGGATAGAATGATTTTGTGAAGGCATGTCAGTACAGATTATATGTTTTCATTTTTTCATTTCATTTTCTTGTTGGCTTAGTCCCTTTATTAAACCGGGGTCTCCACAGCGGAATGAACCGCCAACTTATCCAGCACGTTTTTACGCAGCGGATGCCCTTCCAGCTGCAACCCATCTCTGGGAAACATCCACACACACACATTTACACTCATACACTACGGACAATTTAGCCTACCCAATTCACCTGTACCGCATGTTGTTGGACTGTGAGGGAAACCGGAGCACCCGGAGGAAACCCACACAAATGCAGGGAGAACATGCAAACTCCTCAAAGAAACGCCAACTGACACAGCCGAGGCTTGAACCAGTGACCTTCTTGCTGTGAGGCGACAGCACTACCTACTGCGCCTCTGCATCGCCCCCAGATTATATGTGTAGACTGTAAAAGTAAACAACTGCAGAATTTGTGAATAGTAAATGGAAAAAAATAGGATTTTTTTAATGGTTCTAAATCCTCCAGTTGCTCCTGACCCATGTAAAAATGTTAGGTTATCACTTACCTGAGAAGAAATTGCACAGCACATTTTCATGTTCTCTATGTCTTTACTTCTCTCTGTTTCACTCTCCATAGTTTGAAATTGGGGATTAGAATTCATAAATTGCAATTTTTCATTCTGGAATTTATTTTGAAGTGTCTTTTTTTCTTCCTCCATCTTCATCTTTATACTTTCTTTCTCTTCTTCATGTTTGGAAATAAGTTCATTTTTCTCTTTTTTCAGTTGTTCTATTTCATTCATAAGCATCTTTGTTTGTTGTTCTTGTTCTCTTTCCATCTGTCTGAACATTTTAAATGTGTTGAAACTTCCTCCGTTTTTTGCCACCATACCATCAATTTTCTCCAGTAGTTCAGTCACCTGCATATGGTCTCCGGTCTCATTATTATTGAACACATGGTATCTGTTTCCACACTGTTCAATGAGGCTCATTAGAGCAGATCCAGGTGCACCCAGATACTCTTCAATGGTCTTCTTCTTTAGATCATCTCCTCTGGTGAAGAGCACCATAGTGTACATTAGGGAGTTTTCACCAAATGTCTCCATAATTTTCTTCACTGTGTTTTCTTCCTCCACAGTGAACTGTCCCACTGATATCAGTAAGAGAAACACATGTGGCCCAGGCAGAGTCATTGAGATGCACTCTGTGATATCACTCTGGATCCCTTTTTGACTGCTTTTATCAAACAGTCCAGGAGTGTCGATCACAGTAATGGATCTGCCATTGACTTGAGCTGTTTCTCTCTGACACTCTTTAGTAATTGACTCTTGAGACACATCTGAAATAAATGCTTCTCTCCCTAAGATGGTGTTTCCAGTCGCACTCTTCCCAACTCTGGTTTTTCCCAGTAGGACGATCCTTAAATCATCTGAAGATAGATAAAATCACAATGAATGTTTAATTTTGTGTAAAATAAACATTTAAAATGATTAAACAATACAGTGAAACATTAATGAAAAGGGAAAGTCATGACTTTGTATTCTTTTTTTCAAGTATTGTGACCCAAACTTTTTAAACTGCATTTAACCGAAAGTGAGTAGTTGTTATGATCACCAGCGATCTAACCACTAGAGGTCTCTGGTAAACACTCACACACACACACATAGGACTACAAATCTGCTTGCAAATGGACTACATAACCAGTCATGCTCCACACACACAACCGGTTCCAGATTCTGACTAATTGCATACACACAGCTGATGCTGCTCAAATACTGATTACACACACATATATACAGCTCACATTGAAATACTCATTGCTGAGTCTTGTTATCTGTAAACTGACATTTCAACGTATTTTCTTAGTCTTGTTTTCTTGTCTTTTTGTCTCAGTCTGCTGCCTGCCTTTCGACCTCTCGCCTGATCCTTTGACTACGATTCTGGACTGCCTTTATATATCTGTTTGCACCCGTGTTGTCCATTGCTTGCCTGACCACGCTGAGTAAAGGGAAGCTGCAGGCCCGGAAACACGTAGTATGTCTTTTGTTATTAACTACATAATGAGAAAGAAGCCTTTAATGGGGTAGAAAATGTCCATATTTGCTCACCTGGGTTTAAAGGGAATTAGCCATTTCTCCTCAACGTTGATTATAAACTAATTTCTTTATGTATAAAACGTCAAACAGACACAGTTGCTCCTGAGTCCTGTCAAACCTCCACTAGTTTTTCCTCCATTTCGTGGGTCCAAATAAACCGAAAAAGAGCGCTTTTAATTTCTCCCCCAGCCTCCTGCTAGCCTGCAGCTGGTACGCACACACGCACACACACAAGTGAAAGCTGCTCTCTCATTGGCTGTAGGCGATGGCTGATGTTATTTTCAGTCAAAACTTAATTCACACGGCATGATTTGAATCGCAGACAGCTCCAGATATTTAGAACGCCAAATATCTCGCAGGCATCTGCGACTCATCGGCGATTCTCTCAGATCGCGTCTTTGATAGTTCACACTGTGTGATTGTCACTCACGTGCACGAGCAGCGATTTGCCTGTGATTTCAGGCATTTGTCGGCGATTTCTCAAAACCTGTCGGCGAGCCAAAATCTGGGCTAAAATCACGCAGTCTGAACTAGGCATCAGACCTGCGTGCACAAACCTGCACTTCCAGACTAGACAATGCCCCCTGCTGTTGGGTTGGGTGAAGCGGCAGCTACGGAGACCCAACTGCACACTCAGACCAGCACTTTCTAGCAAGTAGCAACATCAGAAACGCCGATAAGGTTATTGATTATTAAAGCGATTCCGGAAAATTACCAAGTTTTATGGCATAAATCAATGTGATGTTAAATATTACACTAACAAGCAATTATTTCAGTGTTTGATTTTATCAAAATTAGTGTCAAAAGAGCATTATTTTATGATATTTACAGCTTGCTCTTATTTTATGTATTATTGTACCAATCTGGGACAATTTTCTAGCAATGTTTTCTGGCAAAATAAAAAAACTGTCAAGTAAAAATGTTAAAGTAAAATGTATAAAATATAGCACAATTATTATTTGTAACATATTTTAGTGCTGTATAGATCTACTGTACATGTTACAGTATTATCTTTCTGAAAGTGCTACTAAAGACAATAACAGTAACACAAATACAGTTTATCAATTATTTATAAGTTATGTAATGATTCAAACACGTTTTTTGGAAATCAAAATATCAGTTAATCTGCATAGAATTTACAATATGAGCTCTCTTGGGTGAAATCAAAAATAATTTGCTTGTGGTGTGTATTTTTTCCCAGATTGATATTACAATTTAAAAAGTGGGTCTCTGCCAACACTAATACAATGTGCCAAAGACTGCAGATATTTCCAGTTTTTTTGCTCTAGAAATGAAAAATCTCCCAAATAAGAATGTAAAGTATTTATTTTATTTAATGTTATTTTCTACGTAAAAATAATTAATACTCCAATTATTATTTTTCACCCTTTTTCTCTGCATTGTTTACAACTTGACTTGTAGGGCCTCATGAAAAAGTACACAAAAATTACTCCGAGTACTATAATTTATTGTATGTGAAGAAATGTATTGTATATGAAGATAATATTCACTTCCTCAACTCAATACGAAACAGTGATAAATCTTTAATGATAAAAAAAGTCTGAAAATATTGAAGTAACTGAACAATATCTATTTACAAATACAGTTAATAAAAATACAACAGAATTAATGCATAAAATCAAAAATCGAGTATTTTTAATATTTCATATATTAATCTATTTAATCATAGCCTAATATTTTATAGTAGAAAAATAATTTAAAATATAATTTAGAAGCAGCTGGATCAGGTTAGTCGATCTTTTAAACAGCAGGTGGCACTGTGAAGGTCTGGAAGTGCAGGTCTAGCCGTCTGAGCCAGCAGGTCTGAGCATGCAGTTGGGTCTGCGCCACGCTACTAAACCTGCATGTGGATCCTCACCTCTGTTGTCACTGTGTCACTCCCCGAGTAACAGTAGTCACGAATTAAGAGTACATTTTTGGGGTAACTAGTACACTACCTGACAAAAGTTTTGTCTCCTATCCAAGTATTAGGATCAACAAATAATGTTGACTTCTAGTTAATCATTTGGTGTCACAAGTGTCTTATATAAAAGGCAAAGGCCTCTAGATTTAGCACATTTGAGCACAATAAAATAGGATCATGCCTTGATTATTAATGATTTCATTAGGGCAGTAAGGTCTGATTTTGCTTAAACTAAAGTCTCATGACTGAACAGAAATAATGTCCAGTATAGAATATAAAGTCCTGCTGCAGTGGAAACAGAATGAATATTGTGTCTGACTCCATCATGAGCTTGGAGGACTGCATCCATACATCTCTGACATGACTCAAATCACTTTATTTTCTATTATTTTTCAGTTACATTTAGGATAAACTTATATTTTTTTATAATTGTATAATAAGAATAATACTTTTATTTATTTATAATATTTGTTTTATTTAAATATATATATATATATATATATATATATATATATATATATATATATATATATATATATATATATATATATATATATATATATATATATATAATAATTATTATTATTATTTTTTTATTAATTAATTTTTTTTTTGAGGAAGGCATGTTGTGTGCCTCAGTAGAGCTTTATGTTTAGCAACGCCCCTGCTTGAATCAGCAACCTTTTTGCTGTGAGGCGACAGTGCTAAACACTGAGCAACTGTGCCACCTCCCTCGTAAAATAAGAGCAGCACAAAAATGTATTGTGTATTTACAAACAAATGCTTTGAGTGAACAAAGGGACTAAATACTGAGGACCATGTGATAATTTGTTTTAATGAATCTGCAAAAAATGTCAACAATTCTGTGTTTTTCTGTGAATATGGAGTGCTGTGTGTACATTGAGAAAGAAAATTAACTTTAATGAAAATGATGAAAATGAGTAAAATTTAAGAGGGTCTGTATACTTTCCGTACCCACTGTATGTATGACTGCTTAGTAGACATTTATATCAGCTTCTCCATCAACACCTGGATGATCCTCTGTCAGACCTTCGCTTCAGAGCCAATTCACATTAAAAAAGACAAACACTGCAAAGCTTCTAGACCTTCTAGAGCAGTGTTTCCTAACCCTTTATTTTTTTAATAAATCTTTATTTCTATGGCCCTTTTACAGTGTAGATTGTATAGATTCAGTTTAGTTCAGTTCAGTGTGGTTTAATTTTCACTACTGAAAGTCCAAACACTGAAGAGCAAATCTATTGATGTGCAGATTCACAAGTCCCAAACCAAGCAAGCCAGTGGTGACAGTGAAGAGGAACAAAACTTCACCAATTGACCAAAGTCAAGGAAAAAACCTGGAGAGTAACCAGGCTCAGTTGGGCATGACCATTTCTACTCTGACCAAGTATAATTAGATCATGCAATTATACTTTGAAGCATATGTCAAGAAACAATTATAGGACAAATATTCTAAAACATTTCAATCAGTAGCCTACATGTCAAGTATTAGGCCTACCTATGTGCAATATTAAGTATATATCTGAAAAGTACATTAAAGTAGTTTGAAAGTATAATAATTTTTTAACACTTGAATGTTGAAGGGCAATCAGACAAACATGGTAATAAAGGGGTACTTGGTGACAATTAATAACAGGCGCAAAGGATGTTCCTGGAGACGAATGAGTGTGGCACCAGGGAACAACAGACATTGAAAACAGAATAATAAAGAAGAAATGACAAAGCTACAATGCAAATAAAATGGCATGCAGTTTGAATATGAACAGTTCCAAACCAAATTCTGCTATTAAATAATAACTTATCAATATTTATATGTTATTCCAACCCAGAATTATTTATTTGATTACTGACCAAATTGGATTTCCTGTCAGGAAATAATGTTGTCAGTAGGCTACTGGAGAATTTGTTTTTAATTCATTTGTACATGTGTTAGGCTATTTTATTATTATTACTCTTACCACGAGTCATTTTTGCTTTCTTGTCGGGTGGATCTGTACGATCTTCTATTTGTCGTTTACTCCCTAAAGATAAAACAAAGAGAAAAAGTATTGTAAGAATAATGGTACAGACCACAGAAAAGGTGTTGGTATGTGTGAATATCCAACACAATCTCACAGCAATTCGTAACTTTTTCATTTAGTGGCTAATTCATATGAATTCGTACGATCTAATTCGTACAATTTAGTACGATTTGCTTATCCCCTAATGACGGTTGGGGTTAGGGGTGGGGTCAGGTGCCACGTCTCCTTTTTAAAATCGTACCATTTCGTACGACTGAACTCGTATGAATTAGCCACTAAACTTGCAAAACGTAAAATACTTACTTTTTCTCGTGAGATCAGGCTGGAATATCAGACATTGTGGGGGAAAAAATACTATATTTCATGTTCTTTAAAAACAACATTTCAACCTTTGTCATATCGATATTCACAAATGGACGTAATGGAGCCTTTTCACATTTCTGGGTTTCTAAGCAGTGAATTCGTGGTTGGAAACCTCAGAGCGCAGTGAATGGGAGAGTACAACAAAAGTTTTTTTACAAACCTATATGCTGAAATAATGACAGAAAAACTCAATGATGGTGTTATCAAGACTTTTAGAAAGGGGAAAACAATAGTGTGAGACTGATAACGGCAGCCGCAAGAGATAAAATCACAATGAATGCATTACACACACACACCACACACATGCGCTCTTTTGTTTCATTTTTGTAATCTGATGCAAAGATTATCCAATACATGCAGAAATACTGATAAATGTGCATACATTTATAAAAAAATCTAAATATTAAAAACTTTTCAACTTTTAAAATGAACGTGAAATGCGTCATAACAGACTAAGGGGTCCATTTTCTAATATTTAATTAGGCTACTTATAGTAGTTTCATTTGAAAGAATTGTTCAAATGTTTGCCTACTCTCATGAAAAACAAAATGGTACATTCTGTACTGCAGGCTAAATGGTTGCTTGGGGTGGCCCTAAGGGTAGCCTACCTTTTTGTTCTTCCTTTGTGTTGTTTTCCCCAACACTGAGATTCAATATGCTGGCAGAATCGGATTTTTATGTACATCTGGCAATGTATCGACGATATTCACCGTTTCTATCATTGCAAATTTTACTGTTCTGTTTCAAAATGCTGTATAAGGGTGCATTGAGTAATGCTAATGAAATCTACTTCTTTTGTTTTAAAGCGATTACTAAAGTTAGTCTCAGTGTTGTAAAATGGCTCATGTAAAAAAAACTGCTTTTAAAAAATATTCAAGGTGCTTTTAATTAGGCTGGGCTACTGGTTTACCTAATAAATAAGATTAAAATTGCTTACATTTAGAATTTAAGTAAATAGTATATTTCAGGTTATTAAACAAATCTATTTGAACGCATTTGACTCTTACCTGCAATTGACGCCATTGCGTGCTCGTTACAGCCAAAAGAGAGAGAAATTTAGCACGGAAGAGAACACATGCATGAGCGATTTGTCAAACTTCCTTTGTTCAGGGAACTGCTCTTGTTCCCTCCAAAATCTGCACTTGTGTGTGTAGGCGGGGCATATAGGGTGCATATTGTAAGTTTTAGAGAATGTTTATGAATAAAAAATAAAACAAAAAAATTAAAAAATAATTATAAAAAAAAGCTGGAGTTCTCAACTCTATAAATGTCATCACTTAGGCTATTTACCTTTGTGTTATTTCATATCTTTCTTTTGCAGGGCATTTAATATGAATTTTGTTTTGGAGCTGCAATGAATATTGAACACAAATTAAGAAGAAACTACAAAAACGCTGTATCTTTTGAGTAGCTTAATATTTGTTATGTTGTATTAAAAGTTTTCTTTCTAAAGCTAGTTTTGGTAAATGTTTGTGAACTTTTTGAAATCTTAATGCCTTTTGCAAATAACATAACTATGGCTTTAGCATGAAAAATTAATTGCAATATAGGGCAGTAAATTACATTAAAAGATTTAATCAACAGAAAGCTGTCATAAATATATTTTATAAACAAACACAAAGAGAGAAAATTTGAGTTTACACCTTTAATACACATTTCAAATGGATTATACAATCACAAAATCTACACAAACGAATGAAATATTACCTACAAAAGTAAACCCACAGCACTATTTGTTTCTAAACACATGAGAGTGGTGGAGTTTATTATGACTGGCAGATGTCGCTGCTTCACATGTTTATTCTTATGATGACCAAACTAGCAAGTCTCTGAAGAAAAATAGGCTTCTTTCACTCTCACCTGTTTCTTTTCCTTAAACATTCAAGACCATTAAACTGGAAGTCTTTTTTTTTTTTTTTTTTTTTTTGCTCAAAGTATACTTGTTCTAGTTATCTTCACACTCTAACAAATGTGCGTGCGCGTTATTTCTGAGAATAAACACAGGGGAGTTCCCTTAGCTATATTTAGGCTAGATTCCTTTAATAAAGTCACTCATTTCAGGAGTGTGTAGTGAAGATCATTCCCCCACACACACTGAGGGGAATCCACAACATGTCACAATGACATTTTCTGACATTTTCAACAATTCATCTCAGGTATAATCCACATTAATGAAAGGAAATGCCGGTGAGTGCAGGAAATCTAGTGAATAATGCAGTGGTTATTATGTAGGGCACAAAACCACAAGCCTACATCGAGGTCACCATTTTAGCACAATTAAGCAGTGGTTTGCTGATTTTCCAGATTTGGTCAGTACTCATATGTGCAGCACTAATACTGACAATATTCAGATGTAAACAACAAAATTGACCGTACAGTTAATGTGCTAAGAAATACTTCTGCCTATTTATGCTGTTTAAAGGGGACCTATTAAGCAAAAATTACTTTCATAAAGGGTTTAAACAGTGTGTGAATATAATCAGCCTCTACTGCTAAAATGAGTTTATTTTATTTTCTATAAACACACATGATAAAGCAGTCTGCAGAAACACTTTGATTGACATTCTCCCTTTGTAGGAGTCATCTGAGGGGGAAAGCTCCGCCCACTAGTGACCATCTCAGCCTCGTTAGCATAAACAGCCCTGAGTGAGAAGCAGCCATTGGTCATTAGCGTTTTGAGATGCAGAAGATAATGTCAGTTTCTGCCAATATGCTGACACACAAGCATTTTTAGCTCCTCCCTCTTTTAAAATGAGCCTCATTTAAATTTAAAGCAACAGTCACCAAAATCACACAATAGAATCAAACCCTAAAAGGATCGGATTCAGAGAGTTATTAAACATTATTTGTGTGGTATTTTGTGCTGAAACTCTTCACATAAACACTCTAGGGACATCAGAGACTTATTTTACTGACTTATCTTGTAAAAGAGGGCTAATAGGTTCCCTTCCAACCATAGAAAAAATGTGTAATCTGCTAAATTATTTAGAGAATGAGTTAATTAGAGAAAGGGTGCAATATTTTGATGAACTGAATTTAATAGGCATTAAAACGCATGAAGATAATACCCTAATATTTCATCAACACCAGCAGAAATTATAAGAGCCTCAATGTGGTCAAGACACTTACTTCAAGTGTATTTTTTGTTTCTGTATTTTTGCTCTCTGCTGCTTGTTTTATTATAACATTTGGTAGTCTATAGCAGTGTTTCCCAACCCTGTTCCAGAAGGCACACCAACAGAACACATTTTCGACCTCGTCCTAATCAAACACACCTAAATCAACTCATCGGAGAACATAAGAAGAGACTCTAAAACCTGAGGTTAGTGGGTCAGATTAGGGAAAACATGTACTGTTTGTGTGCCTTCGGGAACAGGGTTGGGAAACACTGCTCTATAGTACTCTAAATGTATTTGTAAAGGTAAGACTGATTAGTGCAGCCCAAACATGATAATAAATGATGATTTCAGCACTAGTAATCAACAAAATATGCCAGTTTTATTGGGTTTAGTGGCATTGTTTACATTTTGCTCTCCAATATGGCCGACAGATGCATCATGAAAACATTCTTGATATAAATAGCTATGTATATGGACGTAATGGACTTTAATGGACTGGCCTTCTATCAATAAAACACTTACAAATAAATTCTACTTCTTGTTTTATTATAACATTTGGCAGTCTACAGTAGTGTTTCCCAAACCTGTTCCTGAAGGCACACCAACAGTACACTTTTTCAACCTCGTCCTAATGAAACAAACCTAAATCAACACATTAAAACACAAGAAGAAACTCTAAAACAGGAAGTTATTGGGTCAGATAAGGGAGAAATCCAAAATATCTATTGTTGGTGTGCCTTTGGGAACAGGTTTGGGAAACACTGCTCTATAGTACTCTAAATGTATTTTTAATAGTAAGACTGATTAGTGCAGCCCAAAACATGACAATAAATGATGATTTCAGCACTAGTAATCAGCTAAATATACCAGTTTTATTTGGTTTAGTGGCATTGTTTACATTTTGCTCTCCAATATGGCAGACTAATGTGTCATGAAAACATACTTGATATAAATAGGCATGTATACGGACATACTAGGCTTTAATGGACTGGCTTTCTATCAGTTAAACACATATACAGCAGTTCAATAGCTTATACAGAGTAAATTCAAGATTTATTGTTTAGTACAGTTGTTTTTGCTCTCTTCTGCTTGATTTATTATACCTTTTGGCCGTCTATAGCAGTGTTTCCCAACCCTGTTCCTGAAGGCACACCAACAATTCACATTTTCAAGCTTTCCCTAATCAAACACACCTGAATCAACTCATCTGAACATAAGAAGAGACTCCAAAACCTGAAGTTAATGGGTCAGATAAGGGACACATCCAAAATATGTACTGTTGGTGTGCCTTTGGGAACAGGTTTGGGAAACACTGCTCTATAGTACTCTAAATGTATTTTTAAAGGTAAGACTGATTAGTGCAGCCCAAACATGACAATAAATGATGATTTCAGCACTAGTAATCAGCTAAATATGGCCATTTTATTGGGTTTAGTGGCATTGTTTACATTTTGCTCTCCAATATGGCCGACTAATGTGTCATGAAAACATACTTGATATAAATAGTGAAGTATATGGACATAATTTACTTCAATGGACTGGCCTTCTATCAATAAAACACTTACAAATAAATTTTACTTCTTGTTTTATTATAACATTTGGCAGTCTACAGTAGTGTTTCCCAAACCTGTTCCTGAAGGCACACCAACAGTACACTTTTTCAACCTCGTCCTGAATCAAACCTAAATCAACACATCAAAACACAAGAAGAAACTTTAAAACGGGAAGTTAATGGGTCAGATAAGGGAGAAATCCAAAATATCTATTGTTGGTGTGCCTTTGGGAACAGGGTTGGGAAACACTGCTCTATAGTACTCTAAATGTATTTTTAATAGTAAGACTGATTAGTGCAGCCCAAACATGACAATAAATGATGATATCAACACTAGTAATCAGCTAAATATACCAGTTTTATTGGGTTTAGTGGCATTGTTTACATTTTGCTCTCCAATATGGCCGACTGATGCGTCATGAAAACATACTTGATATAAATAGGCATGTATATGGACATACTAGGCTTTAATGGACTGGCTTTCTATCAGTTAAACACATATACAACAGTTCAATAGCTTACACAGAGTAAATTCAAGATTTATTGTTTAGTACAGTTGTTTTTGCTCTCTTCTGCTTGATTTATTATACCTTTTGGCAGTCTATAGCAGTGTTTCCCAACCGTGTTCCTGAAGGCACACCAACAATTCACATTTTCAAGCTTTCCCTAATCAAACACACCTGAATCAACTCATCTGAACATAAGAAGAGACTCCAAAACCTAAATTTAATGGGTCAAATAAGGGTGACATCCAAAATATCTATTGTTGGTGTGCCTTTGGGAACAGGTTTGGGAAACACTGCTCTATAGTACTCTAAATGTATTTTTAATGGTAAGACTGATTAGTGCAGCCCAAACATGACAATAAATGATGATTTTAGCACTATAATCGACTAAATATACCAGTTTTATTGGGTTTAGTGGCATTGTTTACATTTTGCTCTCCAATATGGCCGACTAATGTGTCATGAAAACATACTTGATATAAATAGGCATGTATATGGACATACTGGGCTTTAATGGACTGGCTTTCTATCAGTTAAACACATATACAGCAGTTCAACACAGAGTAAATTCAAGATTTATTGTTTAGTACAGTTGTTTTTGCTCTCTTCTGCTTGATTTATTATACCTTTTGGCAGTCTATAGCAGTGTTTCCCAACCCTGTTCCTGAAGGCACACCAACAATTCACATTTTCAAGCTTTCCCTAATCAAACACACCTGAATCAACTCATCTGAACATAAGAAGAGACTCCAAAACCTGAAGTTAATGGGTCAGATAAGGGACACATCCGAATACTGGATGTACTGTTGGTGTGCCTCTGGGAACAGGATTGGGAAACATTGCTTTGTGGTACTCTAAATGTATTTTTAATGTTAAGACTGATTAGTGCAGCTCAAAACATGACAATAACTGATCACTTTCAGTACTAGTTATCAACAAAATATGCCTGATTTATTTGGTTTAGTGGCATTGTTTACATTTTGCTCTCCAATATGGCCGACTGATGATGCGTCATGAAAACACTCTATAAATATGGACATACTGGACTTTCTATCAGTTAATGGACTGGCGTTCTATCAGTAAAACAAATACACGGAAGTTCAACAGGTTACACAGAGTGAATTTAACAAGGTTTAATCTTTATTATATCCACAAATTATATTACACTGGATTGGCATACTAACATTTTAACACAAACATCAACCAATTATTTACTACTATTTTATGTACAGTCTAAAATCTCTGTTAGAAGTACAGTCATGTGAAAAGGTTTGGAGACACTGTTGAATTTGGTCATTTATTTTATACCAGGCCATAAAAAAAATCTATATGGTCATTCCCTGCTAAAAAATCCAGCTTAAACCAGCCTAGGCTGATTTTAGAGGGGTTTTGGCCATTTCCAGGCTGGTTTCCAGCCATTTCCAGCCTGGTCTTAGCTTGTCAGGCTGGAAAATGAACAGCCAAATCCAGCTAAAACCAGCTTCACCAGCCTGGTTTAAGCTGGATATAGCTGGTTTTGGCTGGACTTCCAGCTTGGCTAGGCTGGTCAAGCAGGTTTTAGCTGGTCATCTCCCAGCCTGACCAGCTAAGACCAGGCTGGAAATGGCTGGAAACCAGCCTGGAAGTGGCCAAAACCTCTCTAAAACCAGCCTGGTCGACCAGCTAAAACCAGCCAACCAGCCTAGGCTGGTTTAAGCTGGATTTTTCAGCAGGGTTGGCAGGTCTTAAAATGTATAAGATAAAACCTAAGATAAACATCATGACAATAAATATCTGCAACCCAGTACTGGGAAACACCCAAACACACTCCCATTCATACACAAACACTACGGCCAATTTAGTTTATTCAATTCCTCCATGTGTTTGGACTGGGAGGCGGGACTGGAGCACCCTGATGAAACCCACGCCAACATGGGGAGAACATGCCAACATTCACACACACACAGACACTCGTACACTACTCATACACTACAACCAATAGCACATGTGTTTGGACTATAGGGGAAACTGGAGCACCTGGAAGAAATCCACACCAACACTGAGAGAATGTGCAAACTCCACACAGAAATGCCTACTGACCCAGCTGGGACTCGAACTAAAGACCTTATTGTTGTGAGGCAACAGTGCTGACCGCCGAGCCACCATGTCGCCTGTCTCAATATTTATTGAACAAAAATAAGGCCAATACAGAAACAGCAGGGTGACAAACTGAGGATTCAGACCCAGTAGATGCACTTTTGTCAGTAATGATTAAAGTCCTGATTTTCTGGAAGAGCGAAAGGTGTTTGATTAGCACTGACTTATTTATATTCATCCTATAAAATGTTGTTCAGTTGAGGTTTTATTTCCCCTTTAGATAATAACTGTATGTGCATAGGGTGCCAAAACTTTTTCACATGACTGTAAATGAAACGAACCCCAGAGTCAGGAAGACTGAAAGCCCGAAATTGTAAAATTTGGAGCAGATATAGTTTGAATCTGGGTACAAATGCACATTAGCACTAATGCATAAATACATTACACAAAATGAGTCGGCTCGTCTAGGCTGACTTCAGTGAAGATCTCTTCTGCTGTTCCTCGAGCTGCAATACAGAAAATACACCGACATTAATACTGGAAACATGCATTATTACATACAGTTAAAGACTAAATTATTAGCAATCCTGTGAAATTGTTATTCTTCTTTTAAACATCTTCTTAGTGCTGTTTAACAGATTTTTCACTGTATATATTTAAAGAAATTGACTCCTCTTTCGTTATGTTGCTGCTGTTTTTGCTACATGACCTCCATTATAATCACCTTTTTTTTATTGCAAAGTCATGCAACAATCAAGAATGCATGATTATATGCTGTCATGCCTTTGCAATCAAAAAATATTATAATGGAAGTCAATAGGGCAAAAACAGCCATCAACATAACCAAAGATTATACCCAGATTGTATTGTAGAATTTTTTGTTTTAAAAAAATCAAAGCATTTTCCCCAAATATGTGTCAAAATAAGGTTAATCACCACAAATCATCCCATTTGCTTAAACACAGAGAAAGTAAACCTCAAAAATCCCCCAGAGTGGATGAAAACATCCCCAACAGCACACAAGGGTTAATTATAGACTGACCAGCATTGTTGTTTTCATTCTGCTCTGCGTTGTCAGCTTCAGATGCGGCTGGATTACTAAAGTCTGATTCTCCTCCAATCAGATCCAGGTCCAGGTTAAACTCCACTTTCTTCAAAGGCGGAGTCGAGCTGACCGAGCTCGAGCAGAAACTGTTTTCCTCTGGAACATTCGAGTCTCCTTTAGAGTCATATAAAAATCATTAATCATATATGATCATTAAAATGGAAAACTATTATTAAACATATTTATTAACTAATGGATAAAGATCAGAATCTGTATGGTTTTTATGCATATTTACAGTTGAAGTCAGAATTATTCGCCCCCTGTTTATTTTTTTCCTCAATTTCTGTTTAAAGCAGAGCAGATTTCCTCAACACATTTATAATCATAATAGTTTTCGTAACTCATTTCTAATAACTGATTTATTTTGTTTATATCAGTAAATAATATTTGACTAGATATTATTCAAGACACTTCTATACTGCTTAAAGTGACATAATTAGGTTAACTAGGCAGGTTAGGGTAATTAGGCAAGTTATTGTATTAAGATAGTTTGTTCTGTAGACTATCGAGAAAAAAAATCTTAAAGGGGCTAATAATATCTATAATAATATTATTCTAGTCAATAATATTATATAATATTATTAATATCAATAATAATTTTCTAGTCAAAATAAAACAAATGAGACTTTCTCCAGAAGAAAAACTATTATCAGACATACTGTGAAAATTTCTTTGCCCTGTTAAACATCATTTAGGAAATGTTTGAAAAAAATGTAAAATAAATATTATGATGTCATATTATTAATCACTATATTTTGTTTTGCCAATTCACTGTTTTTCTATTTAGGTGTTATTCTCAAAGTAGATGTTACTGTATTAAAGTTAAGTGTCTTGTTAAGCGTCTTATGCAAAATTTAAAAGGTAATCCAGGTTTGCTAAATAATGTGTAATAAACAATGGTTTAAAAAGACTTTTGAGGTCACAAAGCGTGAATTTATTTGATCAAAACTACAAATGTTAATTGATAAATGAAAATGATACAAGTATTTCACATTTTTACAGTTCTTACAGTAGTGTGTTCTGCTCTCTACACATTTATTAAATTCAAAATACAGTAAAAACTGTAAAATTTTGAAAAAATATTATTATTTACAATAAATGTCAATAAAAATTATAATTAATAATAATAATAATAATATTATCATTTAAAATCCTTATTGAATGTCATTCATTCATTCATTCATTCATTCATTCATTTATTTTATTTTCGGTTTAGTCCCTTTATTAATCTGGGGTCGCCACAGCGGAATGAACCGCCAACTTATCCAGCACATGTTTTACGCAGCGGATGCCCTTCCAGCTGCAACCCATCACTGGGAAAATTGAATGTAATTTGAAATGTAATTTATTTCTGTGTTTAAAGCTTTATTTTCAGCATCTTAAAAATATTTCAGATCCCAAATATTTGACCAGCAGTAGTGCACACACAAACACGTGTAGTAATATTGAAGTATATCTGCAGAATAGATGCAATGACACTCTTGTAATGAAAAATGCTGCTGCATATATCAGATTTATGTTCTTCAGTGGCAGCACTGTTGCCTCACAGCAAGAAGGTCGCTGGTTCAAATTTCGGCTGGGGTAGTTGGCATTTCTGTGTGGAGTTTGCATGTTCTCCCTGTGTTGGTGTGAGTTTCCTGCGGGTGCTCCAGTTTCCCCCACTGTACATACATAGGCGAATTGATGAACTATATTGGCCGTCATGTGTGTGTGCATGAGTGTGTATTGGTGTTTCTAAGGACTGGGTGGCCGCTGGAAGGGCATCCGCTGCATTAAACTTATGCTGAAATAGTCGGCGGTTCATTCCACAGTGGTGACCCCTGATAAATACTGAACTAAGCCGAAGGAAAATGAATGAATGTTCTTCGGTAATTACAGGGATCTAACTGACCGTTTTCATTGGCAGGTGTTTGCTCAGTTTTCTCAGCTGAACATCCATTGGCCATCGTCTTTTCCTCAGACTTTTCCTCCTGAATATAGTCCAAACACACCGGCAGATCTGAGCAGAAAAACATGTGTATAAATGAACAGACCTCACAGGCTGGTTTTTAATTTTTGCCTCTGGATAAAAGGAGTCCTATTATGCCCCTATTTACAAGTTGTAAAATAAGTTTCTGTGTGTGTGTGTGTGTGTGTGTGTGTGTGTGTGTGTGTGTGTGTGTGTGTGTGTGTGTGTGTGTGTGTGTGTGTGAAGTTTCACACAATAATGTTTTATAACTCTCTGAAACTGATCCTTTCAGGCTTTGATCGTAATTGTGGAATTTAGTGACTGTTGCTTTAAATTAAATGTGCTTGTGCTCTTTTTTTTCAGAAGAAGGCGGAGCTTCGATTTTTTTTTTCCGATGGCAGATTTAAAACAACACTAACGTTATCTGTGTGAAAAACTGAAAATATGTGCAGAAGTCTCTCAGAAAAAGGCAGTCTATGGAGACTCCTGTCGCTGTTGTATATCCTAAAGCTTTACATTTATAATCCTCTCAGTCGCTGACATCATCTTCAGCAGCTCAAAACTCTAATGGCAGACGACGGCTGCTTCTCACTCAGGGCTGTTTATGTTGATGAAGGAGATATCATCACTAATTATCACTTTTAAAATGGGTTAAACACAGCAGGGTGGCAACAGTGTGTGAATATATCCAGCTTCTATTTGTAATAATGTATTACATTTATTTTCTATAACCACACTTCATAAAAACAGAAACTCTTTGATTGACATTCTCCCTTTGTACGTGTCATCAGAGGGGGAAAGCCCCGCCCACTAATGAACTTTTCTCCTTTAGTGTAGAAGATTCTTTTTGTTTTTGAATCAGCCACTATGCTGACACAAAGGCAGTTTGTAGCTCCGCCCTCTTTTAAAAAGAGCACAATCTCATTTGAATTTAAAGTGACAGTCACCAAAATACCACAAGTAGTGTCAAAGCCTAAAAGGGTCAGTTTCAGAGAGTTATGAAACATTATTTGTGTGGTATTTTGAGCTGAAACTCTTCACATAAACACTCTAGAGACATCAGAGACTTGTTTTAGCTCTTGTAAAAGGGGGCATAATAGGTCCCCTTTAAAATATATAAAAGAAATAGTTGTCTTCATGTGGTCAAACTAAAGTAATTGACTAAATTTACAGAAAATGGTGTTTATTGTGATATATAGGCTCCCAATATCAGGATATAAAACAATCAAAATGTTGATCGCCCAGCCTTATTTTTGTCTGTGAGTTGTTCTTACCTTTGTTGGTTTGTTCGTAGCTTATGCCCTGTTGTTCGCTCCTCAGCGGCGTGTCGTAATCATTGGCAGGTCCGTCGACTCGAGTCAGATCAAATGAGTAACTCTATCGTCACAACAGGCAAAAAACAAAGATTTATATTTAATATCGTGTAAGAATATGGTAGATCATTTTAGTCTGTCTGTGTTTTTAAGACATATAAAGCACACAGATTTATATAATGACATGGGTATGACAAAAAGAAGGTGACTTAGGAAGTCAAAAAGTCCAAATTTTACAATAAAAAGTTGCAATAACCTTTTTTTTTATTATCATTTATCACTGGCAGCTACAGAAACGCCCATTTCAGAGTGTTAACGTTTATGTAAAAGGAAGTTGCTGTGACTTATTTCAGATTGTTGATGTACTTCCTTCTGAAACTGAATATTGAGTAGTGGATGGGGATTATTTTCTGCATCATTCCCTCATAGCAAACTAACAATAAGAGGGGCGTGGCTTAGAATATTGTGTCTGAAGCGTTAAACTGACATCATCAGAAAAGGAGCCAATCCGAACACAGAAGCAGATGAGCAAACTGGAGATTGAAGATCAACAACCATTTTTTTTAGTGGATTATCTGATTAATTGTTCAAACTAAACAAGCAAAATAAACATTGTAAGTTTTTTTCACACAGACTTTAAGATGATAAATAATAAGATGACTTAAGATCACTTTAAGTTGATCCCACACTCACTTCTAGTCATCATTTTAAATGGAAAAACTTCTTATAGCAGCTCACTATGATTTTGGTAAAAAAACGCAGAAAACATAATTAAATTAGACTTTACCCTTCCTTTCTTTCTCAGAAAATACAACACGCCAAGTAGAAGGCCAATCAGGATCAGGATGAAGATCAAAATGATGATACCTGTCAAAAACACAAGATCTGTTGTCGTATTTTCAGTTACACTGCAAATATGATTAGGGATGTAACGATGACTCACGTGCCGTTTGAAAGTTGATTTTAACAGGTTTAATTTGATTCAAACAGGTTTGATTCAGTTTAAATAGGTTTGATTTAAATTGGTTCATCTGGCAGGTTCAATTTCATTGAAAAAGGTTCAATTAGATCTGAACAGGTTTAATTTAAATTGGTTCAATCAAATCTGTCAGGTTTGATTCAATTCAAAAAGTGTTGATTAAAATAGGTTTAATTAAAATCCGTCAGTTTCGATTTGATTTAAACAACTTCGATTCAAATAGACTCATCTGGCAGGTTCAATTTGATTAAAATAGGTTTGATTCAAATCAGTTCAATTAAAATTTGGCAGGTTTGGTTTGATTCAAACAGTTTTGATTCCAGTCAAATCGGCTCAATTCAAATCTGGCAGGTTTGATTTGATTCAAACTGGTCCAATTTGATTCAAATAGGTTCAATTCAAATCGGTTAAATTCTGATTTGATTTAAATATATTAGATTAAAATCGGTTAAGTTCAAATCTGGCAGGTTTGATTTGATTCAAACAGGTTTGATTCAATTCAAATAGGTTTGATTTAAATCAGTTCAATTGAAATCTGTCAGGTTCGATTTGATTCAAACAGCTTTGGTTCAATTCAAATATAGGTTCATCTGGCAGGTTTAATTGAACTAAAACATGTTTGATTCAATTCAAATAGGTTTGCTTCAAATCAGTTCAATTAAAATCTGTAAGGTTGGGTTTGATTCAAACAGTTTTGATTTAATTCAAATAGGTTTGATTCAAAGTGGCTCAATTCAAATCTGGCAGGTTCAATTAGATTTAAACTGATTTGATTCAAATACTTCTATTTAAATTGGTTCAATTAAAAAAATCTGGCGGTTCGAATTGATTCAAACAGGTTCGATTTGTTTTAAATAGGTTCAATTGAAATTGGTTGAATTCAGATTTGATTTAAATAGGTTTGATTCAAATTGGTTCTGTTCAAATATGACAGGCTCGATTTGATTCAAACAAGTTCAATTCAATTCAAATAAGTTTGATTAGATTCAAACAGGTTTGATTCAAATCAGTTCAATTCAATTCTGGCATGTTTCCTTCATGTGTTTTATGACTAGAGTTTCACTAAAGTCAGACGGCTCTGTTTTAGCTTCAGATTTGGAAACTATAGTTTAGTTTAAAAGTTCAGCAATATAGCCTAATAAAAGGACACAATTTCATTTGCTGTAACTGTACGTCTTCTCATTTGGTACAAAAAAACAATTGTGAGAGAAATTAATCGTAAATCAAAATCATGAATCGTTACATCCCTAGTGAATATGAATCATTTAAACACACAAGAATGTGATCTTGATATGAAAAACAAAGTGTGTACAGCAAGTGTGAGTCATTTGTGTCAGAGTTAAACAGCAGGACAGGAAGAAAGGTTTTTTTTATTTTATATATAGATCTTCTGCAAAGCAGACGAGAATCATGCTCACCTACTACAAGATTTCCAGAGCCTGAAACACAACAACAATCACGTTAGAGAGAATTCACATTCACTGACAAACATATGACTACTTCATCTGAGCATGCAAATATCACAGCATTGTTTACAGTGTTGGGTGTAAGGAGTTACTAGTGTTCAGACTACATATTTAAAACAAGCTGAAACAACACAACTCTTGAGTTTGTTTTTAGGGACAACTTAATTGTTTTATGTTCAGAAAAACAATTAACTTAATTGATTTGAGTTGGGACAACATGAATGAATTGTATGCAACCCTGTATTTATTACAGTATAATTCCTGCAATTAAATAACTGAAAAAGTAAAGTAAGAGATTACTGTTAATCTGTAGGTAACTTCGTTATTTATTTATCATGTATTTGACTTAAATACTCTTAAATACTGTAAATAAATGCAACAGTTCTGCATAAATCAATTCAGAGATTTTTGTTACATATTTTGCGACTGAATACATTTAAGAAACAATGAATTGATTCAGAAATTAGTTCATGACAAGAAATTAGCAGAATAAATAACATTTTTTTGCTAAAGACAAAATATGGTATAAATTCAGAGATACAGAGTTCCTCTAACTAACCATTTCAGTAAACTAAAGTGAAATTAAGTTAGAACTTATTAGCTTCAGCTTTAAAAACTTCACTTTAGTTAGCTGAAAAACTCAGAATAATCCACACAAACAATGAACTTTACAGTGTGGTAATTAAAATATATATTAAAAATACTACTTTGTAATAAATACTGAATTGCCTTTTTGAAATCACCCAACACTGGTTATGTGACAGAGACTGCAATTAGGGCTGCACAATATATCGTTTCACATGGCAATGTGATCATTCGCAATCGTGTGTATACGCAATGTTGAGTCTGGATTATAACTGATCGTTTTGCAAGTGTTCTGTGACTGTGTGAGGGTGTTAAAAGCATCCAGGCTTAAGAAATTGTACCGTTTTTATCTTTGACAAATGAATAATGATGAATTAAATGTAAAAAAAAAAATGGCCGTGATTTCAACGGTAAAAAACTGTAAAAATGCTACAGTACAAATCCGTAACCTGGTTAACGGTATGTTTCCTTAATATATACTGCGAATAACTGTAAATTGACTTTCCCAGAATTCCCTGCATGGCACATCACTTTTTATGCTTTTTGTTGACATTAATATGGATCTTTTTAGTTGTTTCCTGTAAGAATTGAAATATTACAAATATTCTGATATCTTTGACAATTCAAAACATGAGCTGAAAACAGAGACTGGTGACTTCACAACCCACCAGGGAGGAATGCGGGAAAAAACAGTTCCTGCTGCATTTGCATCTGCGTCTGCTTCATCCCCCCAACTCACACATATGGTCATTTTAATGTTTGAATGTTCTAGAATTAACCAAACTGACTTTAACTATCATGTTTGATATCATTTGAAATGTCTCAGTGCGATTGGTACAATGGTCTCATTCTCTCAGAAATAGACATAATCAGAACAATAAATATATAACTTCAGGCATCTTTTGAACCACTGTGAGGGGTGTGACACTAAGTGTGAATGCCTTTTGTTATACATTCACACCCCCTTCCTTGAGGGAATTCTTGGATTATTTAAGGTAAGGGCTAAGAAAAGCTCAGCGCGATTCTGCCTAACCAGATCAGCCCATAACATGGGGTCTGCCCCATGTTATGTATATTTCAAAGTCAGGAATGCATCTTTTTCATCTTGGATTTATCTTTGATAATTTGATGTTTTGTATTGATCATTTATGAATTGACTGATTGAATTGGCATAATACATTTACCTGACTAATAAATTGTAATGTTTGACCATATTTTGCTCACTCTGTAATTATTAATTCAAGTAGATTACGCTGTATCCTTGTTTCCGCACGTCTTGCGTCAGGTCAGTAGACGGACTAAAATCCAATTGAGATGGAGCATTGGGCACACTAATTGTGTTTTAGGGATCCGGCTGACTCTTGATATTGATTCATGTGTACTTAGGTGGAAAGGGCGATAACTTCCGTCTAGGTCAACAAGGTGTTGCACGACTAACCTAGATTGGGTACCCGACCTTTGTTTGAAGGTAATATTATTCTAAATTAAGTTCATATGGGAAACCATGGGCTTGGTGAAAACCAAAGTTACTATAGAGTCCAGTAGTCGGGTACATTTATATTAATGCCCTAACCTCTAATTAGAAATGATGATTGTCTTAACTCAAAGGTGTACATCTAAGCGGGACTAACTAAAGTATTTTAGAACGAGCGCGCTGGTAGCGGCCATCTAAAGTATTAGTCAATTTACCTCTGTTTAATATTCAAGACTGACCGGAGTGTGACCGTGAGGGACGCCTTCGGCCGAGGCGATTTCTCTGAGCGACATGAGCACCCGAATGAACGGATGTAATAGTTACTAGTGAAGACAAACGGTTCAAACATTTATCTAAATTACATATTGATATAATCTTCTTAATGTTTTATGATTGGAGTCAGATAAAACGAGGATAAATATATTAATATTCTAAACCACCTCATACTAAAATTGGAGTCAGATATGAGTTAAGTTTAATATAAATCAACATTGTGCACTGGAAAGACCGAACATGCAGTGAACCTTCATCCACCAGTGGACACCGGCATTGGGCCAACTGGGTGGACCTTACATTCCCCATCAGTAATGTACATTAGAGATTTAAATTACATCTAATGTTGATAAACAATGTTTATTTCATGACTTTAATTTTAAGCGTGTTACCATACTGGTGTTTAGTAGCTGTGTGAATGACACTGAGCACCTTCTATATGCTGATACTCTTTTCTGCTTGTGGGAAGAGTTAATTGTGATGAGCATTAGCTCATTTTGTAACTTCCTCATCACCACCTTCATGTGGGTTTGCTAACGTGTCTTAACTGTGAAACAAAAGATGTGTTGATGTTGATCATTCAAAATACAGACATATTACCTCTATAAATTAATAAAATACGGTAATTTATACCGTAAAAATGAAAAATTACTTTTACGGTTTGTACCGTGTTTTTAACGGTAAAGTACTGGCAACCACAGCTGCCGGTTTTTTACCGTAAGTTTTATGGAATTATTTTTTACAGTGTGTTGAATTGTTTATAAAATGAAGACTATGAAGTATTATTTTTACATTTGATTATTCAATTATTGTATATCTGGACACAGTTCGACTCCTCTGAAAACAATAAAGTGCTGATTATTTAATTAGTATATATTTCTTTATTGAATTAATCTATGATTGCGGATTGTTTCTTATATTTTATGCATCATTTCACTCGGTCTAAAATTATAAATTCTTTCCAAATATTTATTCAACACATCGAGTGAAGTTGAAGTCATATCGCAATATATATATCGCAAAATAAAAAATATCGCAATGTTAGATTTTTCCAATATCGTGCAGCCCTCACTGCAAAGACCGCTCGTCTAAATAAAGTGCATTGAATAAGCGTGCAGAGAGTGATTTTACCGCTGTGGTAGGTTTGCATTCAGAGAGCACAAACATGTTGCAGTCGCACCCACACACTCACACATATGATAACCGCTCAGATCTCAGAGCAGCTCTGAAACCCTTCACACACTCCACACTCTCAGTTGTTTTCTCAGAAACGTCTTTGTTGTAAAGCTACTTTCACAGAGAGATGTTCATTTTGCAGCTGAACAGACTTTCTTAACCCTTGTGCATTGTTTAGATTGACTCCCCTTTGGTTACGTTGGTGCTGTTTTTGCCCCATTGACTTCCATTATAAGCACATTTATTAATAGCAAAGCCATGACAGCATATAATCATGCGTATATGTCAACTGTTGATCATCAGTTGTCAGCATTAACCCTTTACATAGGCCTGTGGTAAAATGTTTCTGGCTTTTATATGGAGTTCAGTGGAGTAAAACAGCAGATTACAGTGTGTGTGCAGAAATACACTTACTGTGTTCTGAGAGCTGAGGGTTGCATTTTGATTTCCTTAAACATATCAAGGTAAGTGTGCAAAGGTTTCTCACACATTATAACTCAATATAAAAGCCAGAAACTAAGCTTTTTTTGCACTGGAACTGATGATCAACAGTAAAATGACAAATTTTATCTCTTCCCAAAAGGGAAAACCAGTTACAATCAAGAATGCATGATTATCTGCTGTCATGGCTTTGCAATCGATAAATGCCATTATAATAGAAGTCAATGAGGCAAAAACAGCACCAACATAACCAAAGATTGTGCCCAGAGTGTATTGTTTTTGTTATTGTAGTAGTTTTCAAAGCTTTTTCCCAAAATATGTGTCAAAATAAGATTTGTGATTAAAAATAATCCCCTTTCCTGAAACACAGAGACAGTTATGGCCAAATTAAGACTCAAACCTACCCCAGAGTGGATGAAAACAACCCAACAGCACTCAAGGGTTAATTAAAAAAATACTATATTAAAAAATAGAGGCGACACCGTGGCGCAGTAGGTAGTGCTGTCGCCTCACAGCAAGAAGGTCGCTGGTTCGAGTCTCGGCTCAGTTGGCGTTTCTGTGTAGAGTTTGCATGTACTGCGTTCGCATGGGTTTCCTCCGGGTGCTGCGGTTTCCCCCACAGTACAAAGACATGCGGTACAGGTGAATTGGGTAGACTAAATTGTCCGTAGTGTATAAGTGTGTGTGTGTGGATATGTGTGTGGATGTTTCCCAGAGATGGGTTGCGGCTGGAAGGGCATCCGCTGCATAAAAACTTGCTGGATAAGTTGGCGGTTCATTCCGCTGTGGCGACCCCTGATTAATAAAGGGACCAAGCCGACAAGAAAATGAATGAATATTAAATAAACGAAGACAAATACACCATTATTATGTACATCACTGATTAAACTATTAAAATAATTATTTAATCTTTCATGTTCACACCACAGGTAAATTGGGTGGGCTATATTGTCCGTAATGTATGAGTGTGAATGTGTGTGTGGATATTTCCCAGAGATGGGTTGCAGCTGGAAAGGCATCCGCTGCGTAAAACATGTGCTGCATAAGTTGGTGGTTCATTCCGCTGTGGCGACCCCGGATTTATAAAGGGACTAAGCTGATAAGAAAATGAATGAATGTTCACAGCATGGCTGCATTTATTTGGTCACAAAATACAGTAAAAACAGTAATATTGTGAACTAGTATTACAATTTAAATTTACATATTCTCCTTTTAACATTTTCCTTCAGCTTAGTCACTTATTTATCAGGGGTCACCTCAGTCACCAACTATTCCAGCATATGTTTTACGCAGCGAATGCCCTTCCAGCTGCAACCCAGTACTGGGAAACACCCGTATACACTCATTCACACATACACACACACTCATACACTAGGGCCAACTTAGTCCATCAATTCCCCTATAGCGCATGTGTTTGGACTGTGGGGGAAACCGGAGCACCCGGAGGAAACCCATGCCAACACAGGGAGAACATGCAAACTCCACACAGAAACGCCAACTGACCCAGCCGAGACTCAAACCAGCGAGCTTCTTACTGTGAGGCGACAATGCTAACCACTGAGCCATTGTGCCACATTAAAAGTCATATATGCTACCTTTTTATTATTTTGTTAAATGTAATTTACTTTAACTGAATTTTTAGTATCACTACTCCAGTCTTCATGATCCTGTCAGAAATCATTGTAACTTGCAAAATATTATGTTCTGTCATCATGGCTAAGATTTAATTATATATATATATATATAATTATGTGTGTGTATGTATATATATATATATATATATATATATATATATATATATATATATATATATATATATATATATATATATATATTCATATATACAGTCAACAGTCAACTTTATCGAGTGAAATGAGTGTAGTTAACTCAAAATTTACTGAAAGTCAATTCTACTCATTTGAAAAGTTTTGAACTCAGTGTCAAAGGTAATAAGTTAATTAAATACCTCATCACTTCAACTTAAAGTTCACAGAACTCATATAAATTTGTTTTAAACTCAAATGGTTTGTAGCAATCAGTTTCCTCATATGGTTTGAGTTGCCTTAACTTATTGTGTTTTACAGCTGGTTTGAGTTCTCTTTATTATTGGGTTTTTACTTATATTGAAGCAAGAATTGCTTCATTTAGTCAACTGGATCAAGTTCACAGCACTCATTAGGATAAGTTTTTAAACCTAAAAGGTTTGTTGCAATCACTTTCCTCAAATGGTTTGAGTTACATTAACTTATTGGGTTTTATAGTGTAGAAATGTTCCCAAAATAACAGAACTATTATAAATAATCAATCCAAACTCCAAACTAATAGAAAATGTCAATAAAAGTCAATTTGTTTTAAACTTTTCAATGTCAAAAGTTGTTGGAGGAGAGATTTAAGTCAAAACATACATTGCAAAATACAACCGTGCTGAGAAAAAGTAACCTAAAGTGGTTGGCTGGTTTTAGCTGGTCGACCAGCCTGGTGTTAGAGGGGTTTTGGCCATTTCCAGCCTGGTCTTAGCTGGTCAAGCTGGGAGATGACCAGCTAAAACCAGCTAGACCAGCCTGGTTTAAGATGGACATAGCTTGTTTTGGCTGGTCAAGCTTTTTTAAACTGGTCATTTCCCAGCCAGACCAGCTAAGTTATTGCACTGCTGGTTAGACCTAAACTGCATTTCGTTGCATTGTACTTGTACATGTGTAATGACAATAAAGTTTAATCTAATCTAATCTAATCTAATCTAATCTAATCTAATCTAATCTAATCTAATCTAATCTAATCTAATCTAAGTCCAGGCTTAAAATGGCTGAAAATAGCCTGGAAATGGCCAAAAGTTCTTTAAAAACAGGCTGGTTGACTAGCTAAAACCAGCCAACCTAGTTCAAGATGTTTTTCTTGCAGGGTGAAAACCGCTAATTTTATGGATATTTGTTTACAGTGTACTAAACAAATCACTATATCTCTAAATCCTTTAAAGCTTCAAATCTCATGATGTTTCTTCCAACCTTTTTTTGGAGATGAATTTTTTGGAGCAGCGATGCGGGTGGTGCTCAGTGGACGAGATGTCGACGAAATCGATTCAGTGGTGTGTTCAGATTCTTCAGATAAATCAGTTGGATCTGTGTCGTCAAAGTCTTCGGATGTTAAAGACCCATTTAAACCACTCGACTCAAGGTCATCAGTAGTTTGGACATTTGTTTGGTTGATTAGATCTGTTGAATCTGCTGTTGTGATGTTTATAGTGGAAATGTTCATTGTTTCAGTAAAGCTCCTCTCAGACGGAGGCCGCGATGGCGATAGTGTGGAGAACAGCCCATAATCACACAACAGAAGAAGAGCTGAAACAGAATCAAAGAGGACAAAAGATCAACACAATTATAATGTTTTCTTAAACACTTTAAGCTGCTTAAAAGCCTAAAAATGTGTGTTTTATTCATTCTTTAGTTTGTACAGGTGTTGGCAACACATTAACACACATATCAAGTGTACCACAACTGTAAAACTATAATAACAATTAAATAATAAATGAACATAACCAAAGTACCACTACAATGAGAGCATATAAAGCAAAATAACAAGTGATTAGTAATACAATAAATAAATTATATAATTACAAAAGTATACATAAATCATAATATAATAAATAATTATATGCAATATTATATATACACACACACACACACACAATCTAATATTCATTATAAAACAAAATACCAATGTTTATATATATATATATATATATATATATATATATATAAATATATATACACACACACATACATACATATATATTAAATCAGTGTAGTTATAGGAAATCAACATTTGGTGGACAACACAGATTTTCAATCAAAAACACGTAATTTAATAAAAAATATAGTTATTAAATATTATATTTAATAATAAAAACTATTTTTATTCTCACCTTCATTTAATGACCAAATATTAATAATATTTAGATATTTACACAAAAATAAAAAATTATGTTGAGTCAAATATAGACTAACCCAATGTTGGGTTAATTTTTTAAAATAAACATACATGACAATTTTTGACACAATGGTTGTGTTTGTTATTTTGACGAAGCATTGGGTTACGACAAAACAGCATTTTTTGTGGTACATTCACAAAATCTCTCTTCATTTTTTCCAAAGCTTCTACAGGAAGATCTTTTAGTAATTTTTAATAAAGTTAATAAATAAACTAAATATTAAAAAATATATATTTTTATTTTTGAGGACCAACTCACCTTTTCTAACCAAAATAGAAACATTTATAGAATAAAAAAATATATATTTAATGCAAACATACACTTTAAACAACATGCAAACACAAGTACACTTTAAAAACATGCTGGGTCATTTTAACTCAACATTGTGTCAAGTATCGACAAAATGTTTTTACATTAAATTAAATGACACTTGATGACAAATTTAAAATTTAAATGTAAACTTTTGGGTGTGTTAATATTTGACCAAGCATTGGGTTACAACAACTTAGCATTTTTAAGAATATGATAAATCCAGTACATCCAGAAATATTGGTCTCTTATTTTTTTTTTTCTAAAGCTTCCACATGAAAATACTTTATATATATATTTAAGTGTATTAATATATATATATATATATATATATATATATTTTTTTTTTTTTTTTTTTTTGGAAAGTTCAGTCAATAAGTGCACATTTTCACTTTAAATTATTCAACACAGATATAAACATTAAAACTAAATATATAGACAAGAATAAATAGTTAAATAGTTATAAATCAATGTGTTTTTTATTTTTTATTTCACAATAATTATAGTTTCAGAGAAGCTTTACAAAAGGTGCACATTATTGCATTACAATCAACATAAAAAATTAAAGATTATTAGTGACCATAACTTTATATTGAAGTTACATATATTTATTTAACTTTAATATAAACTAGTTATTATATATTAGATTTACTAATATAGGAAAAACCATGTATATCCATTAGGGATGTAACGGTATTGTAAATACCGTCATACCGCAATATTAATTTTTTTCGATATTACCGAAGTCGCATGACTCGGTAAAACTATAGGTCTCCTGAGAAAATTTGCTCAGGCGAATGAAGCGAACGGGACGTAGCTGAAACTTCATTTCCCATCAGCCCCGGCGTGGCCATAATCCTTTGCGGTCTGTTGTCGCTACAGATCCAGTAATGCGGAAATGGAGTGTGCTGCTAGTAGCGGAGATGAAAAAAAGATGGAAATGATCGAACCTAAAGCGGGTGTTGTCGCCGCGCGCGTGCTGAATAGCGGTGCTGTCGCGCGCGTTCTGATCAGCTGTGTTGTGGCGCGCGTTCTGATCAGCTGTGTTGTGGCGCGCGTATTGTAAAGCGCCGAGGGGGGGTTGAGCGCGCATATTCAAGAGAGGTGTTGTCGCGCGCCTACTGAAGGGCTGGACTGGACGGAGGGTGTGTCGCGTCGCGGGGGCACTTTTGATCGTTTTGGAAGGGCATTTTCTATCCAAGACTAAAAAGGGCATGTGCACTGCACAGGTTGAGCCCTATGTGTGCACGTGCCTGCAAGTTGGGGAATACGACTAATAACAGTCATGGGGACTGCAGAAACACAGCACACTGTTCAGATTGATGCAGACATTGACTTGTACCGCAAAGAGACCTCTATCTCACTCATGATTTGTCTTCTCAAGTGGGGGAAAGACAATGCACAATGTTACCCCACTGCTGTCAACCTGGGCCAAGTCATATCTCTCTTGTTCCAGAAACCTCAGTCCCAAATGAGAGGGGTTTTTTTCTGTTGCAGGGGACATTGTAAATGCCCAGAGATACCAGCTTTTACCAGATTATAATTATATGATAATTTTCCTTTAAACCCATCTCTATCTAAGTGAGTGAGTGATTAAATGTTGAATGTGATGAGTTTTCAACAATACTAAATTGAAACTTTATTTTTTTACATGGTTTAATATTTTTTTGTTATTAAAATTGAAGTTAGTGTTTCAAAGCTTACAGATAGATGGCTAATTTGTATGTCATTGACACTTTTGGCACTTTTTTTGGAGTATTTTCAAAAGTTTTTTTTTTTCCTGTAAATGATTCAATAAATACCGTACCGTGACATTCATACCGAGGTATTACCGAACCGTGAAATTCTGATACCGTTACATCCCTAATATCCATATTATCCATATATACACTTCTTTAAACGTGTGCGCATGGACATCACCTATATATTATATAACTGCAGGTTAACTATGTTCATATATAATAACTTTAAGTGTTAAAAGCTTTTAATTACTTGTTAATTAGTTAAGGTTATTAGTAATAGTTATGGTAACTAATAATCTTAAATTGTCTGTTGTTGATTGTAATGCAGTAATGTGCACCTTTTATAAAGCTGCTTTGAAACAATAATATAGTAAAAAGATGTATAAAAATAAACACAAATTGAATTAAATAACTAATTAACTAACTAACAGCTTTTAACAGTTAAGGTTATTATATATAAACATTAAACCTGCAGTTATAAAGTATATAGGTGATGTCCATGTGTACATGTTCAACGAAGTGCTAAGAAAATACTTGGGTATCTATCAAACATCTCCTTAACTTCACCTGGCCTTCCTTAAAAACTATATATAATAAAAAAATACTCACCAAAAGTGTGTAAAAGTAGAGTGTGTGTGCGCATCTTTCCTTCTGCTTGTGTCAGGGCGACAGTAACAGTCCAGCTCCACCTAAAGAGTGTTTTTCTGTTCTCTGACACTTCTTCATCATGCAAAACCACAGCGAGCTAGAGGCCTAAACAGGATGCAGAACAGAGACACATACAAACGTGCACCTTTCCTAACCGCTCAGAGGAAGTATAAGAAAGATTGAGCGCTAAATACAAGCTGTGACATCAGATGGTGATTTTTAAAATCACAAACACTTTGGTGCATTGTTAATAACTGGAAAAGCTGATAACTGATGCTTCTTTAAATTGGGGTTATTAGGGGTTGCATTGAAGAGTGTGCAGGTTTATTGTGCATTTAAATATAGTGAAAAAGCAAATATAGTTGCATAAGCAGATTTAAACTCTAATATTAATGTAATACATTTATTATATATTAACCGTTTTAACTGAAATGAGTGAAATGCATGTTAAATTTAAAAATGGCTAATATAGTGTCTTTTATCCAGTCACAATCTTTTTTTTTGACTGAATAGCATCTCCTGGTGGATAAGTCTGAGCAAAGATTGCAATTACATACATTATAAAAAGCGATTCGTTGACTTTACTTTAATAAAGTAAACCTGTTGCTTTAAAAGCAATTAGTTAACTTTATTTAATTAAGTGAGTAAACCTGTTGCTTTAAAAGCGATTAGTTGACTTTACTTTAATAAAGTGAGTAAACCTGTTGCTTTTAAAGCGATTAGTTGACTTTACTTTAATAAAGTGAGTAAATCTGCTGCTTTTAAATTGATTAGTTGACTTCATTTAATTAAGTGAGTAAACCTGTTGCTTTAAAAGCAATTAGTTGACTTTAATTAAGTGAGTAAACCTATTGCTTTAAAAGCAATTAGTTGACTTTACTTTAATAAAGTGAGTAAACCTGTTGCTTTAAAAGCGATTAGTTGACTTTACTTTAATAAAGTGAATAAACCTGTTGTTTTAAAAGCGATTAGTTGACTTTACTTTAATAAGGTGAGTAAACCTGTTGTTTTAAAAGCGATTAGTTGACTTTACTTTAATAAGGTGAGTAAACCTGTTGTTTTTAAAGCGATTAGTTGACTTTACTTTAATAAGGTGAGTAAACCTGTTGTTTTAAAAGCGATTAGTTGACTTTACTTTAATAAGGTGAGTAAACCTGTTGTTTTAAAAGCGATTAGTTGACTTTACTTTAATAAGGTGAGTAAACCTGTTGTTTTTAAAGCGATTAGTTGACTTTACTTTAATAAAGTGAGTAAACCTGTTGCTTTAAAAGTGATTAGTTGACTTTACTTTAATAGTGAGTAAACCTGTTGCTTTAAAAGCAATTAGTTGACTTTAATTAAGTGAGTAAACCTGTTGCTTTAAAAGCGATTAGTTGACTTTACTTTAATAAAGTGAGTAAACCTGTTGCTTTTAAAGCGGTTAGTTGACTTTACTTTAATAAAGTGAGTAAACCTGTTGCTTTTAAAGCGGTTAGTTGACTTTACTTTAATAAAGTGAATAAACCTGTTGCTTTTAAAGCGGTTAGTTGACTTTACTTTAATAAAGTGAGTAAACCTGTTGCTTTAAAAGCGATTAGTTGACTTTACTTAAATAAAGTGAGTAAACCTGTTGCTTTAAAAGCGATTAGTTGACTTTACTTAAATAAAGTGAGTAAACCTGTTGCTTTAAAAGCGATTAGTTGACTTTACTTTAATAAAGTGAGTAAACCTGTTGTTTTAAAAGCGATTAGTTGACTTTACTTTAATAAAGTGAGTAAACCTGTTGTTTTAAAAGTGATTAGTTGACTTTACTTTAATAAAGTGAGTAAACCTGTTGCTTTAAAAGTGATTAGTTGACTTTACTTTAATAGTGAGTAAACCTGTTGCTTTAAAAGCAATTAGTTGACTTTAATTAAGTGAGTAAACCTGTTGCTTTAAAAGCGATTAGTTGACTTTACTTTAATAAAGTGAGTAAACCTGTTGCTTTAAAAGCGATTAGTTGACTTTACTTTAATAAAGTGAATAAACCTGTTGCTTTAAAAGCGATTAGTTGACTTTACTTTAATAAGGTGAGTAAACCTGTTGTTTTAAAAGCGATTAGTTGACTTTACTTTAATAAAGTGAGTAAACCTGTTGCTTTAAAAGCGATTAGTTGACTTTACTTTAATAAAGTGAATAAACCTGTTGTTTTAAAAGCGATTAGTTGACTTTACTTTAATAAAGTGAATAAACCTGTTGTTTTAAAAGCGATTAGTTGACTTTACTTTAATAAAGTGAGTAAACCTGTTGCTTTAAAAGCGATTAGTTGACTTTACTTTAATAAAGTGAATAAACCTGTTGCTTTTAAAGCGGTTAGTTGACTTTACTTTAATAAAGTGAGTAAACCTGTTGCTTTTAAAGCGGTTAGTTGACTTTACTTTAATAAAGTGAGTAAACCTGTTGCTTTAAAAGCGATTAGTTGACTTTACTTTAATAAAGTGAGTAAACCTGTTGCTTTTAAAGCGATTAGTTGACTTTACTTTAATAAAGTGAGTAAACCTGTTGCTTTAAAAGCGATTAGTTGACTTTACTTTAATAAAGTGAGTAAACCTGTTGCTTTAAAAGCGATTAGTTGACTTTACTTTAATAAAGTAAGTAAATCTGTTGCTTTTAAAGCGGTTAGTTGACTTTACTTTAATAAAGTGAGTAAACCTGTTGCTTTAACAGTGATTAGTTGACTTTACTTTAATAAAGTGAGTAAACCTGTTGCTTTAAAAGCGATTAGTTGATTTTACTTTAATAAAGTGAGTAAACCTGTTGCTTTTAAAGCGGTTAGTTGACTTTACTTTAATAAAGTGAGTAAACCTGTTGCTTAAAGTGATTAGTTGACTTTAATAAAGTGAGTAACCGGTTGCTTTAAAAAGCGATTAGTTGACTTTATTAAAGTGAGTTAATCTGTTGTAATGATAGCGCATGTGTTTGGACTTTGGGGGAAACGGAGCACCCGGAGGAAACTCACACCAACACAGGGAGAACATACAAACTCCACACAGAAATGCCAACTGGCCATGCTGGGACTCAAACCAAACTTCTTGCTGTGAGGCACCATCAAAACACAGAAAACTTTTTTTGTCATTAAAAAAACACATTTATTTCCTGTAGATTTGTGCATGTACTTTTGGAACGATTCTCTTCACAAACAGATTACTGCTGTCATCTGATGGTGCGGTACATCATGAAGTCTACAGTGGTGCATCGTGGGTATTTGCCAATGGAGCTCTCCTCCACGGGCGTGTAGACTTTAATCTGCCGCATGTGTGTGTCCCGTCCGTTCTGATGGTTTGCCAGCACCGCGATCTGGATCATGAAGGTCCTGATGGGATTGTTGACCAGGTCTAGCAGAGGGATGTGGATCCAGCCGCTCGGCTCCACCATCTCCAGCTGCTGCTCCAACACACAACACATCTGATCACTTAGAAATCTTCCATATTGTGGCTTTTTCAATAAAGAGGAGCTATTATGCAAAAAATGACTTTTATAAGGGTGTGTGAATATATCCATCCTCTAATGGTAAA